TTATATTTATCCTATCCTTAAAAGTCCATTCCTTTTTTATAAATGCTTTTACTATATATAAATAAATTATTAATTATATTAACGCTTAAAATCTTTCCACTTTTAACCTAAATTTTCTACCTCTTTTTTATATTATCCTTATTTATTATTAATCCTTATTATATTTATCCTTATTATACCCTTTTATTATTATTACTTTATATATTATAATACTTAATAGCACTTTAGGATAGACCTTATCCTTATATATAAAGATAGATAATAATAAGAATAAGCTAAATGTAAAATTAAAAAATCCCTTTTTAAAACCAAACTTTAACTATAGGATATATAAAGTTTTTAAATTATTAAATTAAGGATATATAAAAAATATAAAATGCAAATTAGATTTATTTTAGTTTATAAATATTAATAAAGTTATCTTTAATAAATCTATATTTAAGGGAAAAAATTAAACCCTTTTAAACTTAAATAAATTAAAAATTAATAAAGCCTTATTTATAAATAAACTAAACGGAAAGGCTTATTAAATATTTATTTTAATATATATAATTAATCTTTAAAAGGATATTAAAATAAATTAAGTAATAAAATACTTATACTATACTTTTATATTTATTAAACTATTTAATATAGTATTATAATTTAAAATAAAGACCTTTATCCAAACTATTAGGGTTATAATATTTTAATAAAATTGGATATATTATAAGGATATTACCCTTAGATTTTATATTAAACTAGCTTTTTAAAAGGCTATTAAAATTATTAGAAATTTTAAAAAGGGCTATAGCATATTTTTATTTATATTAAAAGTATTTATATATAATATAGAACTATTATAGCTATTTATTTTAAAGGGATATTATATTATCCTATTATGCTTTATATTATAGTTTAAAGCTAGTCTTAATTTTAATACCCTAAAAAAGGAAAATAAAGCTATTAAAAAGTTAAAGATTTTAAATAATAAAAAATAACTATTAATAAAAACTTAAATATACCTTTAATATTATTAAAATTATAAAAATAAATTTAAAATTTTAAAATTTAAGTAATAGCTATTAAAAAGGGATCCTAAAAATAAATTTAAGACTTTAAGAACTATATAAATATAATATCCTTTAAAAAAGGACTTAAATTACTTCTTTTACTACTTTAATAACCTATTTTATAGAATTAATAACCTACTTTATAAAATTAATAGCTTATCCTATAAAATTAATAATTTAATTTATAAAGCTAATAACCTATTTTATAAATATAGTAATATATTTAAACCTTTTAACCTAAATTAAAGGGAATTATATTTAAATATATATAATTAATATTTAATTATTTTATTAATTATTTAAATAAAGTAAAAGCTGGACTAAAATTAAAAATAAAATACGCTTATATTTTAAAAGAAAATTAATAAAAATTAAAAGCTTTTAAAAAAGGAAGTAAAATCCTATTATTAAATAATTTTAAAATAATAAAGGAAATATATAGGATATGTTAAATTATAGTTAAATAAATATAAGCTATATTACGAAATAGCTTATATAAAGGATTATTTAAAGGAATTATTAAATTATATATAATAGCTATTTTTAATAAAGTTTTAATAGGGGAAGCTTTAACTTTACTTTAAAATATAATTAAGTTTATAATAATTATTATTTAGCCTTAAATATAGGTTATAATTTAATTAATAGTTTAAAAAGTTATAGATTTATAAATTAAATTAATAAAAGTTAAAAATAAAAACGTAAGTTTAAAAGAATATATAAAAAAGTTAAAATTTCTTTATTCCTTATTTTACTTTATTATTATTTTACCTATAATTATAAACCTATTTATATTTTATATTTAAAATTAATATACCTTTATAAAAAACTAATTTACCCCTATTAACCTAAAAGAAATATTTTTATTTAGATTTTTATCCTAATTAATTAAAGCATTTTTATTTAAATTCTAATTAAAATTTAATATTAAACCTAAAAAGAAAAAAAAAGCTATTAAATCAAAATTTAATATTAAATCTAAAGGGAAAGGAAAGGCTATTAATATTAATAATATATAGGACATTATAAATAATAACCTAATAATAAATAATAATTATAATAATAAAATATAATTTAGGATATATATAGGATAATCCTTATTAAAGTATAAGATATATATATAATTTTATTAAATGGATTTTTTATAATTAGAATAATTTAAAATTTAAATAAAATAATCCTTATTAAAGTATAAGATTTATATATAATTTTATTAAATAGAAATTTTATAATTAGGATAATTTAAAATATAAGTGGACTAGTTTTAATTAAAATATAGGATTTATATATAATTTTATTAAATAAAAATCTTATAAATGGAATAATTTAAAATATAAATAAAATAGTTTTAATTAAAATATAGGATTTATATATAATTCTACTAGATAAAAATCTTATAAATAAAATAATTTAAGATATAAATGGAATAATCCTAATTAAAATATAGGATTTATATATAATTTTATTGGATGGATTTTTTATAATTAGGATAATTTAAAATATAAGTGGAATAATCCTTATTAAAGCTTAAAATTTATATATAATTCTACCGAATAGAAATTTCATAATCGGAATAAAGTAAAATATAAATAAAATAATTATAAAATATAAGTACAATGCTTTTTATTAAATTATAAGATAAAATCTTACAATCCTAACTTTAGCCTTATATAGGTATAGGCGCCCAGCTCGATAGGGGGACCAATTACGGAACCCATTCCTAGAAGCACTATATCTAATTCTACCCCTCCTTGGCCACAATGCTAGCTAGAATTACTTACCAATAACAACTACACCTTTTTAGCTTGCCCGCATTATCTCCTAGGTACTTTTACAGCCAGCAACCCGGCCTACCTGCATCCAGCGGACCTGCCTGCTGTAAGCACTGTAAATCCCCCCGTTCAGCGCATAACGCACAGCCTCATTTTCCGTGGAGAGTGGTTTTGATTTGTACCTGACATAACAAAATACCTACCCTACCTATGCCTGCCTCCTTGTTTATTTGAAGTGATGTTTAAAATTCTACCCAAGTAGCTCACACAGTGATGATCCCTCAATCTCAACGCTGTAGGTATTCCTACGTATAGGTAGTGTATGAGCACAGACGGTGCTTTACATGCCTTGATATGGTACCTGTAGCCGCGGGGATTCAGCCCGTTTTCTTTGTTTCGTACAATCCTCGCTGTCACATTTCCACATCTTTCATCAGGCGTCTATGAATACGACGACGCATGTGAAGATCCAAACGTACATTATGTTATGCAGATCCTGGGAATAGGTACCTACATATCACAGTACAAATAAGTGAGAAACAACAGTACAGACTACATGTATACAGTACATAGTAATCACAACCCATACTTACCAGATATGGTAGGTAAGAAATACCTCTCAAACAATTGAGATTCATAACTCGATGATTCTATGAGGTATCCGTAAGTATCAATCCTTGGCTTCAGGTACATTCATATAATATATTGGGCCGAGAGAATGCTGTGTAATGCCGTGTAATGCTGTTGGTGAGTCAATTTTTATTTTACTTTAATAGTCTGGAGTGCATAGGTCCTTGCATACAAATGTACACATCTAAGTACGGAGTAGTGTGCTTAAAAGAATCAATCTCGTGCTGAAGATACAGTAAATATGATGCAATGCATACTGTATCAGGGTACCTACATATGTACTTACATACCTACCTACATAGGTATCATCCCTTTCCAGCTGACATGATCGTTTCCGTCTCCCTGATCCTCAAATAAATGGCCAGAAAAATGGCCCATTGGCGATGCAAAGAAGCCGGATATCCGACTGGGCGGGTCGGGGTTAAGGCCTTTCCCACCTATACCCCCTGCCTGTGGGACATGACAAGACATGACAGCCACCGAAAAAAGTGTCATTTAGATGAACAGCTCTCTAATTTGAACATACTATGTACGTAGTATTTAGGCATTCTAGGACAGAGGGAGACGGTTATATACCGGCCACTGGATTTCAAGATGGTAGCTACCTAGGTAGGTATTCCGCAGGTGAAACACTCCTCTTGACCCTTAACCCGTTGTAATAATCCAGGGACAGCATCGGAGATACACTATTGTCAGAAAGCCAAACCAGGTTGCCAAGGCGAAACCTCGTTTTTCTTCAATTAAATACTGATTTTTATCTTACTATATCTCGGTATCTGAGGTCCTACCATGACCGACCTGCTTCCTCGCACTTACATATCCCTGCTGTACACGGACCGGTGATGAGACAGAAGAATGAAAAGAGATGATTTGTTTTACTCTCATTCCGAGAATGAACATTAAAACCTAAGGTATTCATAGAGTAATGTGTTCACCCGTCCATACCTAGTGAGGTATCGTGCCTTGACTGTATGTAGCACCTTACACCTGCCCTCAAATAGTGAACATTATCCGCCAGGCTGTCGTGCCCGGCGAGACGCAAGTATCCATGAGCGGCGCGCGACATGGACACAACGGCAGCGCCTCCATTTATGAAAAACTTCACTGAGAAGCTGCACAGTTATATCACTAGAGAAAGGTCTCAGTAGTACAGCTAAAACCCGTGAGACGTGGGTGGTCATAGTATAAATACATCGACTCTGCCAATGACGCCCAATCTCCCAGACGACGGACACACGAGTATGTCGACAACGATGGTTTACGTATGATGGCACGGGCACGGCCAATGCTTGGAAGACAGGCTGAATTCACTACCTCCCTCGCATCGTACACGACACTCATATCCCCCAGCGATCGAGTTTCAGCCCAGCTAAGGGACATATCAGAGTAGCGAGGAATCATGTAAAGCTTTTCCGTAACCAAACAAAACTCCTTTCCATGCAGGTGGGGTGATGACAAAATACGTACGACAGATCTACAATACAAGCAGCATCCCTCGAAATACAGCACATCTCGCTATCGGCGAGGGCGACGGGCTTATTCGTGCTTATCGAACGACCGAGCCTCCGGGGCCGCCAGGCAAGTCGGCCGAGCCCTGCATGCCGACCTTGTTGGCACCTTCTTTCTGCAGCCTCTCGAAGGTCATCTTCTTCTGGTAATCGGCAACGCGATATTTCTTAAAGTACGTGACCTAGCGCAACATTAACTCGATTCGCTTCTTATCTTTTCTCCTCTCCTCCTCCCTTCCTCCCTTCCTCGCTTCCTCGCTTTCTCCTCTTTTCTCTCTTCCCATAATGAGGATATAGAGGCGGAGAGGATGAAGACAAACTCACCCATGCGGTAGCGCAGTTGTCGTGAAAGGCCTTGTCCTCGTTGGCGCAATGCTTGTCGGCCGTCTTCTTCCCCTCGCCGGTCAGCGAGTCGATGACGTCGTGCTTGTCGAGGCACCTGTAGAAGGTGTCGCGGGCGTCCCAGCACTGTTTCCTCTCGGTGCGGTCGGGGGCTCTCGCGCCTGTGCGCACCTCGTCCTTGCGCTTGTCGTCCTCAGACGACCAGAGGCCGAACATGCCCATGGTCAATGATGCGGGGTGGGTTGAGAGACAAATCGAAACAATTGATTGTTGGCTTCTTGGATTCAAAATGATGCGGCGAAGTGTTTTGTGCTAGGTATGTGTAACGCGAAGATTTCGTTTGAGCTCAAGTCAACTTGTAAAGGTAGGCCTCGGCGTCGATAGCTAATGGAGCTGGAGCGGGAGCTTAATTCATCATGATACCTACCTAGGTAGCTTCGACATATCTGATGATGAAATAGGGCATGTAATAAGGCATGTAATAAGGCATGTAATCGATAGCAGCCTGCTACAGTGGATGGCTAAGGTACCTAAGGTAGCCTAAGAGACAGCCGCTTCTACTTAGCGCGAAGACCCTGCCTAGTAGGTACATGTAGGGGTCCACTGGGGGCTCTAAGCCGTGAGGCCGATCATTGGCCAGGCATAGGCCTTCATCAACCTCCTTTCTGTACTCCGTACCTCGCCTGCCTGCCTACCTTACATATCTAATGCCTGCTCGTTACGTGGATTGAATCTTAAATCATTCACGATACCTTCATTTAACCTCAACCTGTACCTACATTTGCCGACCAACGACCGCACCCTCTCCAGCAGCATCCGACCTTCCGAGAAGTCATCGCCGTCCCATATCCAATTCGATCTCGGCACACGAACAGACAAGACAGCCGGTGCATATGAATCCACCATGATCAGTTTATAACGGCCTCGAACAGTATCCGAATTTGCGCCATTCTCAGCACTACATCCCACTACCCTCGATTTCTGCATCTTGGTCGACTCTTCTGTTCAACCTCGCAGTCGCTTCATTCAACTCCTCGCCTAAATACAAATCTATCCCCTACAAGAAAACACATACAGAGATGCCGAGACGGAGACGTCCGCCGCGATCCGGCGCCATCGCCGAACTGCCGCCCCTGCGCATCCTCGGCCAGATCGCCGCCTTGCAGGGCATCTACTACGCCGTCGCCCTCGTCCTGATGCTCTTCACCTCGCTCGTCATGGGTCTCCAGTTTAGCCTGGACATGGTATTCGGCTGGGCCAGTCTACGGGGCGACAACACGCAAGGCTGGCTGATGGGTTTCGTGTGGTTATGTTGTGCCGGCGCTGTGTATGTCGTCACCCCTCTATTCCCACCCCATTCCCACCTTCTCTAGTTTCTCCCTCATCTGGCCATTCTGCCTATCATCAGTACTGCCCATAGTCATTTTCTTTCCCTCTACTAACACACCCACCAAACAGAGTCGTCGCATTAGTCGTCCTCATATCCCGATCGAAGCTCGTCCTCGACTTTTCCCTCACGCTCCACATCCTGCACCTGATCATCGTATCTATATACACAGGCTACCTACCGCGCAACATGGCCTGGTGGATCACCATGTTGGTCTCGGGCACCATCACCGTTGCGGGTGGCACATATGGCTGTCGGTGGAGGGAACTCCGCCCCATCACTTTCGGCGGTATAAGCCGCAATACCGAGAACAGCAGCAATGGCTCTCCAGAAGACGGTAGCGGTGACCACGGCGACGAAGAGATGGGGTTTTCGAGGGGCGGCCGCGGACGAGGTAGAGGTCGCGACGGCCTGGGGGAATACGAGATGGCTAGCATCAAGGGTGATTCGAATAAATAACAATAGAAATGCCCCAGTTTGCTTTCTTCTTGCCCATCTCTGATTTTTTTTTTCCGGGTAAGCAGGCATAATGATTGTATGGTTATGGCGGACGCTACAGGATATTCTCGCATTGCATTGCATGGCGTTATGGAACTTGTATGAATACTTTGGAACTTGGAACGTCTATCTACTGCCATCTATTTAATACGGCTGGCTTGCTGGCCTCCTTTCGAAGCAGCAGCCAGTATTACCTTACCCTTGGTGCAAAAAAAAAGAAACGTACTGCACATGTCTGCTCTATATGCCTACCCGTGAGCGCTCTCTAGTCTATGAGAAATAAGCCTTTTACCATGCCCATTTTCTATCGCCAGGACCATATATCTTGGAAAAGGGATATCTGAGATGGCGGCTCCAGTTCCCGTCACCCCTAAAATAGACCGGGTTAGATTGAATCTTGACCATATAATACATGCACCTCATGCACATATCCTCAGTACATGTACACACATACACAGTTCATTTTTCTCGTCCTCTCGCCATACCCAAGTGGTCAAAGACCCCGAGTAGAAAGCCCTACACTAATCACAATCACTACACAAACACAGCAAAAACGAGAACTGTAAATCCTCGAATACTAGCTCCCAGTGACCCTATAAAAAGATGGATTGAGCATAAGTCGAGAAGTATTCGCGAGTAAAAGAGAAAACGTACATACATCCATACATATTTATATACAAGCGTACACCTCACAACTCAGTCGCCATACTCGGTCAGCCATTTCATACCTACCTACCTACTTTACCTCAACGGCAGTAGTAGTGTAATATAATATCTTGTTCTTCATTGAAGCTATGCTCTAGAACCTATAGGATACGTATTATACATGAAAGAAACAGCATGCCTGAAGGACACGACTCGTTTAATCTTTGCTCATCACCATGTCTCATCTCATAATCATCCACTCACTTTCTTTCTCCTATTTCGACACCATTTCATCTAGCCTCCAGCACCGTACCGTACCCCAATCATACAAAAATCTTGGCGATTTCATCCCGTCTTCGAGTCGTGACGACATCGATCCGAGAAAACACACTGCTCGGGACAAAAGGGATCCGAGTCCCCCGGTTCGCCGCGGTCCGGCGACCATGTATCAGGGTGACACGACCTTTCTAACGCATTTTTACTCTGTTCCTGTTCTTTATATGTAGAAAAGCTCGATTGCTCTGACGACGATCGGGCAGTGGAAGCGAGGCCCCTTTTCTTGATCTCTTTCGGTGAATAACCTGGCTCACTCCTTATCCCCATGAACCCAGACCGCGGTAGTGAAGATCTCTGATCAACTTCGTATTCTCTAGTCTTAGTCTTGACGGTACTTTCATCGGGGCCCAGGTCTAAACCGCCTGCCGACGTTCTCCCTACTGTCGCCGAAGCGTTTGCACAATCTACTTGCATTCGCGTCATAATAGATCCAGAGTCAGGACAAGGTTCAGAATTTGTAACATGATGTGAACCCTGTATGGTAGACAACGGCTCAGACATGCAACCCTCGCTCTCAATATCCGGCAAAGCGTCCCGAAGCGCTTTACTAGTGAAATACGTAGCTAAAGGCCCACTCTCAGAAGCCATGTTGACCTCGTCCGGCGTAGTGACTTCTGAAAGGCGGCTATGCTGTCTTCGACTCTTTAGTCCCTGCCACTGTGGCGACCTCACCATCGGACTCGCTAAAACCGCCGGCGGCGACAACAGAGATAAATGTGAGTTCGATGGCACATCAGGGGTAGTATCAGCGACAAATGATTCTTCACTATCGGAGCTACTCGAAACTCGTGCTGCTTCGAGACTCGACTTGGCCGATCTTGAGTAGTTCGTAAGCCGATCCAACTCGACTGTGGCGATCCTGAGTCCCGAAGCTGCCGCGAGTAGCACGGCATTTTGCTGCTGTATGGGGGTGCTTTTAGAAGACGCAGGGGTATTGAAGATGGGCGACTCCTCGGATGATGGCCAGATCTCATTTGAATTCCGGGACCGGTAGCGGCGGACTTTGCCGGCTGGGGGTGGCGGAAACTCTGGGCGAACAGAGAACATCGAGGACGATCTACCCCGGCGAAACCTGTCGCGTAGCGAATGGAATCGTTTGGATACCGTGTTCTGGATACGGTGGCGATGCTGGTGTCGACTGGTATCGAACTGTTTGTAGTTTGGCGGCTTGAGCTCTCTGACTGTGTCCAGCTAGTAGAGTATCAATATCATCCAGGGAAGAGCTAACAGGATGCAAATCTGAGAACGACCTACAACAGATGTGGAAGGCCGAGCAACGGAATAAGACCGTCGGTAAAAGTCAGGGCACGACTTGAGGGCACTTTCTTGGGAATCCCGGAATTGAGATATATTATCGTATTCTACACGTCTGCGAAGGTCCAAACCCTCGTTCGCCGTTTCGGTTGATGGCGAACTCGCGAGGTTCTTGTGAGTCGGCGTGTCGGGATCCGAGCTCTCAGATACGCCATGTCCTTTCCCAAGCTTCCGTTCCCAGTCTGCTGAGCCCGAGGTGTCAGATTTAGACCTTCGAGATTTGCATGGAATACAGTTGGTGAGCAGTAATGGGCCAAGAGGCGGGCTCGACATGTCGTTCGGGGAAGGAAGGGATGAAGCGCCGCTGGTAGAACTGAGCGGTCCATCGAACCCGGTGCCAGAGATTGTGCGTCTATGTTCTTTGATGTAGAGATTTCTCGACTGGGCATCCCTCCATCGAACAACCTGCCATTGCACTTCGAAAACCCCAGGTAAAGCTAGACTGGGTAGCCTTGGGACTAAAGAGTCCTCGTGTTGCTGTTCTGTTTGTTCTCCGGATTTAACAGATCTTGCACATTGCCAGGTTGATAGAACAAGTTGAGGGGGCCGACGATGGGACGCTTCTTGACCCCAAACACCATTGATCTCGGTGTCTAAGTGAAAAGGGCTGACAGTGGATCCATCGCTGGAGCGTTGGGACTTTCCGTTCACCTGGAGTCGTCGGTTTGGCCATCGAACAGGCTCCAGTGAGGGAGTCTTGATCACCTGGGCGGGCGAAGAGAAGTAATCGTCCTCGGAACTTCGAGTATTCTCTTTCTGGTGTTCACTGATACACGAGAGTCTGTAGCTTGCGGTTCGATGTCGATCCAAGCTGCGTCCGATTTCACCACTGTTTCCGGGCATCTTGATTCCCTGGAGAGGAGCACTCCTGGTGGCGGGAAGAGATGGATCTAGGTGGCCTAGGGGATGCATTAGGACGGATTCATGACTCCTGTTTCGAGGTGCAGCTCAGGGCCTTCAGCTTGGCCAGGTTCGTGTTGCACGATTTGACGAAGCGAGTATAGGAATGTCGAATTCGATGGGTGATGGCGCCCAAGATGAGTTTGCACTTATGAATACGGAACATGGACATGGTTAGATTTAGGTGGTGAGACAGTGGACGAAGTGAAGAATATGAAGAGGCGTGGTCCCAGACAAAGTGCCGGAAGCGATTTGGTCGGATGGCACAGCACAGCATCATCCCATCATCCATCAAGGAAGTTTCGAGGCAGCTACCTGTCCTACAGTAGGTATCTAAGGCAGGGACGTACTGGGAGACATTTTCACGGAATGCTGGAAGGGGCAAAGGTAGCTGGCCTTGTTCTTTCCCCAAACATGATACGCATAGATGAAATGGAGATGAAATGCTCATTACTTCCTGTATCGCCGAGGCAGATTGGACTCTCGCCACGACCACGCGTACACGAGTGTGTGATTTATAGCTCACCTAGCTTGCCATATAACCCTATGCAGTCTGGTATATTGGCGTTCTTGAGGTTTGTTGGGATTAATAATAGGACTATGTAGGTTATGGCCTATGGGTAAGTAGGTAAGTATTTGTCCAATGGTTTACGTCACGCCCAGCGTTCTATTCCCGCTTGGAATACGCACTTCAGATTTCATTTAATTTTCCTCCTATATACTCTCCTATACAAGCTATGTGTTCATGTAGATATGACGCCGTGCCGGCTCAGACATTCACATTGATGCAGCTCTTGTCTTTGGTGAGAAAGGCCGGCTAGTAGCGGGCATCTTGGTGTGCTAAGCTCCGATCATGTCCGGCTAGAATCCGGGCCCTTGTGCCCGCTGTGGATCGAGCGAATCCAGGGATTAACCGGAGCCGCTCTTCATTACGAAATCGGAACCATGATCTCTACTAACCTCGGCACAGCACCTCGGCACGCCGAGGGGCATTCAAGTCATTGCTCGAGGATACCCCTCCTCCAGAATCATTCCTTCGAGCTGCCAGACACTGCGCAAATATGCTTCGTCCCATAGCACCGAGGCTTTGGAGCCCTAGGCTCTCACACGTCGCTCGATTAAAGCTCGGACAGCAACCCCGACTACCACAAAATGCGAGGAACTATGCCTCCCCTTCCGCATCCAGCCCGGCCTTCGACTGGAAAGACCCATTAGCAAGCAACAATCTTCTCACCGAGGACGAATTAGCCATTGCAGAGACAGCAGAGAGGTACTGCCAGGAGCAATTACTACCAAGAGTTCTACGTAAGTGCGCCGCCACCCTACAAGCTGGGTCCCTCGGCTGAGGACCAGCAAATGAGGGCACGGTGGTTCGCTGACTCGGCCTGTTCCTCAATACAGAAGCCTACCGCGATGAGAACTACGACCGAGCGATCCTCTCCGAGATGGGCGAACTGGGTCTGCTGGGCGCTAACCTGCAGGGATACGGCTGTGCGGGCACGTCCACGGTGGCAGCCGGACTGATCACGCGTGCTGTCGAGCGCGTAGACAGCGGCTACCGCTCCGGGATGTCGGTCCAGTCATCGCTGGTGATGGGGGGCATCCACGAGTTCGGCTCGACAGAGCAGAAGGAGGAATTTCTCGAGCCCATGGCCCGCGGGAAGCTTCTCGGGGCCTTCGGTCTCACAGAGCCGAACCACGGGAGCGACCCGGGGTCGATGGAGACGACGGCGCGCCCGCACCCCTCGAAGAGCGGGTACTACGTCCTCAGCGGCGCCAAGACATGGATCACGAACTCCCCCATCGCCGACGTGCTGATGGTGTGGGCGAAGCTCGAGGGCAAGATCCGCGGATTCCTGGTCGAGCGCGCGGAGTGTCCCACAGGCACGCTCGAGACGCCAGCACTCAAGAACAAGAACGGGCTGCGCGCGAGCGTGACTGGTATGATCCAGCTCGACAACTGCCCGGTGCCGGCTGCCAATATGTTCCCCTCGGTGGAAGGATTGCGAGGGCCGTTTACATGCCTGAACAGCGCGCGATACGGGATTTCCCTCGGAGTCATGGGAGCACTGGAAGACTGTCTCGCGCGCGCTCGGACGTACGCCCTCGAGCGCCGGCAGTTTAAGAACAACCCGCTGGCCAAGTACCAGCTCGTGCAGAAGAAGCTGGCGGACGCCGCGACGGATGCCGCGTACGGTGTGCTGGCGGCGATACAAGTCGGGCGTTTGAAGGATGAGGGCAAGGCCACGCCTGAGATGATTAGTATGATCAAGAGGCAGAATTGCGACCGGGCTTTGCATAATGCGAGGGTGTTGCAGGAGATTTTCGGCGGGAATGCGGCTAGTGACGAGTATCATATCGGTAGACATGTGGCCAATCTTTTCGTCACGCAGACCTATGAGGGTCAGAGCGATATTCATAGTACGTTATTGCCGAGCTGTGTTGCCAGCCCTGCTGGAAAGAGTTAAGATTTGCTAACAAAGGACATTTTTCTAGGTCTCATCCTCGGTCGTGCCATAACTGGTATTCAGGCCTTTGCGTAGTGGACTCTTAGCATCATCCTACCGCATATCTATCTAGGTAGTAGAAGAGTGGTATTGCTCGACCTATGTTCGCCACATCGTTCATTGGTACCTGCTTTCTACTTCTGGTTTGAATCTGCAAACAACATGGCCTACTTTCCATCTAGGGTAAGCAGATAGGGCGAGTGTATTACGCTTAGTGTATGGATAATATGACCTACAGTCTGTAGAGTGAAGGTTGGGAATATGTAGGTCTTCTAAATCATGTGAAGGTCACCGAATGTTATATACCACGTGCTACATAGGTAGGTAGTCATAGAGATTCAGGCACGTCCCGACATTTCAGGCTGAGAACAGTATCGCTCCGGGCTATCCCTATTATCCATACGACCATCTTTACAAGAGTATTTTATTATCTCAGTCAAGCACAAGCGAGCAAGATATTCCATGTCTAGGCTTCTGATGAATATGTGGCCGATGGGCACAATGGACGATCTCATGATGGGGGTGAAAATTAGTCAATGCGAGTCAGTCACTACGAATTATCGGGTCTGGCTGGCTGGCTGGCTGGCTGGCTGCCACCTTGCTGGACTCAAGGGGCGCGCCATCATCATCGGGTCATGACAGAAAGTTACTTACGAACACCTAACCCTTTGGAAATGGCAAAGGGGGAAGACAGGTGCACCGCCACATTTGCCACGAAGTGGTAATAAAGGTAGGGAGAAGAAGAAGAAGAAGAAGAAAACAGGTATTCCAGCTGTCAAGTTTGCATTGCATGCTCATTCATTCATTCATCCATTCATCTAGCATCTGGTAGATTCTTTTCCGTTCGCATCGCAGCTTAGTCATTATCTACCTAGGTTAGATGTGCCTGAGTGCCGGGTACCGGAATAGCCTAGCGCATGCTACCTAGCGCCCACACACCAACTGCATCTACCTACACATGTACATGTAGGCTCTTGATAGGCAGGCGGCATCCGCCCCAGGCATTTCCGACATCTCAGGATGTCGATCATGGATATGAATAGATACGGTAGGTGCCTGAGCAGAACCTGAGGCGGCCGAGGGGCCAAGATAAATGAATGGCTGCTGCTGAAAACTCTTGGGTGTTGAAGTTATAGATGTGAAATCCGGTTTATATGCTCGTACATGTACCGGGTAGTAAGGTAGGTACGTGGTAGATGAATAAATATCTACATAGGCAGGTACCCAGAACTTGGAAATGGGCGGTGCGGGTACATCTTATCTGTAACTATCTAGGTACTGGAGATATGTATATGATATATGAGTGGGCATGGAGGCGAGGGAGGTACCTAACTGCAATGCAGCCAACCAGGTTCAAAGACCCCCCGGCCCCTCCCTAGGTACTTTCAAGGCATTACAGGTGGCTGTCTCTGGTCGTCTCACTATTGCTGTCACTACCGCTGTCGTTACCGCTGGGCTGCTGCCACTGCCACTCCCGCTACCACACACTGCCTACCACTGCAACCCACCTGCACTCATTGCATTCAGGTTTGTTCACTGCCCATCCACTGCCTTTTAGGCAGCGTTACCTGCCTATGCACCTATCTACCCACCCACTAAAACTACCTAGGTACCTACTTTTCTCCCTTAGCCTGGACCGACTAGACCAGCCATCCAACCAACCTATTCCCAGTCTCCCGTGGCGCCAGGACAACTTCATCATCATCACCACCCTCTCCTCCGATCATCCCATCGACTCTGTCTCAGTCTATCGACCGTACCATATCCTCCTCCTCCTCCTCCTCCTCCTCCTCTGCGACTTCGCCTGTGCCAACTCCGTGTATCTAGAAAGCCATACTAACTTCCCACCATCGCTTCCACACCCGGTTGGGCCCATCTGCCCTGCGAGTAGGTTCATTTCCAACTCGATTCATCCCGCAGCCTGCATCGTCATCACCACCAAGCCTCAACCACCAAACACCCATCTAAACATCGTCCCCTGCCGTGTTGTCCCCTTCCGCCTACATTCCTCCACTTGCCTCTATCTTGCCCTGCTTGCCCTGCTTGCCTTCTTGCCTGCTTGTCTACCTCTTCACCTAGCCATACATCTACTACTTCGTATAACCCCTCGTCAAGCCTCTTTTCTCTTCTTGTCCGCCACCCTTCGTTCACCGACGATTCCTTCGCCTCCGTCTCTTCCGCCACCGGCAAAACCTCCTTCAACTTTTAGCCACAGGCCATAACTGACCGGCAGTATACATAGTCATTCATTCCTCTTGCGCAACTCGCGAGAGACACTGCTGCAACCTCGACACATTCATACCCAACTACTTTCACAATGGCGCTGAAGCGTATCAACAAGGAACTCACAGACCTGGGCCGGTACGTCACTCTCAAACCACGCCTTTGTTTACATGACCCTCTCTGTAACAACTGTTGTTTTGCCTCGATTTTTGCTTCGCACGACCTTGCCCATGGCCTGAGGTGGGGGTGTTTGCAAATCATGAACCCAGAGCGGGGCCTTACTATGGCCCCTCCATTCCGTCTCACCAGCCTGAAGCCTCCTCCCCATGGCATCGACACTCAGCTGCGACCTTCTTAACGCAGAAACAAGCTCATTTTCGCCATGTCCAAGTTTGAGGGCATTTATGCTAATATGCTCTGTTCTGTAGTGACCCTCCCTCTTCCTGCTCTGCAGGCCCCGTCGGTGAAGATCTGGTATGCTATGCCCCTATCAGACATCCCCACCTTCGTCGATAAGGCTGGTTTGGTATCGACAACGACACAACGACATCAATCAGTGTCCATTTGATTAGGTCGACAAATATGGCTAACATTTTGGTCTTGTAGTTCCACTGGCAAGCAACTATCATGGGACCTGTAAGCGACCCTTTGTGTACCCCTTATTATGTCTTTGTTGTACCTGGTCTCGTGCCCAGCTGGTTAATGCTGCTCCCTCGCATGCACTGCCAAAGTCGAACACTAACTTGGAATCGACGTTAGGGCGACTCTCCTTACTCGGGCGGTGTCTTCTTTTTAGCCATTCACTTCCCCACAGACTACCCTTTCAAGCCTCCCAAGGTCAACTTCACGACACGTATCTATCACCCCAACATCAACTCCAACGGTAGCATCTGTTTAGATATTCTTCGAGACCAATGGAGTCCTGCCTTGACTATCTCCAAGGGTGAGACTATGCCCCTGCGCTTGGATCTATCATGATACCAACCTGCTAACCGTATCCTGTTCCAGTTCTACTATCCATTTGCTCCATGTTGACGGACCCCAATCCCGATGATCCTCTGGTTCCCGAGATTGCACATGTTTACAAAACTGATCGATCCCGATACGAGGCCACGGCCCGCGAATGGACGCGAAAGTATGCTATCTAACACTAGCGTGATGCTGTCTTTCCCTCTGCAGGCGTGATAGGTTTGTTCGGACAACGGGTGCATCTGGTAGTGTAGGGGTGGGTGTTCGAAAAGAGAAAAAAAAAAAAAGAAGGGCATCGTCTATTTGCACTAGGGGTCGAGGTGGGTTGGACGGGAGACAGAACATGTCCGGTTTGGTTCATGGGAAGATTCTGACACAAGCAACTGCGTCAGTGAAGGGAAGGGTACGCGTCCAGGCACGTCTCCCGACCTTGTTCTCCCACCTCGGCTGTCATGATATATATGCGGATATGCCGGCGTCCGTCGTTGTCGATTAGTCATCATTATGGCAATGGGAGGACTCATTTTCACGTATCCCTGGTGGGCCCACCCACCGGCTTTGTTGCTGCCGTAGGTGGCTCTACTCATTCTACTTTGCGCGGTCTGTCCATGATAGTGGTAAATAATGAAGTTACGATGAGAGAAGGCATAGTGAGAAGAGGAGAGAATGAATGGTTCCGGCATCACTGTAGTGGTACTCGCGCTACGGCTCTTGTCCCCTGATCTAGTATAATACACGGATTCCATTTCGGAGGATTGTTGTTGCTGTTGTCGCCGCCGCCATGGTGGCATGTGATGTGTGATGTGTGATGTGATGTCTCGCAGCCATTGGTTAGGTAAATATAGGCATGCAGCATGTGAATGGCGTTTTGGACAGGAGTGCCCAAATATAGCAATGCCTAGCAGTTGCGTATCAGTTCATCCCGTCAAGTCAAATGATGGTGGCTTGGGGGGTCGTCTTCATTCATGATATATGGAGCCAGGGGAGATTGTACGGACACGGAGCTTTCGACGTGCATGTCTTGGAATGATGCAAGCACCTACCTATATAGTATTTGTAGATATATGTAGGTGGGGACGTGGATTAACCTAGATTAGAGGTTTAATTGTCCAAGATGGACTGACTATACGAGTATTCACGCATCGCTCTTCATGGCAACGTTGATTTGGCATTACTTTCATGTTGGGGGGGAAATAGGTGAATGAATATCTTTGTAGATGGTTTATAATCGAAGTATACCTCTTACCTACTCCGTAAAAGGTATAGGTATATATATATATATACCGAAGTAAGTGCCTACATAACCTTGGAGGTAGTAGGAAGGTATCTAACCTTGTGCACATCCTGTTGATAGCGTACTATGTACCTACAAATAGAGTACCTGACTGACTGACGGACTGGCTGACTTATTCTCCAAATATGAGGAAGATTTGTAAAGTAGACAAGGCAAGGCAAGACAGGACAGGACAAGACAAGACAGAACAGAAAAGCGAGGAAAGAAAGAAAGGCGAACAGACCCAAAGACAGGGGTGTGTATGGGCGGTCTCGCCTGTGTCTTGGGTTGTGTCAAAAGCGCCCCCTGAAGGAGCGTGCTGTAAGGTGGTCGAGGGAGTCCTGTAACAGATTTAACAGATTTACCGCCAGGTTTAGGCCAGGGCTAGGGGTGTCTGTGACCAATGAGGGCTATACCTATGCTCTTCTCCACCTCTCCAACGCGCTTTGTTTCTGCATCGCCGAGTGCAAAGTATCAGATCAATCAATCAATCAATCAATCATTCATTGATTCATTCAATCAGCCAGTCAGTCAGTCGGTCGGTCAGTCAGTCAGTCACATCTTGCTGCTGGTCCTGGCCTGGGTAAGCGCCCAATTTGGCCGGTGTGCTGTGCTATGTATGATGAAGTTTGAAAGTCGACAGAGGAGGCTGTGTATCCTGAAGAGGCAGCGCAAGGAAAAAGAGAAAAAGAGACGATAATGAACATGCCTAGGGTAGGGATGATATTGTTCCTTCACGGCTTTCGGACTTGTTCTGTTCCCCTTCTGAGCTCTACATACAGTAGTACACCACATCACCAATACACGCCAATTCACGCCAACACAGTAACCTTACTTGATCACTTGCCCCTGGCAATCTACATCCCTGGTCTACCGACAGCTACCTACATATATTTCAAGGCAATGGCATGGAGGCCTAGTGTAGATAGTGCAGTGGCATACCTACACACTACGGTATCATATTACTATGTATGCGTATGTACTTGGTATCTAGGATCAGCGCTTCAAAACCGACATGGGGTCCAAATCCCCTCCCCCCCACCCCAGACCATCTATCGTGCGGCCCGCGAGTGGTATCAGCCATTGCCCACCACCTATTAGAGCAAAAGCGCGAATGTGTTTCCAATGTTGGACACATGCTTACAGGATGTTTGTGCTGTGGAATCTGGACACTGGTACACACATATGTATTGGTCACAAAGAGGCGCCAAAAGAGACGGCGCTTGGCTCAAGCCAATGAGGCCTAGGTCGTAACGAGAGGCAGACGCTGTTCTATTAGGGTCACATAAAAGTGAGTTAGTAAAGTAGTCAAGTATTATACCCATACCCTGCCCTATTAGGTATACTAAGCAGGGACATCGTCTCGTATAGGCACAGTCACGACCATTAGAGCCTCCTCTTCCGTGCCCTGGCTCCATGGCAGAAGAACTGTAACCGACATAAGACCCCGATTGAGACATGTCTGTTTCGCCTTAGGTACCTAGAGTACACCAGACTTACACTAAGCCCACTCGTACTCGTCAGTCGTCGTTCGAGCGATTGTGGTTATCACGGACTGTCCCAGGCCAGCCTTGAGCAACCATCATGAAAACCTGCGCGAAACGGCGGTGGGCCTCTACGTATGCTGTGAATCCTCCGCGCCGTCAGCCGCCCTCGCGCGCGAAAAACGAGGGCGGCGAAAAAAAGTCTTTTCTACATACATACTTGTGAAGCTTTTGCCGATGCAACCTCGTAGGATCCTGGACCCTTCAAGTCCCTGATACCTCGCAGTCTCCACGTAATAAATGCATCGCTAGTATATGTACATAGTAAAGTAAGTAGTCGTCTTCAACGCCGCCCCCTGCCCTCTTGCCTATCCACCATGCCACTCTCGTCCTTGCAAAGCTGCAGCAGAGTAAGTAGTAGGGAAAGTAGAGTAGCTGTTTCGAGCATATTTCGTTTTTCACGAATAACATCAGCTCATCGCTAAAACGTGGGTGCCCGCTATTTATGGCCAAACCTGGTGATATGGCCTGGTAGAGGTACTGAGGTATGATCTACGAGGGAAATGGTCTGATGTTTCGAATGCTTGGCACTTTGTCCATAATCTACGCCCGTCCCGCGTTTGCATAGAGATCTTCGGATCCCTCTTTTTCCCTTCTTCCACACACACACTCCCTCAGGTCACCCTTTCTCTTCCCTTGGACACTTCTATCCCAGCGCGAGCCGTCTGTGTGTGTCGTGTCCTCCTTGTCCCTTTTTTCGTTGCTTGGTATTCGCCCTCTTCGTGATCAGTTACGTTTTTGCGGACTGAACTGGTATCTTGGTCGTCCGTACCAGGGGGATTACCAGGCTCGTATTTTACGTTCTTTACACTCATTTGGATACGACCATCGTAGGGGAACGATACCTAATTGCAGTGTGGCCTTTTTGCACACTCGAAGCCAGGCTCGCTCGAACTTCGAATGACTATGTGCCCGTTCAGCAGGATCTGAATTCGCAGTTTTTATTTTTATTTTCTCAAGACAACACCGTCCTGGAGACAGCAGCAGCTTTTAAATAGTAATAATTGGGAGAAAGCTCCGTACAGGGAGGGACGCCAACCGCCTATTGTAAGCCGCACCGTCGACTTACGGCTGGCTCGGGAAGGACGTGGGAAAAGGTAACAGGTGGAAAAGAGGAACGGAAAAGAAGAATAAAGAGAGAGAGAGAAAAGAGTCGGCAAAATGTCATTTTACAGCGCCGGCCAATATGACGAGAAGCCATCGGAGCGGGCGAGATGGACCCCGTTGACGAGGATGTTGCTCTCGGGCGAGATGACGCAGGAAAAGCAGAAGGAATTGACGATGCGAGAAAACTTCGATAAATGGATGATCAACGAAGGTTACCGCCGATTGTTAGTCTCTACCTACCCACCTTGCTACTCTTTAGCTCTGTTTGTTTTCGTAAGTTTTCCTGTTCATGAACATGTATGCTGATGACATGTGTGTATTTGTGTCCCAACAGCTTCGTCTTCGTCTTTATTTTCTTACACGCCCTCGTTTTCGCCTTCGGATTCGTCAACTACGCCGTCAAGGACAGTTTGCAGATAGCGCGGAACACGTTCGGACCGACGTATATGATAGCCAGATCGGCCGCGCTCGTGCTTCACGTCGACGTGGCCTTGGTTCTGTTCCCCGTGTGCCGCACGTTCATCTCGATTGCGAGGCAGACGCCTCTCAATGGCATCATCCAGTTCGACAAGAACATCACCTTCCACATCACGACGGCCTGGTCCATCGTCTTCTTCTCGTGGGTCCACACCATTGCTCACTGGAACAATTTCGCCCAAGTCGCCGCCAAGAACCACCTCGGCTTCTATGGTTTCCTGGCCGCCAACTTGGCGTCCGGGCCAGGATGGACTGGATACATCATGCTGGTAGCTCTCATGGGGATGGTGTTCACATCGGTCGAGAAGCCCCGTCGGGCCAACTACGAACGCTTCTGGTACACGCACCACATGTTCATCGTGTTCTTCCTGTTCTGGGCGATCCACGGTGCCTTTTGCATGATCCAGCCTGACACAGCACCATTCTGCGTCTCAGTCGGCACGACGGCCGTCGGCGTCTTCTGGCAGTACTGGACGTACGGCGGCTTCATCTACCTCGCGGAGCGCATCGCGCGAGAGGTGCGCGGCCGCCACAAGACGTACATCTCGAAAGTCATCCAGCACCCCAGCAACGTCTGCGAGATCCAGATCAAGAAGGAGAACACGAAGACGCGGGCCGGACAATACATCTTCCTCTGCTGTCCCGAGGTTTCTTTGTGGCAGTATCATCCATTCACGCTGACTAGCGCGCCTGAGGAGGATTACATCTCGATCCACGTGCGTGTCGTGGGTGACTTCACGCGGGAGCTCGCGACAGCGCTGGGATGCGAGTTTGGCAAGAAGGATGGACCTAAGGACTCTTCCAAAGTCGTAGGCGTAGACAAAGAAACCGGCGACGTTGACCCAGCGCTCCGCCGCGTGTTACCGCGTGTCTACGTTGACGGACCCTTCGGCTCTGCCTCCGAAGACGTCTTCAAGTACGAAGTCTCTATCCTCTGCGGTGCCGGTATCGGCGTGACACCGTTCGCGTCAATTCTCAAATCCATCTGGTACAGGATGAACTACCCGCAGAAGAAGACGCGTCTGGCCAAGGTCTACTTCTTCTGGATCTGCCGTGATTTTGGCTCGTTCGAGTGGTTCCGGTCGTTGTTGATGGCCATCGAGGCGCAGGACGTCGACGGCCGCATCGAGATCCATACGTATCTCACCGCCAAGATCAAGGCCGACGACGCGACGAACATTATGATCAACGATGCCAACGCCGACAAAGACGCCATCACCGGCCTGAGGAGTCCGACCAACTTTGGTCGGCCGAATTGGGACATGATCTTCCGCGGTATCCGGAAACTGCACGCGCCTGCGGAGGCTGGTGTGTTCTTCTGTGGACCGAAGGGTTTGGGAAGCTCGTTACATGTCTTTTGCAATAAGTATAGTGAACCTGGGTATGTGGTGACTTTCTCTCTCTCCTGCTACTGCCTCCTTTCTTCGCTTGCTCCTATGTTCTACTTCCACCCCCATTTCTCTTCTCTCCCAGATATACCTTACTAACTTAACCCTCCTATTTAGTTTCTCATTTGTCTGGGGCAAAGAAAACTTCTAAAGGTCTGGCCTGTATGCTCACATGCATCAAATCAATCAATCAATCAATCAATCAATTCATTTATTTATGACTGGCTGGCTGGCTGGTATTGCGCCACATGTATGTATGCTTGCTTCATGGGGAGAAAACGCATTTTGTTGTTGTGATGGTGGTATAATTTAGACAAGAAGATATAATCAGACTTTTGGATGTGAATAGCTTTTTTTGACTTTGCTTCAGGGGAAAGAGAGCAAGTGAGCGAAACATAAACCCCTTGCATGCACCTAATGATGATTGCGGGTATTCCGGTGATCAAATGAGGACGAGCAGGTTGGGTATACAGTGAGCTGCGAAGAAATCACTTCTGTGCTTTAAGTTTTGCTTGCTTGGTTGGTTCTGTTGATTGGATCCCCCCATTTACATATATATATATATATATGTTTGTCTGCTCTACTTTACGTATCTGATACACTTGATATTATAGTGAGCTAGAACTATGCTGATATACTCTCTACGTTTTTGTCGTCATCTCTCTCTCTCTCAGTCAATTTGTCTGTCTGTCTGTTCGTCTCTTTTCTACTCCAAAGGCTGGCTGATGTCTTCGATGTCAATAATTGAGATGCTAAGCAGGTGGTGCGCTTAGTCGACAGGGTGCTTCTATGTTAGCTAGATCGAGATTTATTTGGTTGTTGATTCCGACGCTATATATCTCTTTCAAGCAATAATAACATCAAATTTGGAGGCGGCGATACCAGTTTGGATACATTGGAGACAGGATTCCTGCGGGAGGACGAGAGTGTGCTTCTTTCGCTGTACACTCGCCGTAGCAATCGCCAATCGGGCTTGCCAATTTCCATAGGCTCGGACTATGCTAGGAGACCCCGGGAGATCGAGAAACTCGTCCCAGGAATCGATAGAGATGAGACTCTCAAGACTCGTCTGTGTGCCTACCGCCCATGGGTAATAGCAAGTCCTGAAAAGCGTTATATAATCGCTTCTTAGCATTGACATGATATCGAGATCGCCGATGTGTGTGCCCTTATCGTTGACAGAGACCAAAGACTCAATAAGAACAACCAATGTGTCACGCAAGCCTCTAACACCAATATCTACAGGCATTTCGAAATCAGTAAAAGATAAGTGTAACGACGTGCTGGAAAAGTTGTCCTCTAAGGTCCCGTTGAAAGGCGTATGATTGATTAGGTGCCAGGACTTCAGGTCGTAGTCTTTCAGCTTAGGACTCGACGGTGGGATAAGAAACGCTATCTCGGGACGCCCAAGGTTCCCAAAGACTCTGCGAATGGGATGTCTAAATGTGGATTTCCGATGGATCTGTTGTCAGGTCAGATGCAACGAAGATTGAATCTCCCGTCGAGAGTGCCATGACACCCTGTAGAGATTCTGGATTAATATTAAACTCCCCGGTTTCAAATGTGGTAATGCAAGCAAATGATTCTGCGAGTTGGCTCGGATCGTATTCAGTCGGCAGCAAGGGCCGCGAGTTGGATGCCACATTTGGTACTTCATTCTCAGATACCGGCGTTGCAGCTTCATTACTTATAGTAGAGCCTTCATCCATTGTATCGCCGAGAATCGGGTTGTATGGCGCTGTTAATTTTGGCAGCATCCCACGGGATCCTACCGCCCGTAATAACGGCTGTTTCACATGCTGTGAGCGACGAGGATTGGCAACTTTCTGAGCCCATACATATTTATAGAGCGGCTCCTTCACTACTTCAATATTCACAGTACAGCCTTCGAGAGATTCATATAGCCCAGTAGCGAAAGCCAGTGCCTCAAGAGAGCTTGATTGTTGGGTATTCTTGGCGGTTATCCGGTTCCATCTGGACTCAAGGTATGAACGAAGCTTCGTAAGATCAAGGGCGGAATTCTTTAGTACACCTTCGATTTCGTTGAGCAAAGTCGGCGGACATACTTCATTTGGCAAATAACGCGCAATTTGACTGCGGTTCTTCTTGAATATGGCAATACCTTTCGGATCTCCTAGCAAAAATCATAGACGGCTTCATCCTGAGTTGGGCTATCCAGCATGAAATGCCAACTGTCGATAGGTTGAAGATCATTTTGCCGCAGAAAATAACAATCCTCTCCAGAAAACTCGACCCACGAGGCGTAAGAGAAGATGTAACACATTTTGCAATTGTCCTTTCCATGGACATTGCCATAACAACCATCACGCCTCTTTCTTGCTCTCGAGTGACTTTCAGATATGCAACGGCTGAGGGGGACCAACTGTATGTGACAAGACAAGGAGCATGCGGATACACTTTCTGCGCAGGCACACTCAGGGCCACCTTCTGATACGTAGCTGCAGTTGAGTCCATCGCAGCTCGTCTCTGGCCAGTTATAGTCACTCACTATCCAACGACAATGCCCCAGTATGGATCCGCGGCGCTGACGTTTTGTTGACGGTTTGTGGTCATCGTGAGGCGATGATCGTGGAAGTGCTGTTGTTAAGCAATGACAGTTATTACGCCCGGAAGCCGACTCTCTCTGGGATCTTCTTGATGTATCTAATGAGTACATCTTGGTCTGAGGCCTGGAGAGTCTGGGCAATTGTGCGCATGATTTTGATCTGCTCTTCTACCTCAGGAACCATGCTCATAAGAATTGAGAAAGAGCTAAGGCCGAAGAATGGAGGGGGACTAAGGCCCGAGTCGTTCAGAAAGAACTTGCATCTTCGCATGCCTAGTCTGAGCAGCTTCTCAGCTTGGCTACGATCGACAGTTTTGACATTAGTATACCGTGTTGCCGCGTCAGCCAGATAATTGAGCCAGGGGACAGAATAGTCGTTTTTGTTGACGCATTCGGAAAGAAGGATGATAAAGCTACAGCATTTCTCGGTACTGACGGCGCAGCCATCCTGCCATTGCGAAATAACTATGCCCAAGACGATGATCCAGAACTCCGCCATTGTGATCCGAGAAGTTTCCCATGAAACCTGACGCTGTGCTACGACGGGAGAGGAGTAATAACGCATTCGAGACAGGGGTAAGGACCAGAAAACGCCCTCCCTATTGTTTGCTGTTCAGTGAGCCGAGATAGTGATAAGTCCTCCTTTCATGAGTTCGTCATTGAGATCAACAGACTTAACCCCGTCGACCAAGACCTCCATGTTGGGATATAGATGCCATGATGATATCGCCAACAGCACAGAACCATCCTGGACCTGCTGAGGAATACCTTGAACTAGAAGTTCCATGGCACACATGGCCGAGGTCCAAGCATTGACTACGCTTTTATAAGGGTCTGTAAGTTGATTGACAGGGACTCGGACGTTATTAATGATAAGCATTAGTTGTGTCTAATAGAGCCGCCTATCGACATCTACCGTCTAGAGCCATGACCGAGTACTGCTGTCCCAGCAAGCCAATTGCTGCCTGCTAAAGGTCTGTCTCGAAGCCATAATTGCAGCCGTTTCAGTCGCAGTTCCGTTATTATAAACGTTGTCAATTTCTTGCTTCCATTGCTCAACAAGGTCGACCCAGAGAGAGATAGCCTCGTGGCTTTTCCAGATTCTTGCCAACATACAAGCAAGTAAATGAACTGCGAGAGCGCCTCGCCCAGGGGTTGCAGCTGCCCAAATGCTCGTGCCGTCTATACCGACCTGAGCCGTGAAGAGACCGAAATGAGAGCTTTTCTGGGCCGCAGCCCCTGAACGAGATGAGATTTCAGAAGCACGTTTCCCATAAGCTTGAATAAGATTTGGAATCGGTGGTACAATAGCCTCAAACAAGGCCCTAAGCTTCCTTGCTGTAATGTGAGGTTGGCCTTCCTCTGCCGCATCGCGTCGATGGGTGGATAGAGCATCTCGGACTCCGTGGAACTCCTTCGGCGCTTCTACCTTCATCAAGGAAAAGTCTAGGTTGAAGTTCGCAGCCGCCACTGTCAGTTCATTGGGCATGGACAAGACTGCTGTGTTGAACTTGGAAATCGAAACCATGTTGAATCACATTTATGAGTCTGTATGGGATTTTAATAGACAGTGATGCGTAGATAAGAAACGAAAATGGTGCCTGTCTCTAACCATTATGTCTGTGCATTTCACCCCCTCTTCAGAGCCTCGTTTGCTACCCCGGTCCAATTCCTGAGGGGGCGAGGAGTACTCAGATCAGCACGAGAAGAGCCTGTTCGCCTAACAGGAAGCCGCACGGCGCAAGTATGCTCCAATGAGCTCTTAGTGTTGCAGTGCATAGACCCTGACACCAAGCCGCCACCTTATCAGCTACTATGGGAGGGCAGCTATAACAATGGAACCAATGGCATTGTTGTACCGCCACAGTGAGGTAGTAGATGCCCTATTTCCAAAGAATATTGAGAAGGTAAAGATTGGCAGCCTTTTACAAGAGACCGGGTAGTCACATACCAGCTGGTGAGGCAGAATTTGATTGCAATGTGATGTTTTGAAGGGGCTGTTATGTCGATATTAGGCCTACATGGTGTTCATTCTTATTTACGGTGTTCTTAAGGGTTTTTATGAGAAATACTGAGGTATCCAGAGAAACACAACGTGGTAGGTGATACTCTAGCTAGCGAGATTGCAGAGAAAGTCGACATAGTAGATAGGCGGCCAAATCACAGCGAGAGGCTTCAACTCCTCACAATAACTGTAACCAGTCACTCTACTTTGCCTTTTCTAGAGAATAACTGGTTGACAACATATTATTAGGTACAAGGTTGAAAGGGGGTCTCGGGTTGTGCCCAACCTCGTCATGTTGTTTGCTGACACACAATACCCATGCAAATTACACTCCATAGTCACGTGATCGTGTCACTCATCTACGGGCCTACGGCTCACTTTTTCCGCTCACTCACTCACCCCAGCCACTCTTAAACAACTTCATACTAGTCTCAGTCAAAGATAAACCTCATTCCAGTATGGGCGCTTTTCAATATTTGGCCCTGGCATTCATTGCCTACACTCTCATAAAAGCAGTACGTGTCCCCATCCCGATAAGCTTTAGTCTGTCTCATTATCTGGGTACCTTATCAAATCTAACACCCTTGCCTCGCCAAGATCTTCTTCACAGACCGGTCCCCCATCCCCGAGACATCGGGTAACGTCCATAAAATCACCTCGGCGGCGCAGCTGCGCGCCCTCCTGGCGTCTGCGCCGTATGTCGCCGTTGACTTTTATGCCGACTGGTGTCCGCCCTGCCGCGCCATCGCCCCAATCTTCTCGCAACTCGCCGAGGACTATGGGAGCGTCCCGGCGAAGCTTGCGTTTGCCAAGGTTAATGTCGATCATGTGAAGGATGTCGCGGCAGAATTTGGAGTTACCGCTATGCCGACCTTTATGTTCTTCCGAGATGGCCAGACGCTGGGTGAGAGGGTTCGCGGCGCGAATAAATCCGCGCTCGAGACTGTTGTTAAGGCTTTGGCTGCGGAGGTCGGAGTTGAGAAGAAGAAGGAAATGGAGTGAGTGAACCCTGTTAGGGCTTGGGGGATCAGGATAGAGCGACCGGCCTTGGGTTCAATGACTAGACCAAGATCAACTACCCAGACAGCCGACGTCTATTCTGGCGCCTGGTCATTCACATGGAACCAACTGAGTTGGAGAAGAATTCTTTGAGTTTTGAAATGGTATTGTATTTCATCAAGAAGGCTGGTGGAAGGGGTTCTGACAAGTGCTCCTGAAGACGTGCAACAACTGACAATTCGATAATTGAATCCACACCGAGGTCTTGTAGTGCAATATCGTCCGTAAGGCTTCTCGGGTCAACACCTATCTCAGCGGCCACAATGGCAATGATTGCCTCGAAGTCGACTCTAGATCCCTCGTTTGAAATTGGGGTTCGAGGATCCTTCTGCTCGTCGGCGCTCGAGGAGGCTTGTGGGGAATTGGCGAGCTTGTTCGGCATGCCTCTTTTAGGGCTCATTCCGTGAGAATCTGCTGTGAAGTTCGATTCAATGCCATCATTCCCATGCTTCTCCTCGAGGAGAATAGCCGTCTGTCTCGAATTCTCCGTAAGAGAACTTTGCCCGACACTTTCTGGGTGGTTCACGGCAGGCACATAGTGAGCCCTATGCGTTTGTCTCGCACTGGGCGTGGTGCTGGTATTCTTTTCGCTTGAGCGGAAAACCAGACGCTTGATTACAATTACCACGTGTCCGGATGAGCTCATAACATGGATGTCGCCAGTTTTTTTGCCAGACAGGCCACGCGGCTCCAAGCGAATGTGAGCATTATAAGTGTCGCCGGGTACCAAAGGCATCAGGTACTGCATCTTACCCCAGCCGTGACAGTCATGTCGGGATTTGAACTCATGATTGAGCGTAATAGTTGCAAGCTGTATCAAAGCTTCGAGCCACACCGGGTTGCACTTGTAATCGCCTCCGCCGGGTAGGATATGAAGCTTTCCAACAGCCTCGAGATCTTTGGTACTGAGAATAACTTCTTTGATACTGGGAAGTGCGCGGTCGTATGCGATGTAGGGACTTATATCTGTTCCCACTATACAGCTTGTGTGCCCGTTGGCCATGAGGAACTGAAGCACATCCATTCGGGAATGATATAGATACGCATTGCCGTTGGCTTCTGATTCCCAGTCTTCACCATCACTGACAAGTACCCTGCATCGCGCAAGCTCTATTCTCTCGTCGCACTCGTACATTGTGATAGCAATTCGGACCTCGTTGCTATCATTAAGGAGCTGCATGGCTACTGTCCTGAGTGAAGATAGGTTTCCTGACGGACATCCCAACGGAAGTTCCAGATCTAGCACTCCCATAGCTTTGAAAGTGACGCCTAGCCTCTCATGAAGATGAGCAGCAGCAGTCATAGCCATGTCAACGAATATCGAACTAGGGACAAACATATCCCCACCAATTTTGAACCGCTGTAGGAGGTCTTTTAGTTCCGCTCCATCAAGATCAGTGGAAAAAGTGAGCTTCCGAACACCCCTCTCGGTCAAGTCGCTTTCGACGCGATGCAAAGTAGAGCTTTCCAACTTCGCACGCGAAGAAGGTAATACGTCATCGCGTAGCAGTTTCTGATTCTTCCGAATCATCCAGTCGCCATCGTACTGAATCCAGTACCGCTTCAGGTCAAAAGGGTACGACGGCAGCTGTAGCAATCGTAAACAATCGAGATACTCCTTATGGTACTCATCCCAGCGTACGGATCCATTAACAGCGTAATACATGCTTAGTACTCTGCTAACAGTCGCCCAGTTCGATTTCTTTGGATCGAGTATCGCAGCCAATGCCGTTGATTCTACTTGAAGAGTGGAAGCAATCATGGGTAGGCAAGCTGGCGCAGGTCCAAGCTCAATCCAGAAAGCCTTCTGGTCGCTCCCTATCAATTTCTGAACTTCATGGAGACCTTTTTCGAACAGGACAGGCTCCCGAGTCTGTCGACACAGATAATCCGCGCATAGCTTGCTCTCATCTGCTACTGCCTCACCAAGGAGTGAGGAGATGAACGTTATGGTGTGCTTCTGGAACGAAACACCCTGAGCTATTTTTTGATAGTCTTCGAGTATGCTATCCATTTGCCTTGAGTGGTAACCGTATGACGTTTGCAGTTTCGTAGCTTTGACATTCACTGACGCTAGATGGGACATTAGTGAATCGATATCTGCGACTTTGCCACTAAAGACTGTCTGCTGAGGCGAATTACTACAAGCAATTTCGCATTGAGGAAAGACCTGAAGGAGCTTGGCTGCCTCATCAGCCGAGATAGCGACGACTGCCATGGTATATTCATTGATTCTACAAGCCGATTCGAGGAGAAGACCGCGTTTTCCCACGAGCCAGAGGGTGTCAGCGAGACTAAGTACGTTGCAAATGCAAAGGGCTGCGTATTCGCCTAGGCTGTGGCCTATGACAGCCTCAGGACGAATTCCCCAGGATTCGAATAGGGCTGCCAGTGCAATCTCCAGCGCAACAAGAGCCAATTGAAGTTGGGCAGACCCAAAATGTAAGCCTTCGTTCGCGATAACCTCAATGAAAGAAGGCAGGTCCATCTTGCGACACAGCTGGTCTGAATGGCATATGTGGCGCCGGAAGGTAGCATTTGTTTCAAAAAGGACCTGTGCTCGAGGAAGGGCAGAGGCCTGGCCCGTGCAAACAAACACGCTCAGCGGCGTCTTTAACCGTTTCGCTCCTGTTGTTTCAAGCTCTACCTTAAGCATCTGGAGCAGCTCATCTACTGATTGTACAACACACGCGAAGCGATATTTGTGATGTAACCGTCTCGCCGTGAGTGTGTATGAGAGGTGTGAGAGGTTTACGGCCAGGTTGTTATGTATGTAATCCAGGAGCCGCATCAAGATGTTTCTTAACGCTTCTGGTGTAGCAGCTGAGAGTGTTATGGGATGATGTGTCCTTGAATCTATGGCACTAGGAGTACCGGTCTCATTGTACTCCTCTAGCAGCATAGCAGTAATCCCGCCTGTAGCATTGAAATTGTTCACTAGCATACGCCGCTTGCCATCCTTAGCTAGAGCAGGATAATACATATTGTCTTGAGGCACCACTACGCCTAAGTCTCCGAACGCGGGGAGCTTAGGGTTAATACGTGTCTTGATGCCAATATGTCGAGGGATAGTCTGGTGCTGCAACATCAACAGTCCTTTGATCAATGAAGTAACCCCGGAAGCCGCTTCGGAGTGCCCGACATTAGGTTTGACTGAGCTGATAGTCAGGGGACGATGCTTGGGGCGTGGTTTGTTGAGCAAGCCAGCGACGGACGTTGACTCCGCCAGGTCGCCAGCTTGTGTCCCAGTGCCATGGAGCTCAATGTGGTCAACATCGTCAATGGTCATTCCTGCAGTAGAGAGAACGCTTCTGAACAGTGCAATCTGGGTGTCGGCTTCAGGGTGGGTGAGAGATATTGCTGTGCCTGCATGGTTCGTTTCCACAGACCGGATCACTCCAAGAATGTTGTCCTTGTCGCGAATAGCGTCGTCAAGCCGTTTGAACACGACACTTGCAAAGCCGTCCGCCCGGCAGTAGCCATCTGCAGTTTCATCAAAAGTCTTACAAGGCCCTGTCTTATTGACGAATCTAGCACGACTAAGCCCGGCAAACATATCGGAGCAGGTCAATAAGTTTGCGCCTCCTGACAGGGCGACGTCGCATTCTTTGCGCCTTAGACTCGTAATGGCTTGATGCATAGCTACAGCACTGGCCGAGCACGCCGTGTCAACACTCATGCTAGGGCCTTCCCAACCGAAGTAATAACTGACACGGCCCGGTCCAAAGGCTCGCGTTCCTCCAGTAATGTAGTTGATGTCAACGTCTTGGCTAGAGTTGGCTTGACGGTAATCATCGGCCGCGACGCCGTAGAATGTGCCATTCTTTGGACGGGAGCTTAAATCACCGGTGTCATAATATCCAGCGGCTTCCAGCGCTTCGTAAGCAGTTAACAGCATAAGCCGCTGCATAGGATCTGTCTGGGCCGCCTCTCGAGGTGACATTTTGAACAGCGCAATGTCAAAATTGCCTACACCGTCGTAGAAACACCCGTAGGGTGTTAAACTAGTATTGTTAGTTTTACCTGTGTGATCGACATGAGACTTAATATCGAAACGTTCGATTGGTATCTACATGGTTAAAAGATGTCAGCAAGGAGCTGCGTAATGGACCTTGAACTTACAAGCCGATGTTGATCTTTGCCCCCTATCAAGGCTTTCCACAGCTCATCCACATCCTCCGCCCCAGGGAACCTGCCAGCCATACCTACCACGGCGATTGACTCACTGGTATTGAGAGGATGAGGATTAATTTGATCTGATTGCAGTTGACGGGATCCAAACCGACAGACAGTATTTGGCTTCAACGCCCGCTCGAGGCTGCTCATACGAGCCGGTCCTATTGATGTCAGGTCAACGTTTAAGGTAGCGACGCGGTGAGAGATATCTTGAATCTGTTCATCAATATCTATAGGCTGCTGTAGAATATCTTGAAGAGTTAGGCGCAACAACTCTCGAAAAGATTGGGTCTGAGCAATCCTCGCGCGAAGTAACAAACCACCACATGCGACAGGCCGTTCAAGAAGCGGCGAATCACCCATTATGTAATCCAAATCCGGCAGAGAAAGATGCTTGGCATGGTAGGCCCCGTATATTGGCAAAGTAAGCCTACGGGAACTGCGAAGGGCTTCAGATGAAATGAATTCTCTAAGCAAGGTCGGCGGCCCACTCAGGGTAACGGATGAAGCTGAATGCGCACTGACATAGATATGTTTTACATCTGGAAGAAGCTTTTGGCCATTAGAAGTGGCGATTTCAAAGAAAGGATACAATAACGAACCCGAGAACCATGAAACTGACGCAGTTCGTGCTCAACGGTCTTTAGAGAAACCCCGGATACTCCTACAGACCATGATCCAGGGGAGGCATCTAACGCATAACTGCGCCGTGACACTTCGAAGCCTAACCGGAGGGAGATTGCTACCATTACGGGACCTAGGTGGAGAACATCGCCGGTTGATAACGCTGTGACGGCGACCAGAGCGGCCAAGCCACCAGTACAGATGCCAACCGCTGTGTGTTCTGCCTGTAACCAAATCCCCCTATTATGTTCACGATGTCTGCAGATGAAAGATCAGCAACGCCATCCCTGGATGAGCTGAGTAGTTAAACTGTACATTAATAGCCACCCCAGCTGAGCTACGCAGCTTAACACAGAGGCTATTGCAGCATCACGAACCCCAAGTGCTTGGACATGATCAACCAGCTGGGCGAAATCTCGCCCTTGAAAAAGGCACCTATGTTCGAGAGGTAGGCAGGTACCAGAAGCCTGGAGCGCATCAAAGCAGGAACGCAGAAAAGTACCAAGCAGATCCGAATTTGGTATCTCGTGTATAAGGTCGATCAGGGAATCATACGGCTCCACGGATTGATCGCCGAAGAAGAAGATATTGGCGGTGGGCATCATGTTAGCCGATCCCAATTAGAACGATGAAGCGTATAACCCTCTATTGTCGATATGTGCCGTCCGTTACCCGAATCTCGTGTAGTTGGGCGAGCGGAATGCCGTATTATACAGTCGGACATGCCATCACCGAGCCCCATTCCGGCCCGATATCTTCTGACAGTGACGAAATGTACCACCGTCTTACCTTCAGAAGTGGACCTTGCTCGATGTAACCGATAAAATCCTTCGCCAAGTTCCTATCTACCCGAGCCATGTTGTTGCCTTAAGAGTAACGTGCATGCAATAGTCCCAAACTAACGACTTCGCATTGTGACTCGGGTCCCTTCCGGATCTAGGCATAGGTGTAGCTTAAATCTCCCGACGTAGCGTTGTAAATGGAGAAGGAGAAGGGGTATAAACGATACCAAAGTAATCCAATTAGTGGGAGGGAATAGTAGGTACTGTGGGGGTTAGTCAGTTAAACCAGAGTGACTCGATCACAATTCGCACCGAGATCTACCTGAGACTGTCTCTGGTTCATCACGAATTAACGCACGAGACGCGTGTGACGATCATGATCGGAAGATTACATGGTTCACATTCTCAAGCACCGGCCTTATGGGCCGCTATTGATCAGCACGTACTTCTCTCTATGTCATATTCTGAGCCAAACATATACATCAAAACATGATTGAAACCTATAAGCTTTAAATCTACAACGGTCACATTTCCCACCTAGCCTGACCATCCGACTTGTACGATACTCATGGTACTACCTTCAGGGCGGCACACTGCCTCCACTACATATCGCGAGTCTGTTTCTTTGAGAATGTGCTCGTACTCAGCAGCAGTCCGCTCTTGCGCGTTAAAGACAGTCGCCATGATAGCGTCCATCTGAAAGCCAAAACGGCCGGTGAGATCTGTAACCGGCCGGTCCTCAAGCACGTATTCATAGATCAGGACCTTCGTACCCTTGCGCATCGCCGGCACCAGACCTTGTAGAATACGAATTGCGTACTTATCAGCCCAATTATGCAAGACATAGCGCATTAGGAACGCGGCTGGTGGTTCCATAGTCTGTGGTGTGAAGAAGTCGTGTTCGACAAACTCGATACGGTCTTTGAATTCACCAGGAAGCTGTGAAGGCGCTTGGGCCACTACGTAGGCGAGGTCTTGAACAATGTAATGCACATGGGTTGTGTGACGCGCAAGATACTGGCTGATCTGGCCGTTGCCACCCCCTATGTCCACGACTTGCGCGCCAGGCTGGTCAATGGACGACCAGTCGAACGAGGTCAACATATGTCGCAGATCCCAAGAATCACCTTTGGTGAAGTGGCGCATAGCCCCTCCGAAGCGCCGCGCTCTCTCGGGTTGCCCCGCAAACAAAGCGAAGATGGGCTTGTCGGTCTCGTTGAACATGCTGAAGGCAGATTGATTGGGCTCAGCCGTGTTCTGTTCGAACTTCTCCCATACGTCAATTAGCTTGGAGGATGCAGGTCCGAGATCTTCTATTTCAAGGCCAACAGCGTCAGAGAAACTCTGGTCCGTAGCCAGTCGCCTAGAAGACGCGGTATGCCGTACACGCTGCGTCTCCGGATCTTCGGTAAAGACGTGGAAGCCCATGGCTATACGCATGAACCGTCTGCATAAGTCTTCTTTCAAGCCAGATGTGGCGGCGATCTCGGCATATGAGGCACTGCCATTCAGGGGCACCGCGGTGGCTAGCTTATAATGGTATACGACGCGCAGACCGAGAGCGTCACTCCACTAAATTCGACGAGCGTTAATGTTTATTTTCCCTAAGTCTTCGGGTAGCATATGTCGTTACTCACACCCAATGCACAATCCAAAGTAGCATGCGCCGCGCCTCGGCTCAGTTGCTTCAGTTCGTTGGCGTCATTCCCAAGTGCCCAGCGCTCATCTTGGAGCTCATTTGGGAGCTGATCGAGCGTGTCCTCGTCAAAGGACGGGTAGGGAATATTGTGGGCCTCAAGATATGCGTCGAGCTTCTTTGCTCGAGCGAGAAGCCCTTCGGCTAGAGAGGTTAAGGACGGCATATTGAAGTAGGTCGGGGTGCCTGGTACACAGCAGCAACTATAGTCGTTGGAATGGAAGCTCAACGTCGGCGTGTGCTTGCTTAAGTAACGAGACCTCTCAGGCGTAATTTGGCTCCGGACATCACCACGGAGTTGGCAACCAAGCATATGCTGCCTCTCATGGTGTGATGACGATGATAGAGGCCAACAGCAGCAATAAAACTAACAAGTGTGCGCAATAGTATCATTGGATGGCTATGGGAGAATGGTAGATGTCGGTTGAGATTGAATGCATACAACTACGTCTTAGAAAACTATAGTACCAACTATTAATGGCGCGTCTTACCTGCATGAACCAGTAGGATCTAACCTGAATCGTGTGATATCGGTGTCCGATCCTTCCGGAACTCTTCGGGCCCGTATATCATCAGATAATATTCAACCAACAATCCAGTCGTGGGGGCATGAGGGTGACGAGAGAGAGAGAGGAGTGAAATGCATGCATTAGATAAAGCGACGTACGGCGCGGCAGAGTTGCAAGGACCCATGTCCGGGTCGCCGTAACTGCACTAGGAACACTCGGACTCATCCTTCCGGTGCAGGATGTCAGAGAACAGGTTCATATCAGGTAAACTTGGCGACTTTACGCGAACTACACTACACTATAGACTAACTAACCAAGACCGACGACAAGGCCTGGTTCAGTCTAGAACGTGACCAAACTCAGGTAAGGCGTAGTATAAACACGCACACCCATGGCGAAGAGGTTGGACCTGAAGCTGTCTCAAACGACTCCTGCCCAAGTAGGTAGGTAGATATCTAATGGCTCTGCGCGTGGCGCCGCAACTGGGTTAGGTTCCTGTAGGGGGTTGTTTGCAGTTTACCCTGTGAGGGTTGTTTCTGCAAAGTCGTTCTCGAATGGCACATTCTTCGCCTTGCATACTGGTAACAGCTTGGCTGCGCCATATTTGGCCTCTTATCGCTGACCAACCGCCTTTGGTCGCCGCATCAGTAGACATTATAGACAGGTCGTCACCCCCACATAACAATATGTAACTGATAGCAGAATGTGAATTCGGAATCAAACCCACGAATGATAATACTGCCAGAGTGAATTCCCAGCCTTCCATGGCTCCCCTCAGTGAAGAAGAGCTGGCTAGAGACCAAGCTCCTCAGTTGCTTGCCATATTCATCATCTTCACCGTCCTCCCTTTGATTGCTGTTACACTGAGGATAGTCGCACGAAGGGTTACACATCAAAAAATAGGACTCGACGATTGGCTGATTTTCGTGGCCGTTGTAAGTCTATACTCCTACATAACATGCATCAAGTCAGAGTTACAGTCTGATACTCAAGATCCTAGGCGCTGTGTATCGTGCAACTCGCATTCCTCATTGAAGCAATACTCAATGGGTTGGGTAAACACATCCAAGTGGTGCCGCCGGCGAGCATCGCACCATATCTCATGGTACGTACGTGCCTTGCGAGAAATGCCGGGAAATTCTACTTATACAATTCATGTGATTCTAGTACACGTACCTAAGCGAACTCTACTACGCGATCGACGTTACGCTTATAAAACTTTCGATCCTAACACTCTATCTGCGGCTGTTCAACGTCAATCGGCATTTTAAGAACGCGTGTTACGCCATGATGGTCTTTGTTCTAGCTTGGGGTATTGCTGTCCTGTTTACAACTATCTTCCAATGCCAGCCTGTTACAGCTGCATGGGACAAGACGATTCCCGACTTCAAGTGCTTCAGTCTCTCCGCTTTTGTCATTGGATCGAATGTACCGAATATCCTCGCCGATGCCGTAATCATCGCTCTACCGTTGCCATTATTATGGAGCCTGAAGCTGTCTACGACGCGCAAACTTGGCCTGATCGCTCTGTTTCTTGTTGCGGCCATGTTAGTTGACGATCCATAGCGACCGTAGGAAGCCTGCTAATGTGTTATCTAGTACCACTGTCATTAGTCTTCTCCGCGTCATATTCAACGCCAAGATTAACACAATGGATGCAACGTGGAACTTCATCACCGTGGCTATTCTCTCAACAGTTGAGGTTAACGTGGGGGTAACCTGTGCTTGTATGCCTGTCATATATCCACTCTTCCGCGTTTTCGTTGATAGACGTATTGTATCCTCCAAATCTCAAACGGGTTCGAAAGACGGAAGCTACGTCTACGGTAGACAGTCATCTCGCACCCGACAGAGACTTGGAAGTTCGGATCGGGAACAGTCCGATACCAGCCAGCTGTGGTCAGCAAGTGGCGGCGTCCACAACTCTTCGAAAGAGGGAGATGAAATCCCGATGAATCGCATTATGGTTACGCGTGATCTTAGCGTATGGCCGCCACCAGTGGAGTGATAGTGTTGAATAAGGTTAACAAGCATCTGAAGGATTACGGTTTGTGACGAGGTTCATTTGCACAGGTCGATAAAAGTTGAATCGCGTATGTTTAATGATTATAAGTGTATTTTTACTGTAATAAAGAATCATTTGAATCCTGGGAGTAACGGGGGTATCATGCATAATGTTCTATGATAATTGGTTTAACTCTATGCGCGTTTATTATGAGAGATTGTAGCTCATTGAGTATGTTATCCATTTGATTTCTCCAATACGTACAATCTGAGATATGCAATGTAAAATAATATTTCAATAAAGCATAGTAATTCTAATCAGTTTTGTGAGACAAAAATGCCCCTCCAGTGGCCTGATCCATTAAATCCTCTGTCCCACTTCATCCATTCTTCGCCTCTGTACCCACGATATCGGAGCGGTATATACTTGAGCATAATCAGTAAGCTACAAAATTGAAAAACAATACGATGGAGTCCATCGGAGAGACTGAGGTATGCAACGTTCTTCGAACTGATGGAGGCGTCTTGAAAGACCTAATAGGCAGCTTCATCAACGTTGAACCCTCGGCTCTCAAACCCGACTCGTCACTCGAGGAACTTGGCCTAGACTCTATTGCAGCTGTCCAACTAGCAAATGCACTGCTCCTACAAGTTCAACTGCAAGTCCATCCAGATGAACTATTTAAAGCCTCGCTCAATACGCTTGCGGGGCATGCTCAGCAATTCCACCGGGCGTCGACAAAAGCTCAGTCAGCAGGCCGAAACAACGTGAATGTCCGATCTGGTCTGGCAGCGCCTTCACTAGCTAATGTTTCGTCTCCGAACCAGTCCCGAAGTGCTACCGATGTTACAGTTGAAGCAGCAGCTGCAGCACAAGAGCGCCTCGTTACTAGGCCTTCTCTTGATCTTTCATACGATCCACTCGAGATTCTGGCGCAATCAAACTCTATATATGAGGCGGCTTCTCGTAGAAGTGGCTTCGCAGACTACTGGAGTACTGTATCGCCCCTCCAGCAAGATCTCCTCCTCTCCTACATCAATGAAGCCTTCATTACCCTCGGTGTTAACTTATCAGAGCACCCCCAGGGTGTAGAAATGCCTATAATCCCCCACATTCCGAAGCATGAACGTCTAGTCAAGCGCCTGTTTGATGTCCTAGAAACACGCTATATCGTCAGGCAGTGCAGAGGCAAGGTCTTGCGGGGAAGTGATTGCATTGATGTGTATACCTCCGCGCACCTATGCGAGCAGCTTCGGGTCCAACATCCTTCATTTGAATGTGAAGCTAAGCTCTTGAATCTGATCGGGCCTCGACTCGCTGAGTGCTTAAGTGGCAAAGTCGACCCATTGTCGGTTCTATTTGGCAGCACCGAATCAAGACAGGTTATGGACAACTTCTATCGCAACGCCCCGATGATGGCAGCTCATACAGAACAGCTGGTATCGTTCTTTCTCAGTCTCATAGAGGCAATGGCTACGACATTTCAAACGCCGATTCGCGTTTTGGAAATAGGCGCTGGGACTGGCGGTACCACTTCGCCCCTCGTTGCTGCTCTTGCAAATATCAAGTTTCAGGTAAACTACACTTTTACAGATATTGGGGCTTCTTTCGTTCACAAGGCTAAAGCCCGATGGGAGGAGACTGAATGGATGAACTTTGCAGTTCTGGACATTGAAGCAGAGTTGCCGGAATACTTCCGCGGACAATTTGACATCGTCGTTGGCACTAACGTTGTTCATGCTACAAGAAATCGCACAGCAACTTGTCGTCGCTTGCGTGATGCATTGCGACCTGGAGGTATCTTGGCTCTCTCAGAACTAACTCGTCCGATCGATTGGTATGATATATGCTTTGGACTGCTTGATGGCTGGTGGTTAGCAGACGAAGGCTATGCCATCCAACCTGCAACAGTCTGGATGGACGCATTTGAGAAGGCTGGCTTCAAAGCCATGGGGCACTCTAGTGGCAATTCTGATGAAGCAAACACTCAGCAGTTACTGATAGCTTGTACCAAAGACTGATTGGTTCACTTCTTACTTACATAAGTAGGTAATATCTCATGCATCATCAATAGCACCTGGTGGTTTTAGACCCTGGCGTATGGCCTGATTGAAATCCTTGGAAGAGAGGGCTGCAGCGGATCGGAGAATTCGTACATCTAGGCCTGCAGTGAGTGACGGTTACATGGATAGCGCTCATACAGGATAGCTTATATCGGGAATACACTTGAGTCCCTATCAGGACCGCCAGAGGTTCGAATAAACTTTCTAAATCGTATGGGGTTGCCCCATCATAATACCTAGATGACCGGTGACCGAGCAGCGCCGAAGACACATGAAGTCACCATTTGCGCTAGCCCCTATTCTCTGTCCTTTCCACAACCATCTTGCTTAATGCCATGACTGAGGTTTCATTATTCATTATTTCGAACACAGCCACTGTCGCCTGGAAATCATGACGGATCCAATTGCGCAGCTCTAATGCCACCAAGGAGTCGACACCAGAATGCGATAGCGGCCGGTGACTATCTACTTCTTCAATGGACACTGCCAAGGCGCGAGCTAGATTGCCCTTCAACGCCCTCTCAACGATGCCCATACGGACGCTGGCTTCTGTCGCCTGTTGGAATAGCATCCTCGTGTCGTCTCCGTCAGCTGAAACTGATAATCCAGTGCTTTTCTTTTCTAGATTGGTCGCCGCAACGAAGCCTGAGAAGAGCGGATTTGTTTCGAACACGGCCGGAGGCCGACCTTCGCGATACGTGTCCAAAGGTGTGACCGCGCCGAGCAGCACTTGGCTGTGAGCAACATATGGTTTCTGAGGAGCTGCTTCGGGGTCGCAGTAGATATCTAGAAGTGCGAGGACCTCTGCCGCATCGATGGGCTTCATATCTCGGGCATGGCTGCGGTTCAGCCGGTACTCCTCATGCTCTGCGACAATCCCTACGTCCCTAACCCAGCCTAGATCCAGACTGACGGAGGTTTTACCAATGCCGTGAACCGTTCGGCTATGTGCAAGCGCATCTTGAAACGTACATCCAGCGGCGTAGTTGCTTTGTGCCAGACTACCGTATATGCCTGCTAGCGACGACAGCAAGACAAAGAAGTCCAAGTCATGGGGAAGTTGGGAGTGTAAATTCCACGACGAACTCACTTTTGACCGTATTGTCGTATCCCATTGATCGTGGGTCATGCTTTCGAAGACGGCATCATGGAGGGCCATTGAAGCATTAATGCACCCCTTGATGGGCGCGAAACCCTCATTTTCGCATTCTTGAAGGAGTGCTGCAAGGTCATCTGGAGATCCGACGTCGCACTTCGAGATTTTGATGTCTATGTTGTTGCGCTCTAGCTCCGCCACAAGGCTTGCCGCACCCTGAGACGAGGCTCCTGAGCGAGATGGTACGAGGAGCTTTCTCGCGCCGCGGGCGCACATCCATCGGCAGATCTCACGGCCCAAACCACCTAGTCCACCCGAAACAACGTAGACTGCAGAGGGATCTAAACGCCATGTAGCTTTCTTAGTGATGAATTTCTAGGTGATAGCACAGGTCAGTTCGTTAAGTTCCTAGGCCAAAGGCATAATATGGAACTCTTACCGTTACTAGGTGTTCTGGTTTGACGTGGATCATGATACGTCCGGTATTCCGGCCGCTTTGCATGAATCTAAAGGCTTGCTCGATATTAGTTATCGAATAGGTGTGCAAGGGCTGCGGGCATGCTGCCTTGCCTCGTGCGACTATGTTAATTATAGCTTGTGCTAGATCGTGGGTTAGCTCGTGGTCGGTTTGTGCGATGTGGTACAAGTCGATTGCCGAGAATGACACGTTTTTTGCGAAGTACGCCATCGGGAGGGACGCGTTGTTTTTGATATCCATCTTGCCGATCTCAATGAAGCGGCCGTAGGGTGCAATGCACGACCACGTTGCTTGAAGCTTGTCTCCAGAAAGTGAGTTAAGAACCACGTCAACCCCATAGCCGTTCGTAACACGCATGATTCCGGCCGCGAAAGAGGTATCTCTGCTATAGAATATGTGATTATCTGGGATAGCGAATGTGTTCATGAGAAGTTGCTTCTTTTGCTCATGGCCGACGGTTGCGAAAATCTCAGCACCGACTTGTTTAGCGAGCCATATAGCCATCTGACCGGTGCTACCCGCCGCAGAGTGTATCAGAACTTTATCGCTCCTTTTAATGCGTGCCGTGTTAACTAAAGCTTGATAAGCCGTCATTCCAGGGTTCAGGGCCGCGACAACATCATCGAACGACATAGTATCAGGTATCCTGAAAACGGATCTAGCATGCGCTCGTGGATATGTACGCATACAACCTGGTACTACCATGCAGACGCGTTCTCCTGGCTGGAAATCCGTGTCAGCTCCGGCACGAGTAACCGTTCCAGCACACTCAAAGCCGAGCCCCTCGGTACCTAAACGTCCTAGAGCGATGAAGACATCTCTAAAGGAGATAGGCCATGCCTTTGCCTTGATCTCAACTTCTTGGGGACCTATTAGCTTTTTATGTTGTATGTCCTCAACAAACCGCAATGTGTCTATGAGTCCTGGTGTAGAAGCCATTAAAGACAAAGCTGGCCCCTGGCCCCAAGGCTCGTTCATCACTCGAGGTTTGATATAGGATCGGACCTCATCTTCGAGATCTGCCACATGTGCCAAGCGCCCAATATGCAGCCTCCCATTTCGGACAATGAATTCCGAGTCAGCCGATTGCTCCAGGCCCTCGAAGCATTTGCGCATTATCTGTTTGATATACGATTCAAGCATTGTTGGGCCCCATGCCTTCGCGCAGGTGTCGTCTCGCGCAGGCTCGATAACGAGAGATACAATGTGCTTGGTAGGGTGTTCGGAACGAAGGACACGGAGTAGTCCAGTTGAGATACCTTCATAGGGACAAGGTATTGGACTATTCTCTGCCATCGGCGTTGATGTGGAGACCCAGAGCAAGTCCTGAACAGCTATCATCAACTTTTGGAGGGCTAGAAAGTGATATTCGGTAAGTGCCGCGAGCGACGAGTTGCCAATTTCAAGAAGAGAGACTACCATGTCGCTATCTGTCGTCAATTCATCTAGAAGGCAGTCAATGAAGAAGATCTTGGTATTGTTCCGCTTTTCCGATATACTATCGGCTACGGCTACCTGCTCGTCGCTGGATCGGGTAATAAGAAGCACTAAACGGCGATCTGCAGGACCAAAAGAAGAGATGGCAGAAACTTTCTCAAGCTTGATGGCTTTCGATGTGAGAAAACTAACCCCGTACTCCAATCCAAAATTCATTTCGAGTCCTGAAAATCCGGCTTGAAGGAGTAGTTTATTCCATGTATCTTGATCGACGAGTGGTCCGTCTTGGCGCCAACTCTCTTCTGAAAGCCACCAGCCGGGTAGTGCTCCCCAGCAAAGGTTGGCCCATAGGCTCGCTGTAGATGTAATCTCTATCATTACAAGATGGCCACCTGATCGAAGCAAAGATCTGACTCGCGCCAAGGTCGCCTCTAGTCGAGTCGTAGCGTGGAGGACAGAGCCAGCTATAACCAGATCATACCCACCAGCTTCAAATCCTTGATTCGACGGGTTTTGTTCAAGATCAAGTTTCTTAAATACAAGACGGTCGATAAAGCTAGAGAACTTGGACTTGGCTGTTTCAAAGAATACCGGGGATATGTCGGTGTAAGTGTAGTTAACGAAACTAGGACACCCTGTTCGCTGTTCTTGCTCATGTAGAGCAGACAACACTTGATGTGTCATACCGCCAGTGCCTGCGCCAACTTCGAGGATACGGAGACCGGGGTTCTCATGCGAAGCAAGCTCGATGAAATTTTTGAAACGATGGTCGCAAAGCTCAGTAAAAACACCGTCGTAGAACCGTTCGACATCAGCTGAGAAAATCAGTTCCAAGGCATTGAACTTGCCGTCTAGTATCAAAGGCAGGTTCTGCCCGACCGATGCAAAGAGTCGCATTGCCGGCGATGCTTGCGCCACTTGGGCAAAACACGATGCAGTCTGTTCCCAGTCATCGATGTCCTGATATAAGTCTAAATTGGATATCTGTTGCATGTATCTTCGAAAGCGATGTAAATGAGGTGGCAAAGCCGTTCCTTTTCCATCCTCCCTACAAGATACGTGGACAGCATGCTTAGCAGCTTTAAACATGAAAGAGTTGATAGACTCCATATCCAAACCAGGTGAATGTATCGCAGGGGGGGCGGAGTCTGTGACGTCGCTAGAATACTGAAGCTCGACAGGATTCAGTGAGCTGAGCTGTTGCTTCCATTGGATCTGGTAAATCTTTCTGGGTTCGCTCCTGGAGTCAACGGCATCTACATCATCAATCCCCGAAACGGGAACCATAGCCATTTCTTCGACCGACAGAAGAGGGTTACCATCAGGAGCCAGAACGGCAATAGACCCCTGGATACCACGGATAGTTTTCTGCTGTACAACAGAAACCACGTCAACTCGACTACCGTCGACCGTATTCCATGGGGTAGCTGAAATCCAAGCATTGGTGAGCTGCTGTGGGACAAGGGTCGGCATTTTGCTGGTCATGCCCTGAGAGACTTGTGCCAGGATTAGGTGAACCGCAGCGTCCAGCTGAGCCGGGTGTACGGGGCTACCGCGAACACAGTTGGAAACCGCCGGCACAGCTATGCTAGCCGTGGAGGTATCATGGGTGTCCCAATGGATATTGCGGAGGAGGCGAAACGATTGTCCGTAATGTAATCCCTTCCCTCTTAGGAAGTCGTAGAAAAGTTCTGAGTGTATGGACACTGATGATGAAGCTTCTGCATCTTTGTATGCATCCAGCACGCGCTTTGATTTCAATTGACTCTCACGGCCGCCGTCGATTGGAGATGCCGTTTTCTCATTATACTGGACTTGTACCTCGGCATGAAAGCACTCAGCCCACTGTGCATCGTGATATGAGAATAAAGATACCGTGTAGCGGTCCGATCTCTCTTCGCCCCTCTTGTCCGCCTGCTGCAGGTAGAGATAGGTTTCTGTGGGGTTCAAAGCATCCTTGGCGATTTGAATGGGACTAATGAAAACCGCCTTGTTTATCAAGAAGCCCGCAATGTCGCTTGCACGCAAACTCAGCCCTTGTACCCATTGCACCGCTTCGATAGCCATGACTATCATGCCAGCACCAGGGCATATTGTCAGGCCACTGATGACGTGGTCCCCAAGCCACGGAGTTGACTCAACGCTCAACCAGTTTCGGAATGTAGGGCGAAGTGCATTCCAGTCATGAGAAGGCCTACCGAGAAGATACCCGACAGAGGGCGACCGTAGACGGAAATCCCTGCTTAAGCGTGACTCAGCCCAATATCTCCGTGAGTGGTCAAATGGATACAAAGGACATTCAACTAGCGGAACCATCCTAGAAGTTGGCCCGCGCCCGTTTATAACATCTACCAAGACTGGGTAACCTTGGCAGAACAAGTGTCCCATTACGTTGATAGATGACTGCAGTGCCGGTTTTGAGCGATGTAGCGTGGAGTGGTATTGGACTGGCTCCTCTGCCGCCACTGCTGACACGATGTCGAGGACTGGACGACGCAGGGTAGCATGGGGACCAACTTCAAGAACATCAGTGACAGCGTCAGCTCCAACTTTGAGGTTCGTAGGATTTAGCATTGCTACCACTGCGTCTGCGAACTGCACTGGGGAGACCAAGTTGTCAACCCAGTACTTGGCCGTTGACATGGCCTCCGGTGCCACGACGGCACCTGTAACAGACGAGACCACTGTGATCCGATTATTGAGAGAACCAGTACTCAGAGATCCCATATGGCATAGGTACTGATGGGAGATGACGCCCATAGCGGGGGAATGGTACGCTACCCCGGTATTGAGCTTTTGAGCAAATATGCCCTCATGGTCCAGTCTAGTCTTGATTTTCTCGATTGCTTCTTCGTCACCAGACAACGTGTGACTTAGGGGACTGTTGACACATGCGATGTGTACTGAACCTGGCGCAAGTCCTTCAGTAGAGTTCAAGTAGTTCTGAACGTTGTGAGTTGTAAGGTTCACTGCCAGCATTGCGCCTCTCTGCGCTTGGCCTTTGAGGATCTGGGCAAATTTGCCGCGATAGTATGCTACCTTGCAGGCTGATTCGAATGATAGGGCTCCGACGGTATATGCAGCCGCGATCTCACCTGATGAGTGGCCAGCAACGGCGGTAGGTTTGACGCCAAAGCTTTGAAGAAGCTCGACCAGTGCTAATTGAATAGCAGTACACAGAGGTTGGCTCACTTCTGGATAGTAAATCCGTTTCTCGTCTTCCAAAACATCGAACAGCGAGAACGGGCACCCCAGTCCCGAGAAAACCGTGTCTGCACGGTCGAGCGTTCGCTTGTAGATAGGATAGGCCAACAAGCCCTCCCCCATGCGGGGATACTGTGCACCTTGGCCGGAAAAAACCAAAGCAATGCCCAATCTCTTGCTAGAAGCGCGAATTGGCTTGGAGTGTAGAAGCATTGAATCCTGAGAAGATGCATCGATATCTGACATGATGGCGAACGACCGCCAGGGTAAGTGGCTTCGACGCACCGCCAAAGTGTATGCCAGCCTGTTTAATTGATTCCAGTTTCCAGAAACCGAGTCCTTGTAGTAGTTCTGGGCCAACTCGAGGACTCTTCCAATCGCGGCACGATCGGCAGCGCTCCAGACGAGTAATTGTATGGTTGAAGCCTGCGATTGATCGCAGTAACTATCTGACCGGATGGTTACGTCGTCGGCGTCTTGGGATGTGCAGTTATGATACCCGAGTAGGTAATTGTCTCGAAGATAGCTGCGCGCGTCGTCCACTATTACATGCGCGTTTGATCCGCCGAAGCCGAAAGAGTTGACAGACGCACGACGAACGCCACTCGTTGGCCACGGGGTGCTCTTAGTTGGGATAGCCAAGTGGTAAAACTCGGCGTCAATGGCTGGGTTCAGCTTTTCGAAAAGAGCATTGGGCGGAATTATCCCCTTTTCGAGTACAAGGATCGTCTTTAACAGCCCGGCAAGTCCGCTTGCGCCTTCCAGATGGCCGATGTTCGCCTTGATAGATCCCACAAGTAGCGGCTCGTTAGCCGATCGAGAGTTTCGAAATACTTTGCCAATCGCTTTCATTTCGATGGGATCCCCAGTAGGTGTTCCTGTGCCATGCGCTTCGATATATCTCGTCTCCTTAAAAGACAACCCTGCCTTGCTGTAGGTATGCCTGATTAGTAGCTCTTGGGCTTCAGCACTTGGCTGTGTCAGGCCGGGTGTTCGGCCGTCCTGGTTTGCTCCTGTTGCGCGCAACACGCCGCGAATCATGTCGCCGTCGCGGAGCGCCTGCCGAAGTGGCTTCAGTACCATGGCAACAACACCCTCACCTCTCCCATATCCATTCGCTCTGTGATCAAAGCTGTAACACTTGCTGTCCGGCGATAGGAAGTTCATGTTCGCTAGCATCAATGAGCTCTCAGGGCTCAGGAGCATGCTAGAACCAAAAACGAGGGCCTTTTACGGCTATCAGCATGGATACAATCAGAGGAATCGTGTAGGGACCTCAGCGTACCATAGATGAGTCACCACAGTGCATGGATTGACATGCCTGATCAAGAGCGATCAAGCTCCCAGAGCATGCCGTGTTGATAAGCACACTGGGTCCTCGGAGATGGAAATACCAGCTCACACGATTCGGCAGACAAGATGGTTCAATTCCAGTAGCAGCCATTCTAGGGGCCATGTCAGGGTCCTTGGAAAGAATTCTTGAGTAATCATCTGACATTGACGCACCAAAGACTGCAGTATTAGAGCCACGCAAACTTTGGATCGGAATGCCTGCATTCTCGAAAGCATGGTACGCCGTCTCAAGGACCCAACGTTGCTGAGGATCCATTGCTATCGCTTCGTTCGAAGTAATTGAAAAAAACGGTGCGTCAAATACGGCTGGGTCGTCCTTTAAGAAATGCGCGCCACGGCCATATAGCATATTGATCTTTACGTGGGATGGGTCGTGAAAAGAGTCAATAGTGGCGCGGGACTCTGGCCAATCAGTCATAACATTCTGAGCGTTCTTCAGGGTCTTCCAGAGCTCGATATCATCATCGATGGCCTGTGGCAGCTTTACGCCATATCCAATGACGGCGATTGGATCCATGACGAGTGGGAATATGGTTCTCGGGAGGTTTGTAACGAGAGAAAAACAATATTAGTTAAGCTTTGTTGTGTCGCAGACAGGTAAACGGTAGCACCCAGTATATCCGGGCTGGTAACTCAAAGCCCTATGAATGAGATAGTCTTCGCTCTCATCTTATATAATCTTGTGTGATGATGAGATCGCACTGTTACAACCTCCACTACCTATTCAAAAGCCTTACCCCTGAAATCTACAAACGCCCAGCGTCGGACACTATCATCGCCCCGAATCTAACGTATAGAAAATGGCATAGGTCTAATATCTCATTCAAGTCACGTCTGATGACTATTATTAATGCCGTGCCTCTTGTGCGTGAGTACATGTAAACACTAGGTAATTACCACCACATAGGGCTACAAGCTGAGACCGGGGGGTTGATTAATGGGGTCCCGACGTTCACGGGTACATATGTGGTACTTCACGAAAGTCACGATATGCACGACTCGGATATCGAGACATCACGCTAACCTATCATGGCAATTGTCGGGAAGGACCGTTGTGGGGGTATTAGTACGTACCTACCCACCATTTACTATGATAGGTTAGCGTGATGTCTCGATATCCGAGTCGCGATATGCAGGCTATGGGAATAGGTACCCTGGCGCATTAGTATCGATTTTGGCAGACCCATTGACAGGGGTATTGCGTCAGGGTGTAGGTATGGGCCAACACGGGGAAGATGCGGACCAACAGATCGCTAGATGTGTGTACATCTGATCGCGTGGCGCAGTAGATAGGATTCAATTTCGGCGTGTACTGATGGGTAATCAAACCAAGCTGTAAGAACCAGTCTTGGGTGGGATATGAGCGCGTAACATCTATCCACATTTAATGACGAGTTCTACGTGGGGGACTGCTCAGCTCCAGGTACTATGTATTCCTCCCATCCTCCGTGCCAACCTCGAGTTTTGCTAGACTACCAGTAGCAAGTGTCTGAAAAATGCGGTTTCTTTGTCTTCATGGAAGAGGCACTAATGCCGAGGTCAGTATCTGATCTCAGCTCTATGGGCCTTCTGTCTTACAAACAAAGTCTAATCCTATACGCAGATATTCAAAAGTCAGACAAGTAAGCGTTAACCTGAAGCAACAAGATTCTTTGCAGCAATGGCTGAGTATAAATCCTTCAGGCTGTCTGCGAGAGGCAATTTCGGAAGGCAATGAATTTGTCTTCATTAACGGTCGGATACAGGTTGATGAGATTCCTGGTCGGTCAGCCCTCCTCTTTGAATCCAAGCTTGAATACTTTGAGGCTAAAATCATCACGTATCGAAAGGAGTTTCATCAGTTGTGAAGTCTCGTCCTAGTGAGCGACTGGGTTTCGTTCCTTTGCCAGCGGATGCAGAGACATACCAGGCTTTCTTCTTGGAAATCCAACAACTCATTCGAGCTAACGGGCCCTTTGACGGACTTTTCGGGTTTTCCGAGGGTGCCGGCGTTGCTGTGACCCTCCTAGTTGATGATGCTAGACGACAATTCGCCAACTTCAAGTGTGCCGTTCTTTTCTGCGCACTCGACACAGTCAGCCCTGATGATCTCAATTCCAGCCCAAGTAACCTCAGACTGCTAGATCCTGAGACAGACCGAGTCCTGGTGACTATTCCAACCGCCCATATATGGTCTTCACGAGACAAAGTCGCCAATTGTGCATCGCAGAGAATCGCGGACCTCTTTGAGCCCACCGTAAGAGAAGTCGTGGTTCATGAATTAGGTCATGACATACCAGGTGCCAGCTGCGGTGAGAAGGTTCAAGACACAGTAAGAGCCATCGAACGCACAATTGGAAGAGTATAATCAAATGTATGATTTAAAGCTCCCTTCTTATGATACTGTATCTAAAAGTCCTAAGGAAGGGATTCACAACAAGCTTGCTCTTATCTAGATTGCAAGTAGGCGAGATGTATAGAACCTGGTGGGGCCTAAAGCGTAGTTGGTCTAGAGTAAATATACCAATATACAGAGATTTTCTAACGAGCGGTTCTCTCCGGGCTCTCACGCTACACGAATTTGATTTTTATGCCAGAGGAGGAAAGCTGTCAGGAACTGAGCCGCTCCGCTAGCACTGAGAACAAGCATTTGGCGATTGTATCCTTCCGATAAGATCCTCCTCACAGCATCCTGCAGGGAGGCCTCCAGGGGCTGGTGGCCCTGAGATCCCAGTCCAGATATACTGTCCAAGTCACCAACTCCGACTTGAGCTAGTTGATACATCACGTATCCATTAAATACGGCCGTGACAATGGCAACAAAGATGGCACTTCCCATGGCTCTAGATTGGGTGGCAAGTCCCAAGCCAACAGCTGTAACGCCAAATCTCGTCAGATCAATAGGGCGACCTTGGGACTAGGAAAACGTACCTTGATCACGCTTTTCGGCTGTGAAAGGAATTGCAAGAAACAGCATCTGGAAGCAAATCCCACATCCGACTCCAGCTATCACTTGGTAGCCATAAACAGAAGCAGGGACCTGAGCAGACGGGTTCAAAGTGCCGAGAAGGGCAAAACCGACAACTTGGAACAGCGCACCGGCCATTAAAAGGAATATTGCCGGTACTCGCATTTTACCAGCGATCTGTACACTCGCGATGGTTCCGAGGGGTACCGCACCACCAAAAGGAATGAGGCGCACACCGGCGTCAAGGGGAGATAGCCCATTGATAAGCTGGAATCTTTGAGGAAGCTGGAATGTTGGCACAGTCAAGGGGCCTCCCAAAAGCACGACGCCGCTAATACCGATATGTTAGCGTCATTGTTTGACAGTCTTTGAAGCCGATCTATATGCCACTTATGTGACCTGGGGTTAGTGGAGTGTGCTTACATTAGGATGCCCCCCATTGTTCGGCTCCGAACGAAACGCCATGGGAGAACAGGTTCCCTGGGCTTCGTACCAATTGTGACATGACGTTCCCATAGAAGCAATGACAGCCACAGGATAACCGAAGCAACCAGGAGCGTTATGACATAAGCTGAATCCCATGAGAACTGCGAGCCGGCTTCCTGGAAGCTTGCAGTGAATGAGGTGGTGGCGAGCAGTAGTAAACCGCTTCCGGGGAAGTCAAGCCTGGACATCACCTCATTCAGCTTTGGAAGTTTGGCGGAGTAGTGCTGGCGGGGAAACCCGTTTGGAATGCCAGCCCATGCGAGAGCAAACCCAACGGCACCAACGGGAACGTTGAAGATAAATATGTAACGCCAACTAGTGTTAGAGCTGATTGCACCCCCAATAATCGGACCTAGGACCGTCGCCAAGATGATGGCTATGCCTGTATATGCGACTTGTGTGCCATACTTGTGGGGAGGAACCATTTCCACAATCATAATCGTGCTTAGGGCATAGTTTCCGCCTCCGCCCAGCCCCTGAAATGCGCGAAGCACGATTCTGAACAGATTGTGAGTAAAATATTCGAGATGGCTGAAAATCCCATATCCGTATCTATAGAGAATCTTACAATTGAGTCATGCTCTGAGCAGCTGCGCAAGCCCCAGAAAAAGCTGTGAAGAAGAAGATACAAGCCAGGAAGGCTGGTTTGCGACCTACGATGTCACTTGCTTTGGAGACGATCACAACAACGCCTGCTTTGGTCAGCATCATCTCATTCGAGAAGTCTGGATTGGCTGCAGGGAGATATACCGACATATCCCAGTAGATAGCTCGACAGGATCCAGCTTGAGATATCAAGCCGCCCAAGATCTTCTGCAATGGCAACAAGGGAAGTTGTGACGATCGAAATTTCCGTTTGAACCAAGAACAACATGACCCCGTTAAGAATGCTGACCATCCAAAACCGAGCGCCGTGAAGATAAGCCGATTTCTCATCGTTGACGATATCACCTGCGTGGTTGTCATTTTCTGCGAACGGGACTCCAGAAGGCCGCGGGCTGCTGACGTCTTGAGTTTCAGAGGAAACCGCAGTCTCTCTTGCCGGCTGTGAGCTAGATTTGGCGTTGCTTCCCACCTCGGACGCCATGTTCGTACTAGAGGCTTTCTGAGCGTAGAGCACTGAAAAGTATTGTGCGGAGGAATGGGATGTGGTGGTAGCGAGTCATCTGTCCTGGGAAGGGGGGAATGCGAGGCAACCGACGCAAGGTTGTACAGATGAAAGTAGTTCAATCTGTCACTTAATGAATAAGACCATACTAAGTACACAGATAACACGTCGCGTCCTGGGGAATCAAATACTACTCTATACCCCTCCCTCTTTGTTCCCCAATACTCAGAGTGTCTGACCCTCAGTCTGTCCGCCTTAATGGATCGCGGAATCTCAGATGTCACAGGCAGAAAAAGCAGATCGGCCCCAACCCCCTTTGCCCTCTCCTTATCAGCAATGCGAGGGCACCTAGCTTCAGGCAGCACTGTGGCGGCCACCCTTAATTTGCGGCCTACTTACCTACCTAGACAGGCCGCACATGCAGGTTGTACCGGCCGTTAGTATACCCAACCGAGACTAGCTCACTAACATACGCCACCACTTCCGGTCGTTTATCACTCTCCCTGTAGGCGGCTCTGGATTTGTGTGGAGGCAAGTACCGATAGGTATAGGTGTGGATTACGCCCAGTCCAGCCTGCATACCGTCGTAGCGCGAAATATTTGGTACCTACCTGTAAGAGGTAAGGTACAGTGGTAGTAGCAGTAGCGCCGGGTCTTCCCAATCTAGCGTTCGCATCTCAACGACCTAACTACTGCCTAGGGTACTTAAGTACCTACTTCTCCTACCCCCCCCCATTAACATGTGCCCGCCCTCATCGTCACCTTTAAGACCCACGATGGGGGTGAGAGATACTACCTACTACCTTTGCATACTACAGTACCTAGTAGTAAAGCTTGCGAGGCTACATACTGTACCTAGATACTGTAGTCTGCCAAGAGTAACCTGACAAGGTCAGTTTTATAGGCCCCCTACTATCGTACATGAGGCGGGTTTATCGTTACTGCTGTCCTAATAACAACTTTTTGGCCACTTACGAATACTCCTGGATACCTACCTAGGTAGTTATGCAAGCCAACTAACAAGCCTGTGGCTTCTTCTTGGATTCCTTCGCCTCACGCGCGGTTCTTTTGCCCAAGATGTCTGAAAACGCGTGGTTTGGGAAGGTTTCACCATGGCTGCATATGGATAATGCGACATTATCTGCACGTTGGAGGCATTTAGCAGAAAGGCGGAATTTGAGCCGCCAAGTCGCGAGTCTTAGCTAGGCCCCGATGTGAGTGACCAAGATACTTCGTAGGAGAAATTCGAGTGGACTAATGCGGACATCATTTGCTTTGGGGGCGTTGCTTTTTGTCACCAGACTCAGCCATCGCCTGTTAGTTGTTCCTGAGTAAACACCAACGCATAGGTACTTCTAGAGATCGATACGGTAATGAGCTACACTTTGCCGGTGAAGCCACTGCAACTACCTTACCCAGTAAGTGTTGGTTGGTTTGGCACAGCGTGCAGCCTCGTCGAGTTCGTGGGGACTACATATAAGTCATCTCCATAATATCCATCTAGGTATCTGTGTAAGTACTACTTTGTTGGAGGCAGGCGATCTTGGCCATTGATGCAAAGTCTCGCCAATCCCCTGAAATGATCAATGCTAAAAATAGTCACTACGTTGGTTTATGGTTACCTATCTCATCTCTGTCAAGCTAGCCTTCAAAAATACTATCGGAACGACAGCGTCCAAAAACAAATCAAATACAATAGACTGCGTTCATCTTGATTCATGTCCACGAGCTGACCTGTGCCTTACACGCTCTACGACCTTCATATCGACCAATTTAAGTAATTACCTCCGTTTAGACCACGCATCCCATTATGGACGTCATTCTACAGTTCCCCCATCTTACACCTGCTCAGCAGCAAGCTATCTTAAATGGCCCTGCTCTCATTCCCCCTGATGGTGTAGAGCCAAACCTCGAAAATCCAAGCAACAACAATGCACTGGCCATTGCTGTGTCCGTGGTCGGCTTGACACTGGTCGTCATATCCGGCATCGGCCGCATTTACTCGCGCGTGTTCGTCGTGAAGAAGCTTAAAGTTGAAGACTGTAAGTCCAAGCACTGTTGGATCGTGCCAGTAGCGTGTCTAATTCAGTCAGACCTTGGCCTTGCCGCATTTGTAAGTACTTGAGCAAATACCACGCATACCTTTTACCAAAGCTGAGCATGATTAGGGTGGCTACGCTGGTGTAGCATGGGCTTTCTACTCTCAGCTCGTGTACGGCGGTTTCTTCGTTCATCAATGGGATGTTCGATTCGGCGACTTTCAGAACGCTCTCTACGTGAGTCCTAGATTCTCCGAGAGGACGGTTGATTCACCACTGATCGCTGCTCTATTCAGTCCGCTGTGCTTCTCACCATTGTCTATGCCATCACCATGATTTTTGCGAAGGCGGCGATCCTCCTAGAATGGGGTAACTATAGCTTCTCTCTTCATCTTACTTGCGACTTATTCGTGACTGACATCATGATCAGTTCACATATTCGTGCCCAACAGGGAGCACCGACTGTTCTTTTGGGGCGCTCACATCCTGATCGTACTAAATGTTCTCCTCTACGGCTCGGGAATCATTGCTGAAGCATTGGCCTGCATTCCGCTTGCCACCATCTGGAAACCGTGGTTAATGGGAAAATGCATCGATAAACGAAAGCTGGACATCACTACAGCATACTTTAACCTCGCTGTGGATGTCTTCATTCTCGTTCTGCCGCAAACAGTCATCTGGAAACTACACATGCCTAGAGAGAAGAAAATAGGCGTTTCTGTCATCTTCTCTATCGGTCTCCTGTATGTCATGATTCTTCGAAAGCCCGTACTTTACGATCCCAGACTGATATTCGATAGAGTTGTCGCCACCGCCACTGGTCGAGTATACGCAAACACTATGCTTCGCTACGTTAATGAGGGAGATACGAACTACGGATTCACCCCGCTGTACTTGTGGGCCTTTTCTGAGGTTTCCTGCGTCTTGTTGGTCTTTAGTAAGTCCCTGAATTTCAACATAGAACCTCCGCTGCCGGGTTACTCTCCCTTGCAGCTCTAACTTGGTATCAGATGCGCCAGCCTTACCCAAGGCCATCAACAACAGCTGGATTGGGACTCGACTCATCCCGAGAATTGACTCTTGGATTAAGGTATCCAGCTGGAAACAGTCCGGTGGAAACACTCAAAGCCCCAAGCCATGGCCCCATGGTGGTAAAGCGGCCAATGACAACCCATATCGTGAAATGGACGACCAGAGTCAAGAGATAGAACTTTCCAAAAACGGCGCAGCGCTAGACTCTCAGTACGCTCTCGATGACGGGACTATCTTGCGACACACAGAGTTTCAAACTCGCGAGGACACCATCTCCCAATCGTCGAATAATCCCCGCGATATTTCCATGAATCAGCATCCGTGGATGCAGACTTAACCTTGAGGACACACTGTTGGAAAGTAGTGCAAGGCCTGCATAAGAAGAACGCTCAGTCAGAAGTCGCAGGTATCAGGAATGTAATTATTTCTGTCTCCATTAAGGCTCTAAGAAATGGGACGCTCAATTCTGTACAGCACGTGGATTTGATAGGTCTCGAGAGGTCATTAGCGACATAATTCCATTCCTAAGAACTAGGAATTTTCGGTCCCTTTAGCACACACTCCATGGCAATGCAGAATTTCTGTCAAGGTCATCATGCTGATGTATTTAGCATATCAAGTTTACGGATTTCGAGATGCTTCGTTCAACTCTATCTATGATCTATATACGTAACATACCCTTGATTTAACTCCATTATTCAGATTCTGTCCCTTACGATGATTAAGCGAGGATCAAGCTTGAAGTAGCTCTATTAACACCGAACAAATATACTTCCACCAAATTTACCTTGTCGTAGATGTTGACCTGGTAGTAGGAGTGGTGCAGACCGTATAGCCACCAGTTATTTTAGAGGAGGTCTCACGTCCCTCAAAGGGATAGACTCATCCAAACCTGTCACACGGCAATAACGCCAAGGACCCATTGGTGCCATACAGATAGATCGCCGAGCTTTGGAGTTAGCGGATTGGAGACACGAAGACTGTTAGCTACAAGTACTCCCAACATGCCTTAAGTGAGGGGCTACGTCCAACGAGTAAAGATTGTAACTAAAAACCTAGGACTACCTAGTAAGGTAACATCTGGAAGTGAGACTATTGGGAACAGTCTTCAGTCGGTGTGTATGCAATACCACCTCGGTGAGAGCCGGGAGAGCCCAGGCGGCCATTGATACCAGCCTCGCAACACTTCATCGGGCAGTAGTACACGGGAATCTAGAAGCCCCTAGATAGGCGTCATCGCGCGCCGATCCTTCATGGCGGCTCCAGCCTGCCTCACCTGCTAGCCTTGATGCCTGTGTCTAGGCTGGTAAACCAGATGAGCGGGCGCCAAAGTCTGACACGCATCAAGTAAACGTGCAGACGACCCCCGTTAGATAGTACTTGTGCTCTACTTGATAGACTTCAAATCAGCGACCTTTATGAACAACGCAGCTGCGGCCCACCTGGAGTCGCCATATCCACATCAATACACTAGGTACTTTTAAGCCTTAATCAGTAGGTAGGTACCTACATATGTAGGTAGGTATATAGAGAGTACAGTAGTAGGCAATGTTCTTTGTCGTTGGGGGCCGAGGGGGCCAAATAACACGAGATACCTACTGAGATATTCCAAATACCTCTCGCGCGTACTACGTATGCCTGGCTTACAGGTGGCTTAGGCGCTTCTATCGGATGCGGAACCGCCCCGTTAGGTCTTGGCATCGCGTTAATCTGATCGACAGCATTTGACCAACGTCAACCAACTCTGCCGCTCCCAAGTATTGGGTTAACAGCTTGCCCCCACCATTCTCGAGCGGCAAGCCTTATGCGTCGTTGTTAGGTCGGCACGAGCCGCACCACAGAGCCGCTTTGCGTCGTGGGGTTTGCCTCTCTCGCTCTCTCTACCTAAATATTTTCTGGCATGCGCTCTTACCAACACGTGCAAATCGCCCGAATTGCTAAGTATCGACGTTGGTCTACCATCGAGTGATACGTGTCTTGCTAATCTATACTTTCCTAACTCGCTAGGCGCCAGGGTCAACACGGAACTAACTTGTAAGTTACCAGTCGAGACCGACGTCCAAAGATGGAGTTGCTCCATTCCGTTGTGTATGGTATTTGCGTCCTTTTTCCAGTTGTAAGTGATTGTTATTTGGACGGGTGAATCGATGTCCTTCTGCGACGCGATTGTGCTGATTTCGTCCGGCGTAAAAGCTTCTGTTCATCAAAGTTTACCATGCGCTATTCGACCCGCTCAACCAATACCCCGGGCCCTTCCTTGCGCGATACACGAATGCATATGGTGGCTACTATGCCATCAAAAAGTGTCTCCATCTCACGACATATCAAAACTTCCAAAGATATGGTACACCATCATTTTCTCGAATGCTCTGTCGGAATGTTAACCCATATGATCAGGGCCCGTGATACGACAAGCACCGAATCGTCTTGTATTCAACACCGTCACGGCTCTGCATGGTAAGCTTCCACCATATTGTATCTCCTGGAGGGAAATAAAGGAAGTAATTCGACATCGACCTGATCTGCAATGAGTCCTAGACATATACCTAAGCCCGACCGTTACAAAAGGGGAAGCTTACCGGAGCTCTCAACTTCGGGCCAAATATCCAAGCATCATTAACGTAATTGACCGCGACCAGCACCGCCGCAAGCGCAAATACATCGGCCCGGCTCTCAGTGCGCGGTCAATGCGTAGCTTTGAACCCGTCATGGGAGAGCAGATCGACGTCTTCCTAAAAGCCCTCCTCGATTCAGCTCGCGCTGGTTACACTCTAAACATGACTGAACGCTGCCAGCGTCTTGGGTTAGATATCATTGGATTGTTGTCGTTCGGGTATGAATTTAATACACAGACGCAAGAGCCATTCAGATTCTTACCCGGTATCATCGATGCAATGAGCTGGCGCATTAGCATTTACATGCAAATTCCCCTTTTCAAGTTTATGGAAACTCCTCTGCTGTGGATAGGTAAGAAGCAAGTGATAAAGTTTGGAGATACGATAACTTCTATTATCAAGGCCCGCACAGCAAAGCCCAAGGATGCCCATTATGACCTTTACTCGATGGTGGCCGATCTGATCGGCAAAGGACAAGACGGATTGTACCGCGGAGAGCTATGGCCCGAGGCTATCTTGTTCATTATAGCAGGTAATTACACCACCTTGCACCGATCACCGTGTTACTTCGGGATTCGACTAACTCGGCATGGCTTAGGTGGCACTACCACGGCGACAGCCATGAGTGCTATGTTCTTCTACCTCGCGCAAAACCCGATAGCTTACGCTACACTGGCGAGCGAGATACGCTCCACATTCGCTTCTGCCGATGAGATTTGTTCTGGGCCGCAGCTGACGGGCTGCAAGTACCTCCGAGCATGTATTGACGAAACACTGCGTATGGCTCCGCCCTCGCTGACTATTCTCTGGCGGGAGGCGGAGGCGGATCGCAAAGAGCCCTTCATCGTTGACGGCCATGTCATCCCACGTGGAACACAGGTGGGTATCAGTCTCTACTCGCTACTACACAATCCCGAGTACTTCCCGGACCCGTTCACCTTCTCACCCGAGCGCTGGCTAGACGAACAAGACGACGAGGGGCCGCCTTCGGTTATGCGAAAAGCATTTGCCCCTTTCCTTATTGGTGACCGTGCTTGCGCTGGGCGAGCCATGGCCTATCTCGAGATGAGTTTGACCTTGGCTCGTACATATTGGCACTTTGACTTTGAGTTTGCGCCGGGTGAAGCCGGAAATCTGGGGCGCGGCAAGGCTGGGGGTGTGTACGGGAGGGGTCGTCCTGATGAGTACCAGCTGGACGACATCTTCGTCGCTGCTCATCAGGGCCCAAATTTGGTGTTTCGCGAAAGAGAGGAAGGGGGGAAAATCGGAGTTAAGGCCCAGTGATGCCACTCATCGAAACCATCCATATATTGAGCATATCAGCCAGATGAGTGCTTGGCGGGACGAAACCTGGGCATGCCTATCATTCCAGCTCGAGAATGTGAGTAGATGTTTTTGATGAAAGGATATGCCGTTTCCCCTAGAGGATAGAGGATGCGAACACATAGAAGTCGCCCAACCCCCACCATCTTCAACTGAACACCATTCTCTATGTCAACGACTTCGCCATGAATACCCTCTTGAGTCCATTCTGTTCAGCCCTATGTGTCTCCACATACCCTATTCGAGCGTAATACTCAATATTTCTCGTCATCGCCACATGCGTGTAGAGCCTGATCACAGGAAACCCAACGTCTTTGGCGCTTTTCTCCGCATACGCAATTAGCTCACGACCCAATCCCAGTCCCTGCGCGGATGCCGCAACGGCCACATTGTCCAGGAGCATGGCGTCTTCCTCGGGTATCAGGACGAGTATTCCTTTGATAGCACCGTTGACGTCGACGACGGTGACGCGCCCGGCCCTGATGAGAGCTTCATAGTCATCCAGCAGTGGCCCAGGCTTGCACCCGATGGAGCTCACGTAAGGCGTGTAGGCGTCTATGACAACGTTTTGGACAGCGGTCAGATCAGCCAAGCTGGCAATCCGAGGTGTAAATTGCATCGTAGCGCGTCGTGTTGTTCTCTCAGCTTGTTTCTACAAAGAGCATTAGCACCCGCGCATCTAGATAAGAATGTGCTGTGCACTGTGCCGACTAAAAGGTCGTGATGTCTATCATACAAAAGACGGGCATCACCACAATTATGAGTTGTGTCATCAGATTAGCGTGATTATGGTGGCGCTATCGGAGTGGGAAGACACAAAGCTGGGTATGCCAAGAGGGTCTTCTCCACGCATTACGAAGTAGTGAGGCTAACGATAGTCTCCAGCCTACTTAGACTAGCTTGGGGTCAATGCTCAGATAATTGGCTAGGGTGCTCAAGCATAGGTGAGTATTTCCTCTCCACTATCTATCCTACAATGTACTCGCAACATCGCAGATGCAGAGTAATCAGCGGATTACTGCAGTATCACTTTGAGTACGTAGTATAATTCTACCTGATCGTTTCGCTCATTAGATAGCACAATCCGCAGTGTAGTTAGTTAGTCGATCTGTAAATCTAACTGTAGCAAGAAATTAGGTGCTCTTCGACGTGCTTGAAAGCCGACTTTGTAAAACGTCCCCGATTCGCTTTTTCTGCGTTGGGTACCGATTGTTACTACCATAGGATGTTCGCTATATTAGAAATGGCAGGGAGAACTGACCCAACAGATATAAGTAGTGTCTCGGAAGCAGGTGATATGACAGGATCTTGGGCGGAAACACGTTGACAATTTTCCGAAGCCATAAAAGAGTGGTCCGAGTCATATGGTATGTTTGAGACAGATCAAACTTAATACCATTGCTATTAAGACCATTGCTAACATACCCATAGGTAGTACACTAGTTGTGCATCTCTTGAAATACCAGTGTCGATATATCAGGTGTATTTCTCGAAATCCAGGTTGATCATTCGTCGACTCCTATCTCAGCCGAACTATTGCCATGAGCATTCTGAATTTATAGGAGACGGGCACAGTATTCATGCCTGGCGACTGTCTCGCAATGATACCCCTCATAACTGGCAGGAGTGCGCCAAAGTAGCTACCGCCCCAAATTAGAGAGTCTCATAGGTAGCCAGGTAGAAGTCAAGGAGACTCTGTCACGGCTTGAACCTCGTCTGGCTTCTGTGAGAAGGGCGAAGCATGAGAAGCTTACCGCCGAGCATATCCGCCCGTCCTGGACATCTCGTGCGGCAACTAAAGAGCTTGCTCTGGTAATTCGCAGCCTGCTCAGTGCCTTTTCGAACCCTATCTTGCAAGCATTGGGTGCGAATGAGTGGACTGTACGCGGATCGCTTGGGGACCTGCTTCGGAGCGCTTTGCTGGACACTCCGGCTCAGATTCGGGACAAGGCTTTTGGTTCCATGACCATCTAGGTACAGGAGAGATGTTGGACGATGAGGATATCCTATCGGTCTTTTGCGCCCGCCTGTCTTCCAAACTGCGCTAGGCACAATGGTCCCCTGTGTCTTTTTTGCCGGTGGAGGTGGTATTGCGCTATTCTGGAGATCGAATGCCAGGCGACCCGGCGTGTTCTATGCTCAATCGGCGCAATGGTCGTTATATCATCCTGAACTTGAGAGGACCCAACTCGGACAAGATGGGTCTTCGTTTGCTAGCTCATCCGCAACGGCAGTTTCCTTGTCCTGCCCACAGCATGAGAACTGAGGTCTTTCATAATGGCCAATACTCTACGATCTGCGTGTCCTAAGGGCACAACGTCTGATTTGATACCTAGAGTCATGTCAGTGGTACAGGCCAGTTTAGCGTCAAACAATCATGAAGACTGATCAAGATGTCCGCGACCGTTCTTGTGTGTCGAAGAACTACGGTATATTATCAGGTCATATTGCAGTTCGCGTTCACTTCAAACCGGGATTTCAAAGACCCCTCCCTCAAACACGAACATAGTTCATATCAAGGTCAGTATTCCTATTCCGCCGCATAGTTAAGTATCCAGCGACTTCATTCCGCCCTCTGGACAAACCCCAATCAAGCCTCCGTTTACTCACCCAGTTTATAGGGAACTATATATACCCCGTCGCTACAACTAGCCCTGGTAGCTCAATTGGTTAGAGCGTCGGACTTTTACTGGGTTTGACCCCCTGACATCCGAAGGCTGCGAGTTCGACCCTCGCCTGGGGCGGGTATTTGGTCATTTGGATCAGATCGAATTGCTTTTTGTCCTTTCAGTTATACACGTACGCATACTTCGTTTTATTACGAGCCTCGCAGGGTTATATAAGGAATGTAAATTAAGGTTTAATTTTAAGGGTGAAATATAGTTAAGTTATTATTTATAGTTATATTATACACTTAAAACTTAATAAATAAAGAAAAAAGTAATAAAAAGGAGGTAAGGCTTTTAATAGTTACGAGATAGCTATTTGTATCTATATGGATTATATATTTAAATCGTTAAATTCTATTTGTAGCTGATGGTCCAGGTCACCGGGGAGCATGTTGATATCACCCTGTGGTTGGCGCAGAGCTGCCAACACCCCCCTTAATCATTTACTACATCACGATGAAACCGAGTCATGTGCAAAATGGGCTCGGAGTTTTCTTGGGACAGACAGCTTAACTCACCCACTTAGCACAACACAGAAGGATCGCCGATTCACTCCATCTCATTGCTCAGGCTCATGATCGCCAGTTTAGAAGAGAGAACAAAGTCTGTTTCCAGCGCACATGATATATACCGCGGGACATTTCGGAACATAAGACAGCTTTCGGAGCCGATCATCAACTTGTTCTGTAATTGGCAACGTGGCTGAGTGGTTAAAGCGTATGACTAGAAATCATATCCCTTCGGGGTCACAGGTTCGAGTCCTGTCGTTGTCGGTCCATTAAACTTTTGAAGTTCTAGAACTCCAAATAGTCGGTCAGACAGCCTGGTGATATTAGGTCTGGTGATCTCATGGGTTATCCTTTTTGATTAGGATTAGCCCTACGACATTCCTGGTGGGAGGCCCCGAGTGGTTTACCATAGAGGACTACGAAGTAATTAAATGGAATGCATCGTCTTAGCATTTTAGGATATCCTTAACGTTTTATTTATAAATCTAATATTAATCAATACATCTTACTTACATCTAGACATTATCTGCCCTTAAAGGGTTCAAGGAGAGGTAAGAAGAACAACTGTACAGTCTCGTTAAACTTGATTATTGTTGAGATTTACTATCATTCTGTTGCTTAGGTTGGACTTGATATTTCAAACGCGTTGGATTCATAGACACCCACTTCATAGAGACAGAACTAACATGGAGGTACAATTGATCACTGGCTCATAGCATTGCGCTCAGTACCTGAAAGCCATCAATATGGAAGCCTACATATGCCCTCAACGTCTCATTAGATAACAATCTGCCTACATCCGTAAATGTAACCCAGCAAATACAATACCCCAGATTCGTCTCCAAGCCATCCGAATTCGTGAAGCGGCAACCGGCGCAGTCTGCAATACGACTTGGCTACCGACATCACATCGCATGACATATGCACAGGACTTTTCTGCTGTTTCAAGTTACGAGGTTAAATCAACAGCGCATCATAGCGGGGCTATAACGCTTCTAGGCATCTGGACAGCACATATAACAGTCCGTATCCGAAGTTCAGCTCGTATTTTATGCCCCCTATCCCCTAACTTTTCATCTATTGAGTACACTATTCTCGGAACAACACGACGCAATGTCGACATTGAAATAGTGCACGACGATATTTCTACCATTCCCTGTCTTCCTTTCAGCTATATAGACTCTGGACACAACGGCACTGCAGGTGGCAGGCTGCCCCGTTTGGTAAAATATGATACCGGCAGGTAGGATCAGAGTAACCCAATATATTGAACTTAGTCAGCAGCGAGTCTACAGTCCCAGTGAACAAGTTGCCCATGGTCGTATTGAGCTTTATTCTTCGATGTCCCTGATCCGGCACTGGCTGGCTGTCATCGTAGCAACAAGGTAAGGTAGGTAGGCAAAACCTTCCAGGAGAAACAAATACGGCTATCCCAGTGGGTCATCAATACTACCATGTCAGGGGAACTACCTCATGGCCCCCAATCGTGGCATAATTACTGAAGAGCTGGATATAATATTGTGCACTACTCTAAGCAATACGTTCTATTCTGAGGTGACCAAGACAAACGGATTTCCTACCGTTTCCCATTTCTCTGCTCAATGTCGGGCCACCTAGCGTAGTCACTCGCCACTATGAACCCCGTGGCTAGACATTCAATAGATTCCTACGTTGTCTAGACAGCATCAACCCCTCTATCAACCAAGGCCGCCCTCGAAGGCACAGCATGTAGCGCAAACTGGGTGGTATCCAGGTCCACAGCGTGCGTCCAGCTCTGAGGAGACGTCCCTCTATCATCTGCAACCCTACCCCAGGAGCCTTCATCACCAACAGCACCCATCACCTTATTCCGCGCACTAGAGCGGTTGATAGACGAGAATGACCGTAGAGCCTCATACAAGCTCCTGATATACGGGACAGGCTTCGCAAAGAACGACAGCAGTGGGCCGAAAGTAGGCAGGCAGCTAGTGATGATAGCGACACCTAGCTGTGCTGTAGACCATATGTATGTTGCACCGAAGTTCACTACGTAGATCAAGAATCCAATTCAATTAGTGGGTGTCCTACTATATATCAAACCTCAGAAGAGAGAGAGAAGGAGGGGGGGGGGGGGGGGGGGTGACGATCCAACTCACAGCCCGTGAATATATCGGGCGGGTTCCATATAGCGGTTAATCTAACAATACTGAATATACAGACCCTAGGAAGAGCAGTCAGTACGTAGGACAACACATAAAAATATATCTCCAAGAGAATGACCAAGAGACACACTCGCAAAAAGGGCGAGAAGGAACTGTAGGTATCTTACACTGCGCCCAGCAAGAAAATGGAGATAATCGGGACCTTCCTCAGCCACGAGAGATTCAGGCGTATTATCGTTCCCGTAGGAATACACAAGATCGCAACGTCGATGAAGAGATTCGAAATCTCATAGCCCAGCAGGACGCGCGGATACTCGAGACAGTACGGGGGTAGATCGTAGTGTTCCCAGTAAGCCTGCACGGGCGAGCACTGCAGCGCGATGACGAGGGTCGCCACGACGAACCAGAGAATGCAGATCCCCGCGGTAACTCGTATGACGCGGAGCAGGGTCATGTCCACGGAGAAGAGGTCGTGGTAGAACCAGAGGATGCTGAGCTTAATAGCGGTGATTCCGGCGCCGAAGAGGAGCTCGTTGGTGTAGACTAACTGTGGCGATATGATACAATATCAGTCAGCAGTCATCTTTATATATACATGAATGCTATATCTGAAAGGGTAATGTTTTTCTTTTTCGTCGCTTTGTATTACCTTTGCGAGATTCATAGCTTCATCAACACCCAATCTCGGATCAGGATCGAGGGCGCGGTACTGCGAGACGTTGAAAATAACTTTTGCCATCTGCGCGTAAGTCTCTGATACAATACTACCCCATCCTCATCTCCTGAAAGTAAAATCATCGAGGTTCTCGTCTTCAAATTCAAGGCACAGTCCTTCAATCCCTTTAGAGAGTCCCGACTACAAACAGATATAATACTCACAGTTCAAGATCAACGCAGCGTACGTCCCAAACACGCCCATAGCAACAAAGCACAACAAATCCGGACCCCTCGGGCTCTGCCCCCTGAAAATCTTCAGCGATAACCGTAGAAGCACACACACAGAGGTGAGTACGATGAGCGTGACCGAGGCGACGTAGTTCTCGCGTGCGTTCTTCGTGAGCGGGGGACTCATGGCTGCAATATTCCACACAAGCCAGCAGATATCCAAAGCCTGGGTAATATCATAGAAGTCCAATAGCGTTAGTTAAGTAATTATGAGAAGAAAATCGATTCCAATGAAGTTATACGATTGACACACGATATATGTTAATCCATGAAACCTCTTTCAATTAGGTGGATAGACTGACAAGCAGACAGCCAGCCAGCCAGCCAGGAGCTTTATATCAATCAAGGCTCGCCACCCTCATCACCATCCCACAGCCAGATTTACCACGCACGTAATTCCCAGCATTGCTCGTACACTTCACATTCCCAATTCCCATCTCCCATCTCACACATCTCTGATCTGAACCAATGAGGCCTTTCCCCAGGGGGTAAGCAAGCAAGCTCCCAGAACCACCATTGGAATGAACCAACATTCGCCTTTCCACGGCACCAGCTGAAATACCACTCTACTACCACTCCCTTTCCACTCTCGCTCTTACACACTTCTCCACTTCGTGCACAGCAAATCATCAATCACGCCGCCCAAATCGAAACGCGGCTCTGCTCCCTGGGAAACCCCTCTCTTCCCGAGCCGCAGCTGAAGATGGGTTACATCACAGGGGAGGGAGAGAAGGGGTTGAGCGACATTGCGACATTTGCTCGCCCTGGCGTCCGTATATGCACCACCCAATCCACCCATCCATTCATTCACGAAAACTTAAATTTTTTTTTTTTTTTTTTTTTGAAACTTGGGTGCTTACTTGGGATAATTACCCCTTCATGGGCGAGTCGGCACATGCATACATGGCACACATGGTCAATATTCAATATCATGAAACCGAAAACTAATCAGAGTAAAAAGGCGATTTCAGGTGAGGTCACTTAGTGAGAGAGGGAACTGGATTGAACTGTGTATCGGATCAATTGGACAAGTTCTTGGCCGCATTCCGTGCTGTAAATGATAACAAAGTCACGCATACATAATCTACATTGTCCAAGTTTTTATGCGTAATAGTAGTAGTGGCCGAGGGGTTTTTGTACATGAATGCCTTGCCTGCCATCTAGGAAAGAAATGCCCCCCCCTCTCCGCCTCCCCTCCAAAACGCCTCGCTTCCAAGCCGTGCTCATTAATTTTCAAGCCCAACATATGCACTCAGCTGGTTTAATAACAACGCCCATTTTGGGTTCCTGAGATTATTCAAACTCTCAAAAAGACTAGCACGCGTCGGCAGTGCATTGGGCGGTATACTGGTCATGCTGTTTGGATCTCTAGCCTTCTCGCATAGTCTCCGTAAAGCCGATACTGCACATGAGACCATATATACCAATTCGGGCTCCTCCCTGTTGCTTGGATTCTTCTTTGGTCCCACTACTGGGTGCTCAACATACTGGCAGATAATCTTCACCAAAGTCAACAACTTTTGAGCAAACCCTTCACCAGACGATAGCCATGCTCGAGTCACACCTGTCTCATATCCAGGTGCTAGCTGGGCAATTATATCGGCTGTGAGCATAGCCTGCATGAGCAGAGGCTTACGAACTTCCACTATTTCAGGTAGGATGCCTAACCGTATGTCGTAGCTGTCATATGGTATAGGAGAGATAGCCATGGCGAAAGTGCGCGTTAGGAGTTCGTAAGGGGGCGATGACAGAGCGTCTGCGGCAACTATCGTTTTGTAGTGCCGTCGGTTGGGCTCGTCTCGTGCCAGGAGATTAGCGAGGGCATCTAGAGCGAATGGGAGGTATGGATGGATATTAGGGTTGTAAGGGGTGAATACAAGTGTATCTGCTGTCACACATGGGCTTGGTGATGGTGCGAATGAAAGGATGAATTGGAGTAAGCAGAATGCTTGATCCCGACCAGGTAGTTCCACCGATGCGGCAATATTAGACAATAATAGTATTATGTCCTTCATAATGTCAAGCGTGTTTTGAGCGGTTCTCAGCAGACCCTCGTGAGTGCCAAGAGACCTGATCAAGCTACAGAGAAATTTGATGACCACCTCATCGGCAAGTGACAGCAGATTCTTCTCAATGAAAGATAAATTGCGCAGAATCGTCGTTATAGCAATGAGCCGGTCTGCCGCTCGTTCGAGTTCGTAGTCCGTCTCACCAAAGGTGTGCACTTTTCTGAGGTGGAATTGTTCTGTACGAGCGGCCCGCAGCACATCCTCATACGATGTCAAATCAATTTCGTCTGAAATCGGCTCGGCGTTTTCGGCTAATAGGTCGACTTGTTCTTCGGCGCAGTCAAGTAATGAGTCAACCAGGTCTTCGCAGAGCTCAAGCTCGATGCTAAGGTGCGGAGAACCCTCACAATGACGCGTTACTATAGCTAACACATCGAGAGCCAGCCTAACCTCTCCATGTATGCCACATTGTATACTTTTCGTTAAAGCATGGATATCAATGCTACCTAGTTCTCCAATGTATGGCATGTCGGGGGTGACTTGGACTACATCGCCTAAAAGCCGAGCGACCACGTCTATGTCCAGACCGCCATAGCAACCTCCCACTTCTGGCGGGGTTTTCTCGAGTGGACGAGTGAGAGGCACATAAACATCATCATTGGTTGTTAGCGAGTTTGGGATTGATACAGTGACGGCGCCGTTGACGTGTTTGACCAGGTCGGGTCGTTGGTTCATAGTATGGAAAGGGGGACCACCTGGTTTGCCTATAGAGCCTGGGGAATGTAATTGAAACTCTGCAGAGATAGGGGTCGCGTCAATGCTCCTAGGCATACTATTTCGGAGAGGCCCTTGGCCAGCATTAGGTTGCTGTTGGGGAGTTTGGGGATGCTGAGGAGGTAGAAAGCCGTTGACGTTGTTATGCTGCATGCCAGGTCCTACCTGTTTGACCGGGCTCTGTGCAGGTTGAACTGGCATCTGAGGTTGTGTCGGCTGCATATTATGCGAAGGGGACATTTGAGGCACTCTTTGAGGTGTTCCTTGACCAGGTGTAGTGGGCATACCACCCGCACCAGTAGACTGTTGCTTTATGTGGTGACTTCGTTGCTGGCTCATCCAAGCTTCTTCAAACTTGATCAGATTTCTTTCATATACAACTTTAACTTGGCTAGGCGCCGACGGCACTTGTTGCAGTGGAAACCCAACAGCCGCTGCGACTTGTGCCCATGCATTCTGGGCTGTAACATTGCGATACCCGTTAAATTTCTGAACTACCTGGAAAAGTTGGAATAAATGTAAAGGACGGCCCTCGACAATGGGATTCATATCAAAGGGCAGCTGCCTTGAGGCCATGAAGTTACTGAGATTCTTCATAAAGATATCGGGGGTCATGCCACGTGGTGTTTGTCCCGGTTGTTGCGGACGCATGCCGACCGGTGGCCCTTGGCCATTCTGCATAGGCATCCCTTGTTTTGGCATCATGCCTCGGTTCTGTGCCATATTCTGTGCTTGCATGTCTCCTGCCCCTGGTGGCATATTCCCTTGTCCGTACTGTTGTTGTAATCGCATATGATACATCATCTTGGGATCCATTCCCCCACGCCCTTGCATAGCCTGCGCAGCTTGCATTTGTTGCATCTGCATCTGTTGCATTGGATGCATCTGCTGATTGGGAAACATCTGGTTTGGGTGCATTTGCGGCATTTGCTGTCCCATCTGATGTGGTGCCATCTGGGGCGTCATGGCATTTTGAGCTGAGGGTGGTCTAGCTGGAGAGGGCGAGGGCGCAAACGCAGGGTTATAGCCTTGAGGGAAACCTTGGGGAGTCATGTACATGCCTGGTTGTGGTGTATTACTATGTTCAGAAGGGACAGGAGATGCCTGCTGACCGAATTGTTGAGAAGCGGGCGAGAAGGGATGCGGCGACGCGGTATTAACGCGTTGAGGCACACTGCCTGGACGAAGCTGATTCCCAGCCATGACGGGGGATGGAGATGCGGTAGAGGAGCCGTTCGGCTGAAGATGAGGATAGTGTTGAGGTTGTCCCGTGTTTTGAGGCTGCATCGCGTTGGGCTGGAAGCCGGGGAATTGCGACTGCTGAGGCGTGCCGGCGCGCGACGTTGGTAACATGCCGGGATTTTGTCGAGGCGATGCGCCTATACTGTCTTCCCTCGGCCGAGGACGTTTCGAGGGAACGACCGAGTTTGTCTGATAGACAGGGTTCGAGAAGGATGGGGAGGCGTTGCGCATCTGGCCGTTCTGCATCGCGACGGCCATCTGTTGTGGGTTCGGGAACTGCTGGCCAGCAGCGCTAGGGTTGAATTGGCCCGCATTGGCCATGTAAGCAGAGTGGTCCATCATACCGGCGCCGGCCATGCTGTTGGGATCTCCCATGTGATGAAAGCCATTGCCGGCGTGGTTGGGGATGGCAGCGGCCTCATTCATCCAGGAGGAGCTCATGACGGGCCAAGTAGCGGACGGGAACCCATCTGACTATTTTTCAGGCAGCGTCAGCAATCAGAGCACAAAGCGCCAAGTCCATTGAGATGAAACTAGCAGGAAACAATGATGTAGGACGTCGCGCCGACTAGTGTCGCGATAGAGAAAGTCGCGTCGCGGGCCAACGTGTGGGTTGAATTGACCAGCGGTACGATAGGGTGCGTGGTGCGATCGGGAAAAGATGATTTGAGTTGGGCAGTGTGGCAGTGTAGTGGAGTGGAGGTTGGCGAGCGCCCGGCGCAGGCACAAGCGGCTTGGGCGCTGGAGGGAAAGGATCACAGGGCTCGCTGGGGCCTTCTCCCGCCTGGCCTGGGGCCGACTTTAGTGAGCGAGATAGTGAGCGAGATAGCGACCACGAAGGGCGAACTCCACCAGCATCCCAACTTGAGATACCTGTGCAGGACCAGCCACAGGCTTGTGCCTACGTACTGTAGAGCCTCTGTAGGGGAGTGAGTGTTCACTGGAACTGACACACGCTAAGTGAGTACCTAGGTAACCTACCTACCCAGGTAGGTAGCTACGGTAGGTTAGAAAGCAGTTACCCTAGCGGAAGATAAGAGTGCGAAAAATCTATCTACCATGTCATGTCGCGTGTGATACCTAAGCAATAGCCGCCCACAGTACAGTATAATGCGATACTGTACAGCAGCGGGCCCCGGGAGGGAAAAACCCATAGCCATGCCAGGGTCACCACGGTGTAGTGTAGTGATTTGGGTACGGGAGAGATCGGATAGGGGAGAAGGAACGATCAGATTGGGAAAGAATCTCGGAGCTCAACCTGTCCTACTGTACACTGTACTCCGTGATGATCCTCTTGTTGCGCTCGTTCGAGACCGTCGACGGTGGACCGTGGACAGCCGGCGACAAACAGGGCTTGGCCACCCAACGGCAGACAAGCCCCGGGCCACGTCGCCGGCCGAATCGTCTCCTAGTCAACTAGGGGTTTGCAGGAATAGGAGAGCATTGTTCAGGAAGGATGAAAGAATGCGACCGGCGTGGTTTCGCCGAACTGGAGCCAGCATATCGGCATTTCGCATATTGTGGAGGGAAGTATGCTTCCCACGACAATAGTGTCACAAGCAGGCGCTTATGGCACCACACTTGTGGACGGGACGAACTGTCTAGATGGACTGACTAGACGGGGCAACAAGGAAACGAACCGAATTAGGTTGGACAGGACATGAATGTCAAAGTAAAGTAATAAAAAAAAAAGTCTTACCTAACCTGCGCGTTCGAGTTGTTTGCCGTCGGGTTACAGGTGGGAATGGTGGTGGTAGGTCGTGGGCAAGGCAATGAGAGCTTAGCAGGTGGTCTGAGAGGAGAGCGAGCGAGCGGGCGCGGGTGGGCGAGCAAGCAAGCAAGTGAACGGAAATTGATCCCTCTCTTCTCTCTCTCTGTCGCTCGAATCTCCCACGTACGTAGGTAGTATACGTCTCGCGCTATTTCGAGCGGCTTACTGGCTGTTGGGTTGGACGGGTTGGCTGATTGCGAAAACGCGAGCCAGGGGGGCGGACTGGTTTGGGTTTGGGGTGTGGGCAAATTGCTTCCTTGCCTGCCTGCCTGACTCAGTAGGGGGAGCCTAAGTAAAGCAAGGACAGAGATAGGAGCGGCTTTGCTGGGCGGCCAGATACTTTCCTCACCTAGCGTGTATTGGTGCGGCAACTTGGTATCAAGAGGAGACGGGGACTTGCTTGGGGTGTTCTGTTCTGGGGTGTGCCTGTCCCTGAGTCTGTCTGTCTGTCTCTGCCTTGGCTCGAGACAGGTACTTTCGCTTCCACGTATGATGAGAGCTCGGTCGGAGTGTCGGAGCGCCCAGGCCACTTGGCACGCTATTCCAGGGAGGATTTAGCGGCGGGCAATAATGCTACTGATGGCAATATACAGTAGTAGGCGAGGTACGTACGGTGCTGGCTGAGCGGGCTACGATACAGGAAGACAGAGATGACAGGCTACTATGGGCGACAGAGAGAGCGTGGCCTGGTGGAGTGCCTACGAAGTACAGTACACTGTATGTAATGTCATGTACCAGCCAATCCGATACGTGGTCGAGCTGCCGATTGGAGAAAAGACTAAGTTTGAGTTGCACAGCGCGGCGCGCACGAAAAGAGCGCAAATGCGGGAAACGAGAGGATTGAGGGGGGTGGGTTTTGGAGAAGAGCAGACGGGCGGTGAGGTGAGGTGAGGTGCGACGACGATCCATCTCATCCGACTCTGGGTCTGGGTCTTGGCCTTGGCCTGGATGTGGCTGGTGGGCTGGCAGGCAGCTGATTGGCTGGGGCATGGGGGGGCAGGGGCCGGACCGTGGCAGTTGGCAAGAGAGTGGGGGCTCACTAGAGAGGAAAGAGACACGAGCATCCAGCAGCACCCCTGATTGGCCAGACCTGGGGCAAATAGACACAGAGACCAAGTGGATAGGTACCTACCTGTTTCTCCCTCATCCCCCAACCCTGGACTGCACAAGTCATGATAAGACATGGAGTATACCTCTTCCAAGATCAGTGCAGATTTACGAGAAGTGAGGCCGTGGAGAGACCTCGCTTGATAACATAAACAGGTCCAGCCGTGTGATTTAAGACCGGCGATTGGCGGCACATGAACCACTGTCAGCGAGGACCATGCTTACCTATTTTGCGGCGTATAGCCGACGAGATAACAAGGGAGAGAGGTAGGACGGGCCACAGAGATGGGTAATAGGTAATACAAAGAGAGGGCACGAGCCACTTGTACTCAGTGCTTGCTTGGTTGCTTGGTTGCATCGGCCCATACTGAGCCTATCTTGCGCCCACGTCTATTTCCTGAGCCAATCGCGAGCGATCCGAGCCACGAGAAAGTGCGCAACGGGAAACCCAAAAACAGCACCCAGGCTCGGAACACGATGAAGGGGGATGGCAAGCGAGTGGCACGATGACAGAGAATATCGCTGCCGGGCAGGTCGAATGATCCAAAAACAGACCCGACTTTTTTGCAAGCTTGCGTACAGCCTACAAATTAGCCGGGAGAGGAGCCAGTGGCCTTATTTCACGCAGAACAGAACCCCTGCCCTGCGTTCCTAGGGACGACGGAATGTTGACCTTCATACCGATCAAGAGTACTAGCAGTGCCCTAAACATCTGTGTCTATTCTGGCGATGACTGGTGTAAGCTGCCTCGCTTTTTCTGCACCTCGATATTGAATTATCGCGGTTGCGTGCGGTGTTGCCTGGGATATGGTGGAGATTCCCATCTGTTGTGAGTATCTTCGTTTTCGTAGACGGGAAACACGCCAGGAGCAAATTTCTCAATTGCCAGTGTCCTGCCTGTCAATATAGACCGAGTACCGTCTATACAGAATTAACTCGTTTATGCCTGCGGGATATCTGGTATCCCAAGTGCACTGATCCCGCCGATGGAGGCCTGGAACTGTCTCGTAGGTAGTACCACTTTAGATGCACTGCTTGCGCTACCGTCGCCGTGAGTCCTGGAAAAACCTGTGATAGAGCCCCCATGGACGCGGCAGAGAGGCATCGACAAAGTTGATGCGGAGCGGATTGTTGGTGGGCTTTATAAGACAACCCTTCCGGCTGACTCACGCCGGCGGAGATTGATCTAAGTATATCAGCACCACCGCCACTTTGGGTTGTCGAGGTGCCTGAAAAGGCAAATTTGATAGCTCGAGAGAAACTAGTCATTCCTGTATGCTGACATAGTGCTCCACGCACATGCTTTTCGTGCAAGTGGCAGCCATTTGCGCGTCGTGCGTCTGCACCGTAAACAGCCAATTGGATCGTGGCGGGTGATCCACGACTGCGGGTTCGCAAAGGTCGAAGACCTCACACAGGGTGATAACAGGCCCACGAGAGAGACTTGGAACAAGAACACGCATGATGAACCACAGCTATGCTCTCATTGCGTGTATCTTTTCGCCATCTTCGTCCATGCCGGAATTACGAAGCAGTGAAATGTGCAATCCGCGTTGTTGTTGTTGTTCATGATGGATAGCTCCGTGTTTCATTGTTGCCTCCCTTGCCCGCCTGGACGTCTCTCTGACGAAAGATATGAAATATGTTTCATGTAGCCTAGAAAATACAAGAATACATTTCAGGAGCATGTCCATAGGTCCTCGAAGATATATATCCAAGGCGTCCAGTGCGTCAAAGTCATGGCCTGGGCTGTTAACCGTGTGGGAGCACCCGATTTGCCCGCCACGGGCCGACTCTGGCAAGTAAAAAGGAGAGATAGGTAGATCATGGAGCAGAGACTTTCGTGGAGATGAGCAAACAGGTCTAACACACAGGTACGAATCAGACACATTCAGGTTGGCGATTGCTCGATATTAATAAAGACCCTAAGACCCGGACTCTCGATGATAGCCAAGGGCCAGGGATGTGACGCATGGGGGCCCGGGACGGCGTTGGGCAGATCCTTGCATTCCCTCTTCTGGCGGCTAACCATATTAGTTGGAGAATCCTCGCCGTGGTGGCAGCCGGTTCTGCGTGACCATGCGAGCCGGTCAAACTGTGCAGTGTTTCAAACTTTCCTCGTCGCCATTTCCAAGCCAATTGTCGCCCCTACTTCTTCCGTTAAACGAGCGACTAGACTCTTGACCTAGAGAATTCTTTTTTTTCGTGTGTCGAGCTGCCTCATAGATGGTGATATTGTTCAAGCCACCAACGACGTAGGCGAGTGGGGTGGACCGATTCCACTTTGGGGTATTAGACGTAGCCAGGGATTGGGAATTGAAATGGGAGCCAAAGTCCCCCATGTCAGCATGATGAAAGCACGATAAGAGAGGTGACGAGAATGGAGAGAAAGCATTCGAAGGAGGAGGGAACGGACGAGAAGGAGGGAAATAATGCAAAGAAAAGAGACAAAGTGGTCTGCCAGGGGAGGGGGGAGGCGGTGGGTTTAGATACCCAAGGTACACTACACTAGATGGAGTGTGTATGTCGGCAGCAAAGAAATGCGTAACAAGACAAGACAAGACAAGTACATAAGTAGTAGTAACAGGCCCTATTATTAGGCCCAACGAGAACGGCTGATCACGAGGGAAATACGGAGAGGAAACGAGGGAATAGACCGCCTGGGCAGACAGCAGCAGCATAACGTTGTTTGTGTGTGCGAGGGAAAACTCGGTAAATGCCACCACGCTATGCCACTTCTTTGATTACGCCTTCTTTACCCACCACCCTATCAAACATGTCTGGCACAGGGTGTGTGTATCTTGCTGTGTATCTTGCTGTGTAGGCGATGGACGCGATCGGAATCCCTCTATACGAGTTGTCGGGGGAGACGGACAAACAGCGAAAGCAATGGGTACGGTAGGTAGGTAAATGAATGATGGGACGGGAATGATGGACGGGGGGAAGGGAGGGCTAGGTAGGTTAGAAGAGATCAGGCAGTGTAGTGGGCGGCGAGGAAAACCCGACATTGAACATTCCGGATGCAGTTTTATAATCTTTCAATCATCATGACCGCTGGCAGGGTTCTTGCGTCTGACTTGAGTTTCCTCTCCTTCTCTTCCACGAGCATCTGATATGCCATCCTAGGTATCCTGTCCTATCCCATTTCATCCCAAGGTAGCACCGCCAAAGCCTGCTACCTGACCCAAGTGCCTGCTAACTCTACATCCATTACCTTTACGTGGTACGCCTCGACTACGTCTAAAAGTAAGGCAAAGGAAGCAGCATGTAGGAGGATAGGCAAAATCATTTAGTGGCCAAAGCTAAACCGAGCGACACGCCAGCGGGCGATGTCGATTACTAGATTACTACGGTGATGAAAACCAGGCAGTTTCCGTGCCTATCTTTTACGCTAGCTTCTTCTTCCCTATTTGGGACCCGTCCCGGCGAGCCTCCCGCTCTCGTCTCGCTTTCATCTCAGCACACTTCTTCTGGGTGACACTGTTGGTTGGACAAAAGCCTCATTCATTCCCGACTCATTGGAATGGCATTCGCAGACGAGACGAGGATCCTCGGCTGTCTCGCTCGTGAATAGCTAACGGCCATGCCTACGCACACCTTACCTAGACTTGCTCGTGTCATTTTTGACTCGACTCCCACCCTTCCCCCCCTTCTTCTTGTCCTCCGTCGAGGCTTGACTGCTCAAAGTTTGTTCCCCTCATCTCGCTCATCTTATCCACTTCACCCCTGCATACCCGACTTTCCCTCGCGAGCCACCTAGCCAGCCACCAAATGGCCGAGTAATCGAGATTAGATTTTGACTAGATGCTTTTTTCGTGCTGTCTTGTGTAATATGCTCTGGGCGTCGGCTGTTCTAAGTTGTCGAGTGCATATCATAGCTATGTTCATGCGGTCGGCTTAGGTCGTCATCTACTGAGACTGTGGCCGTGCTACTCTCCCATGTTCGAATAAGAAGAGCCCGTCAGCAGCTGGGGGACATGGTGACATTCTAACCAGCTACACTACACTAGTCAGTGTTCATGCCCTCGCCCAGGCTTTGTTGAGGCGTGCCGGTCGCGTAAGACAATTCGACACCATCGTTACATACCTGCCTATACCAGGAACAGGTGACATCGACTGCTGGTTTCCTTTGTTGGGCACCCTGGCAGTACTGCCCAGGCATCGTCGAGTTCCTTGCGAGAGCTGGTTGGAGATTTAGATTTGGGAATCATTAGCATTACCGGATCCACCGCTAAAGCCGACATGCACCCTCACACTGACACACACCAACACAACCAACACAAACCCCATGCCATGCTACAAGATTTCCCCCTCACAGTCGCAACGCAGACGGTGGTACCTATGTGGCGTGTCGGAAGGCTAGGCAAAACTACAAGCTTCATGCCGAAAAGCATAAACAATACTTGATAGCTGCTTCAGGTGTGAGCAATTCCAATGTGATTCCTTCACATAGGTATTGTGCACTAGGTAGGTAGGCGGTGCAGGGACGCAAGACAAGGGTGTGAGGGGCCCTGGTCAATATCGCAGTGTTGTACGGAGTACAGAAAACATTCTGCCACCCTTGGCCACTTGGAGTCATTCTGTATTGGGTTGACACATGTTCGAAGAGGAGCAGATTTCTACTCTGACAACACACATCGTAATTACTATAATTACCGCCTACCGTACCCAGCCAGGTAGGTATATGTCTACCTACTTGCTAAGTAGGAAGAGCACAGTCGGTCCGGGACAGCTCTGCCACCCCAGAAGCCAAACAAACCAGGTAAATGCAGCAAGAAAATATGGCAGACAGAAAGATTAAAATACCTATGGATCTGGCCTTCTAAATTGCACAATGCTTAACTCTGGCTCGTTTTGTTCTTTCTTGACTGATTGATCCGTTTGAGTTCTTGATGCTACCTAGGTAAGGTAGCACCGGGAGATCCTCCGGCCCGTCAAACAAGCCAGCTGCCTAGACATAATCAAAATCCCTGGTCCTCAGGCCATTCATTTCGTACCTATGTACACACCACGATACATGACATGTGTACATATATACCGGTACTTACTTAGACACGCTCTTCGAACAAGAGCGCGTTCCAGAGGTTGTTCCTGCAAGATACCATTAACACATATATCAACGCATTAAAAGTAGTGAGAGAGTGAGAGAGTGAGAGAGAAAAAAAGGACAAGCCCGAAGAACACCAAAAAAGAGAAAAAGCACGAAGAAAGTGAGGGGAAAATAAGAATCCGCCCATAATGCCAAAACGGAAAACAGCAGACGAGACTCCAACGCTGAGGCGCTCTACACGCCGCAAAGTGACCGCTCCACACGAGAAAAGGCCAGATGAGAAAGGGGATGCCAACAAGAAGACAGCGTCAACACCCAAAGCTACCACTCCCAAGTCGAAATCAAAGACATCATCGCCCAAAAGCGTCCAAGCTGAAGTAAGTACCACTTGGTGATCGCTTCCAAATTTCCTCCACTTCTGTAGGACACGACAATGCAATAATGCATCGCGACCTCTCAGTCCTTAGGTAACCTCACAAAATACCAAGCGCGCTCACACACACACACACATACTTCGTATGTATACATATTCACACGTATCACATATCAATAACCAAAAGCCACAGGTATCTAAATCCCCTACAGCCCAACCAGCCACCACCACCAAGAAGAAGCGCAATGCGAAATCCACCACCACGCCAGCCACAGAGCTTGTCAACACTGTTGATAAGACCAGTAATGCTACAGCGAGTAGTAGTAGTAGCTCCAGCAATGGCGATCGGTGGTACTGGCTAATGAAAGCCGAGCCCGAATCGCGCTTCGAGAATGGCGTCGACGTGAAGTTTTCCATCGACGATCTCGCTGCTAAGACGGCGCCGGAGCCATGGGATGGTGCGTTCCGTTCAGTTTAGTTTTATTCCATTCACGCTCAATCCATCTTGTTGAACCCTAGCTCGTCGCAACTCTACTCGCCTCGTCTCACTTCACCTCAACTCATCTCACCTGCTCTCATACCCCTCCCCAACTACCGTGCCTTACACATAAAACATGCATCACGACAAGTTTCTTATTTCATTACGTTATATATATACATGCACGCACATGTTAAACCTGACCCATATCTAACACGTATAAATAACACAGGCATCCGCGCCTACGCAGCGCGCAACAACCTCCGCGCCATGAAAAAGGGCGAGCTCGCCTTCTTCTACCATTCCAACTGCAAGGAGCCCGGGATCGTAGGCACGATGGAGATAGTCCAGGAGCACACGCCTGACCGTAAGTCGCCTCACTTCATTCACTCCATTACACTGCTCCTCTTTCGATTTTTCTTCCCTCGATGTACCATGCTTACCAGCACCCAAGTCTCCGCTCACGACCCCAAGGCGCCCTATTACGACGCATCCTCGAAGCCTGCAGATCCCAAATGGAGCGTAGTCCACGTCAAGTTCTGCAGCAAGTTCGTCAAGCCTATAGGGCTTAAAGGGCTGCGGGAGATGGGCAAGGCGGGACAGCCTCTGGAGAACATGCAGATGTTGAAACAGAGCCGTCTTAGCGTAAGTCGGGTAAGTCCCGCCGAATGGGATTATCTGATGGATCTTGTTGAAAAACAAGGGGGGGAAGTGTCAGATATATAAACCCATGCAGCTCTGTTGTCTCGCGGGATACCCTCTGAATCATGATGGCGGTAATGTTTTAATAGTGAGTGTCAGTACTGTACGAATACCAACGTCTAAGTCTTGAGACGACACTAAAGCCTCAAGCCATGACTTCAGTTTTGAAGACAAGGCTTTAGGGTTTGTGGTTCTGGGAAGAGTCGATTTGACGCGATTGAGGGTTTCCCTTACTGCCTTAGGATAAGCAGGATCATCGGTCTTGAGGCTAATCAACGGGTGTCGAATGTAACAATAAGAGGTGGCGGCATCGTTCGGATAGAGCTCGTTCATGCTGTCGAGAACATGTTGTATGATTCGTGGCTGTACAGATATCTCCGTAAATAGCGCAAAGACATCGAAGAATTGTTCTCCTACGGCGGCATTGAAGAAAGCCTGTTTCTTGGCGACGTCGTAAATGGCTAATGGTATCGCCCCATCCAATGCCGGGTTATTCTTTAGCTTCGACGTAGTCTCGGCATCAAACACGTTCTTCGCAGCAGCAGCGTCCGGATTGGGCATGATCAACCGGCCATTCTCGTCGACATCGTCGTCGCTGTCGTCGGAGCCCAGCTTGATCTCGTCATCGTCGTGTTCGGCCTGCTCAGCGATGGCCTTCTCAGCGCCTCCCTTCTTGCCCTTGCGAGCCTCCATCTTCGCCAGCCATTCCATCTCGCACTTGGCATAGGCGAGCCACACGGTGGGATACCTGGTGCAGAAGCGGGAACCGCGCATGAAGAAGCCCCTGGCGGCGTGCATATCCCCGTGACTTGCGGCCCTCTGGCCAGCGAGCACCCAGAGCTCCGACTTAGCAGGGTGCATTCTCAGGGCTCTCGTCATGACCTTGCGGTATCGCTTCGTTGCCCTCATCTTGGTCGCATAGCCCAAGTACTCCTTCCACAGCTCCAGACTGCCCGGGTGTCTGCTCACGGCGCGCTCGAGGATGCCGAAGACCCTGCCCTCTCCGACATGCTTGGACGAGGCGCGAATCTCTAGGCGGCGACATCGTTTGGTGCGGAGGGCTTCGAGGGATCGTTCCCATGCGACATAGTTGAGCCAATCTTGAGCCTTGTTCCCGGGGGACAGGACTATGTGCTCGTAGTCGGTGCGCTTGCGAACGAGGGAGCGTATCTCGTCCGGGTTGAAGATGCCCTTGGCTTCGAACTCGCGGAGCTGGGGGACGGCTTGTTCGAGATAGAAGCGGGCTTTTTCAGCGACGGCGGCCATGGTGACAACAGGCCTCTTGGGGATGTCCTTCTCTGGACCACTGTGGGCTTAGGGGACACTTGTCCAGGTGTTGGAGTGGCCGAGGCAACGAGTCTCGAGTCTCTTATTCGCAAAGTTGGCCAAACAGATGTCTTGCATTACAGTAAGTAAAAGAAAATAAATTGGAGATGGTGGGGCCCGACGTGTTATCGGTGTTATCGGTTCATATCTAGGTAGGTACCGACCTGGGTGTGCAGACTGGGTACTCACTACTTACTCTACTTAGTGGGCGGGTAGGTAGGCCCCACGCGGAACCATTCCATTGTTCTGTAAGTAGGTACGGTACCTACCTACCTAGGTAGTGGTGTGTAGTCGGGTTTTGGAGCTGTAAGACAAGCTGTCCTATCCATGTATATGCATATACTTTTGTATCTACCTATGTAGCGTTTGTGAATATACCTATGTATTTATTCATATTAGATGCTTTGGTCTCTAGAGCCGAGTTCCGTTGCTTACCTAGCTTAAGTAGGATGTCGCACAGCACCCGCGCCGTACTCGTACAAGTTCCTATGTAGGCGCTGTATGCCGAGGTACCTAACAAGCCTAACCAGCCTAACTAGTGTGTATACCTACCTATAGTACAGTACCTACCTAGTACCTAGTAGGTAACCTATGCGGGTAGCTGCTAGGGACTTTTAGTAGTAGGAATTCTCGGATACTTCGGGAGCTATGTTGGGCCTCACTCCAGTTAAGTTGTCTCGGGAGGTTTTTTAGTAGGTCTACTAGGGTGCTCGGGTGCTTACTTATGTATATCTGTATCTGTAGCTAGGGCTGCTAGTGTAGGTATGATATTGACGTACTATACATACCACAGGCTGAGTGAGTAAGTAGAAGGGATACAGAGACGATGTTAGATGTTTGTTAGTTTGTTGGAGTTGCGGTACCTGAGATCTGTCGCCGCGGCAGGCCTGCATAAGCGAGTCGAAGCTCTAACCATCCAGGTACCGGATACATACATACTTATACTTCCCTACAGTTATACGGACAAGAGCTCCTACTGCTGGTAGCTGGGAGATCGAAGCTGGTCGGATCCCACGCTCACGCGATCACTCGCCGAGCCGTCGGGTTGTTCGACATTACTCAAAACCCCGACGCCATCATCGCCTACGTTTCTGTATTTTTTACGTCCTTGTTTTCTTGCTCCCATTCTCATTAGCCTGTCTATCTTTTTCCATCTTCCCCCTTCCCCCCCTCTGTCTTTTCCCCCCAAGAATTGCCAAATTCGCATGCTGCTCAATTGATCACCACCGGCATCACCATGTCCAAGTACAAGGACAAAGATAGCGGGGTGGCCCTTGTGTCCTTCAACGCGAAATGGGTGTCCTGGGCGCATACTGGCATCGCATACAGTCAGTTCACTCACCTCTCTGTTCCGTCTCGCCCTTGATCCTTTTTTTTTTTTTTTTTTTTTTTTTTTTTTCTTTCCTCTTCTTCAATTCTGGGTAGAGGCGCATAATGGGATATCTTGACTAACGGCCTTGTCGTGTTGAAGCTGCATTCTTGAGCGCCCTCGTCGTCGGCATGTCCCTTCATTTCCACAAGATCGTCAAGAACCAGCATTATGGCTACCCCGACGAGTGGTTCCCCTCCGTGTCCGCTACCATCGGCGACCGATATCCCGAAAGATCCTTCTTTATGGTCTTTATCGCCATCACCTCCGGTATGTGGTTCTATATCTCCTTCTTGGAGATAATATGCCCGCGAAACTCCAACGTGCAAGTAGCCGGGGGCCGGTGTTGAGGAGTCGGCCGTTGAGCAACTTTGATATATACGGAAGTGGACATGTAAAATGGACTATGATTGCCACAGATCTCAGTGACGGCATCTTGAGAAGCGAGCCGCTAGCCATGCTAACCTGGGATACATTATTTAGGCCCCCGCTTTGCCCTCGTTGCGCTCTGGTATCTCTTGACTGCCCGCCCCGGCAAGAATCTCCCCAAGTTTGTGGCCGCCATGGGGCTGTTTCGTACACTGACATGTGGAGGTTGGACCTATGTTACCTCGACCGACGATCATGACTGGCATGACATCTTCATGATCTCCTACCTAGTAGCTACCATTCCCTGGACAGCCGGCTGTCTCGTACTGAGCCCGCCTAATGCCAAAGCAATCAAATACCGTAAATATATCGCTACTGCCTTCTTCACAACCATTATCCCTATGGTTTACTTTTTCATACAGCATAAGATCCATCGTGTGGCCGGAGGTTTGTAAACTCCCTTTGCGACACATCATCTCATCAGCTGACACATGGTAGCATACACTACGTATTCCTTTTTTGAGTGGTCTCTAATCTTGTACGATATCGCATTCGATGCTGTTACCGCTTTAGACTTCGACACTTTCGAAATCATTGTCAAGGACGTGAACGGTCTTAGTAAGGGGTATGTACACTGGCTTCCCAGGTAGCCTGGATCCGACTTCGCACACTCGCTCGGGCTTCACAATCATCTTGTTCATCGTTTCGTACCGTCTTTTATCTTGCTATTCAGATATTGCAGCAACTTGTCAAATCTTTCCACCACAGGTCACACACATAGCGGAATCGAATATTGTCAATGCAATTGGTAAATCCCGTGTTGGGTTTCCTGACAACACGACAAGAGAATGCACGCAACACGAGCAGTCCTGTACGGCTGTAATATCTGTCTTTTACCTGACAATGTTGGGTGTGTTTGGTGCAAGAGCAAAGGATCTTGTTTGGTGAGATATTCTTGCCCCAAACCGACTGTTCAGAAGGTGGTCAAATTTAGACGACTTGGGGATTCTTGAGATCTGCTCTATGAGTCATCCGAGCGAGTGTGCGGAATGGTCCAGTGTTGAATTGATATTAATGAACAGTACTCTAATGGTTCTCTCAGGCTGCATAGCCCGGACCCGTCGAATGTTGCCCTAGAGAAAAAAAAGATCAAGTCAACAGCGGGCATAAGTACTAGGTTTTCGTGGCCTGAGCTTTTCGACACGGCTGCCGATGTATACCATGGATATGTGTTCTGGTCTATGCTGACAAGCATGGGAATCCTTATCTGGTATTTCCCGCTGTGGCATATGGGCATTTCTGGATACGAAACCTTCATATTGTCGACTATTTCTCCCCTATTCCTGTCTTCAAAGTCGTTTCGTGCTTTGGTCGAGCGAAATCTGCGGTTCTTCCATCTTCTCTCATTGATGGGGATACTGGCCTGGAAGGTAACAGATCCAGCATATCGACTGTTTGCTGTCGGTTTCGGCGTGTCCATGGCCTGCCTTTCGTGGGCAGCCACATTTTCCTCGAAATCCGCACAAAAGGCTCAACTTGAATCTAAACTTCTATCTTGGATGGTTGGATTGGCCTTGTCTTCTGCCATGAAATTCGCGTGGAGGACAAACAATCCCATCTGGCCCATTATGAACGCCGACAATGGTGGCCATAACGGTCTCGGCTTGGCACTGGCTGTGCTGGCTGCGCTGTGGTTCACTCGACGTGTTCCCATAACCAGTGAAGCGTCTCGTGATAGTGAGGAGAGCGGTTCGTCTTTCCTCGCTGCTCTGGGTCTAAGTGGCCTGATCTTCGGTCTGCACTCGCTGCTCTCAGACACTAGCACCATGATTCTTTGGGTGTGGGAAGGCTATCCAGCACGCGGGCCTCTTTCTGCACCTCATGGCTGGTTTACTATGGCCGCCATGTCTGCTGGACTACTCACTGGAATATACAGACCCCAACTTGTCAGCACATGGACAGTCTACGGCGTTGGCTGCATCGGGGCTGCGGTGCTTACTCTCCGTGCGAATTGGTTCGGATATTACGGCGCATTGGTCGTCGCTTTCTATTTCACTGCCATATCCATACCTTTCCTAACGGCCGCTTCACGAAAGCCCACCGCCATTACATTTGGTCTTGGGTTCTTCATCTACAACTTTTTGGTTCTTTTCCATGTATGGGTGGTTGCCTACGCGTTTGTCCCAGGCGGACCATTAGTTCGCGAGCATACTGACTGGGTGATGATTACGACAATGCTTCTCGTTGGTGCGGGCGTGTTCAATGTGACGACGCGGAATGCCCGCTTGCGTAACACACAACAGCCAGTCGCCCGGAACCATCATCGCAAATATCATTCTCTTGTCCTCGGTATCATCAACGTATTCTTTCTCGTATCAGCTTATGCGCGCTTCCCAACAAATGATTACCGACCCTATCATGAGGAGTCAAAGGTGATGACAGCCGGGATATGGACGATACACTTTTCGCTCGACAATGATATGTGGTCTTCTGAATACCGTATGCGTGATTTGATTAAAGAACTAGAGATTGATGTCATCGGGCTTCTAGAATCGGATCTTCAGCGCATTATTATGGGAAACCGTGACACGACCCAAATTCTCGCCGAGGAGTTAGGCATGTATGTCGACTACGGCCCAGGCCCCAATAAACACACGTGGGGTGCTGCGCTTCTATCCAAATTCCCGATCCTCAACTCTACACATCACCTCCTACCGTCACCGGTAGGCGAGCTTGCACCAGCCATTCATGCAACTCTTGACGTGTATGGAGAGTTTGTCGATGTTTTTGTGTTCCACTCTGGTCAGGAAGAGGATCCAGAGGATCGTCGTTTACAAGCAGAATACCTATCAAAACTGATGGGCTCTTCACCACGCCCCTCAATCCTCCTCTCCTATTTGGTAACGAAACCTAAGAGAGGAAACTATAACACCTACGTCTCCCAAACCTCAGGTATGCATGACGTGGATCCTAGCGACTGGGATCGCTGGTGCGAGTACATATTGTACAAGCATTTGCAACGAGTAGGTTATGCGAGGGTATCCAGAAGCACCATCACGGATACGGAGCTGCAAGTCGCGAAATTCGTCGTACCAAACAGTAGCGACGAAAAAGCAAAGGTTGCAGCAATAAATGACGATGCAGACACGAGAAATCGCAGGGCACAAGAAAGTGAAGTCCCTGAGGGTTGGAGATTCCCCGCCATGTTCAGGGGGAAGGGTGTACGAGGCCACCGATACCACGTCTTCAACGAGCCACGATATTACAGGCCTTTATAAACAACTTGTCTGATGATGAAAACGTGCGGCTAAAATCATGGCCATGAAGGCTTATATTATAATGATAATGAAGGATGTAGTTTGGGTATACAAGAGAGCTATTGTATCTTGTCACGATTAGTGTATAATTTTCATACGTTTGAAAGCCTTCTCGTCACTTGCAAATCTTCAGAGTCTTTCTATATCGCTCCAAAGGCATCGGGCGACACGCTCATTCAGCAACCATTCTAGCTACACTCCCGGTTCAACAGCCTTAACTTTGTATATACTAACAGAACAAGCCCACGAGAGTTTCAGGAAGCTCAATGTGAGCCGTGTCAATGCGGGTCCTGGGCCAACCAAGCCAAGCCGTTTCTTCCGACCCCTCAATCTCGTTCCCATATTTTCATGCGACGGACGTTAACCCGCAACGTTACAGGTGGGCGGGCGCTAATCAAGTGATTCATCGTTCAATTAGCTAGCTGCGTGGAGCATCCATCATACACTACCCCCGGGGTAGCAATCCCTGCTCTACCTATTCCACACGAAGCGATGAGACAAGACAGCGGGAGAAGAAATCAATATATCGGCGCCGAGAGCATCAAAATAGAAAATAGTCCACTTGTCAGGCCCGTTTTTCGACCATCCGAAGTGGAATAGTCCTGTGTGGCTGCTAGCATCTAGCCAATTGGAAGCCCGTGTGAGCATGTCACAAGCATCGAGTCCTCCATTGCATTGTCAATGCAGTTAAGTCCGAATAGGCAGGCGACGGGAGAGTGGCATCGGACCTGCATTGAACGCAACCCAGCAAGAGATCCCGACAATGCAGGTCCCCATCTACGGTGGTATTGGGCCCCGTACAATCACGTCAACGTGCATCTCTCGATAGTAGTCACGATGGACGGAGAATGACATGCCAGCCAGCGCTTACCTTACCTTTCGCACGGCCGTACTCCGGGAGGGCCAAGACAGAACCAGCCGCCGAACACAAGAGGCGCATTGGAAATTTCAGAAGCAAGAATGTAACTTTTATTGACTGGGTCGAATAATTATAGGCCGAGGAGGTCGACTGAATAACTTACTCATGTCTCGAATGCCCCGTATAAAGATGTCATGGCTGTCTCGTTGTTACGTCTCTGCTGCTCGGTCTACATGCTCCGGCCTCCCCTGAGAGCTTCCTTGACTCATCAGGATGCGTGCCGTCTCGCCCCAATCAGGCTCTGCCCTGCTCCGTTGGTCATCAATACTGACCTCCCTTGTCGGTGTCGTCGCAGCGGGCCCGGGAGATGCGGACTCGGTGCGTGATGCCATAGAGGCTATGAACGCCTTCTACAACGAGACAACCGGGCTCTGGGACACTGGTCCGTGGTGGCATAGCGGAGTAGCCTTACGCGCCGTCGCCGAGTACATGCTCGCGACGGGATCCGACGAGTACGTCGACATAGCCACCTACACCGTGGACACGCAACGTGCGCCTCTAGACTGGTGGCCTGAAGGCGGCGGGGACTTCCGCGCTGACAGCACAGATGACACGGGCTGGTGGGCTCTCGCGTTAACATCGCTATACGAAGTCACGGGGAACTCGACGTATCTCGACATCGCCAGACTCGACGAAGCGTATATGTACGACTACTGGAACACGACGCAATGCGGAGGAGGTCTGATCTGGGCGATTCCAACCCGGACCTACCACAACGCCATCTCCAACGAGCTGTACCTCGAGCTCACGGCCACGCTGCACAATCTCATCCCTGGTGACACATACTATCTGAACCAAGCCCTGAAAGAATGGGAATGGTTCAACGGCACAGGGATGATTAATTCCGCAGGCCTTATCAACGACGGACTCACCGAGGACGACGCCTGCGTGAACAACGGACAGCCCATATGGACGTATAACCAAGGGGTTATCCTCGCGGGCCTAGTGCAATTATCGCTCGCGACAGAGGATTCCTCATATCTAGATATCGCGCAAACCATCGCGGACGCAGTCCTCGCCTCATCTACATTATCGCCCTCAGGGATCCTAACAGAAAACGCATGCGCGACTCCAGCAGACTGCGAGCCGAACGGGACCGCGTTCAAGGGGATCTTCATGCGCGGCTTAGCGAAACTCGACGCCGCGCTACCCGATCATCCGTATCGGGACTATATACGTTCTAACGCGCAGTCTGCATACGATAACGCGAGGAATAGCACTGATTTCTACGGTTTCGCGTGGCAGGGCCCATTTGATGATGCTGGGACTATTGGGAAGCAGGAGTCTGCTGTTGATTTGCTTCTGTCTGCGCTTTAGTTGTGCGTACCGGGAGAATGTTTGTGGGAGGAGGGAAGTGAGGGTATGTGTATATAGCTAGGGTGGGAGTATGGTATATAGTATCTCTGGGAGAATATATTCTGCATTATGAATCATCTATAAGTCTATCTGTCTGCTCTCCCCCTCGAGTCTTACGACTATATTCCAGCTCGCGCTATATATAGTGACACGTCTCCATCGCAGGAGAAGCATATCCCTGACCAACGAATGTCTCTTTCCGCCTCACCGTAATAACTGCCATGATTTCAGCGTAGTGTTCTGCTAGTCATGCTATATTGTCGTCTAGATCAGAGCATTCTATCGCGGCGAAGAAGATGTTTGCGTCCGAGGGCGTGTAGTAGGTGGCGGTATGGCCGGGCCGAGGTGCTAGGGATTTAGGTTTGGATTGCGCTGGTAGAATCCCACAGAATGTTCATTCGCACAAAATACTAATATTTGGAAGAGGAAAGAGAGCTGGGCGTCTGTTCTGCAGATATGATAGAATGCGAATCTTTGGTGATCGATTTCCACGCCCTCCTCTGCAGCGGAAAGAGATCCTACAGGACAGAGGAAATCCCAACCAGCTCACCCTGGCGCATATCAACAGGTCAAGTAGTGTGGTACGGGGTTATCTGTGGTAGAACGGCGTGAAATATTGTCAGAATTGCCACATGTATGTATCAATCTCGGCTGAGGACTACTGTACTACAGTATTTTCGTCCACTTCGAGATGCTTCTCTACCCATATCGCCTTATCACAGAGTCCTCTGACACATTTATACTCCGTTGGCACTTTGAGTCGCCGTTGATATGGCTCGTTTAGCAGCGCATGTCTCATGGGTTGCATTTCATAGGCGAGCTCTATGTCGTACTCGTCCGTGTTATGTTGATCGGGGTCGCACCCCACGAGACGTTTTGCTTGTCGAATTTTTCTCGATAAGGCGCCGATGACAGCTGCGTGGGCGATCGATATGGCTGTTATTAGATTCATTTCCAAATAGATTGTTGGGGTGGTTTTGCTGCTACGATTTGAGTTGCAGATCATGCGCACCGACTTGAGGACGCGAGCGTGTGATGAGAGATTGAATAAGGCTCATTGGTAATTGCATGAACATTTTCGAATCCTTAATATGTAAAGAAAGTGTGAAGCATTATAAGGAGGCGAGCTGCCTTAGAAGCCATTTATAAGAACGCGAGTGCAAACTCTACAAAAGGTTTACGGCTAAGGTAGACTTCGGAGTCCCAGTTGATCGAACACAGTTTCATGATTTTGGGTTTACCAAATGCGGGCTAGAACAAGCTGATGAACTTTGACGATTGGGAAAAGAACGTGGTTATAACTGCATAGTCTATGAATTAGCTATGTCATTTGTTGCGTCCTTAACTCTTATTCGTATTTCTTAATAGTAATAACTGATCAAGAGTCGACAGAAATACAGCATCCCTCTCCAGCTTGGAACTGCAGAGAGCAGTTCTCACCGTTGGGACCCAGGATGAGATTTCACGCATATACAATCTTGACCCCGCCCGAACAGGGCTGGAACATCAGCAATACGACCGGGTTGTCGATCTTCGTCACATACCCTATCTCCACCATATTGGCAGTTCATCAATGCCGCTATTGCCTATTTGCCCCAGAATGATATCAATTTGCTAACCAGAGGGCGGCAAGAGATGGTGTCAGGACAAGGACTAATTACCCACTGCCGTCGCACTGCGTGTACCTTGCTTATCGTGAGGACAGCCTAGGCAGGTATCTGATTCTAGACGTTAGCAATGGAACCGCGATGGAGTTCGCAAGCAATAATGAAATGGCGCCGAATGAAGAGTACGAGGCACTACCTGAGTCTTAGAGGTGGCGTGCTCATCCGACAACGCCCCTCACGGAGCCATTGTACAAATGGACTCGGATGTACAAGGAATTGGGATTATTAGTCTCGCCGAATCCAGTTAAATAGCCGGTCGCGGTTAGGTTCTACAGAAGACCCGAAGAGGAGGACAGCGACTCCGACGTAGGCTATGAGGGCGGAAGTGAGCTTGATCGTGGGCAGAGAGATGCGGCAAGAGAGAAGAAAGAAGATGCCAAGGTAAGAAAAGTCCCCCCGCTCTTGGCTATACTTCTGATGGCTTAGAGAAGCGAGCGTGTACCAGATTGGCTGGTACTGATCTGAACCTGTGAAGAAAGTCTACGACGTGTACATTCGCTACGGATGGCCGGGCGACTACAAGAAAGACCGCGCAGAGCAATTGAGGGCCGAGTTGTGGGAATTGGAACAGGAGAGGTGGGCTGAGACCAAGAGGCTCATGGATCAGAAGAAAATGGCTGAGGCGACGAAGGGTCTGGAAATGTAACGATTGCGCGCCTTGAGTTCGGTCAGTGAAATCAAGAGACGGAGAGTTGATGAAAAGCTTACCTAATTCATCACAGTATTCTCACATCCGACAGCCAAGTGCTGCCAGCTGCACTCCCAAAGTACCTAGTCTATGTTGAAAATAAGGGGCCAAACGTCACCAAAGCCTGTATGCTGAAGGAGTTGTGGATTGTAAAGTGAAATACACTTAGGTCAAATCTTGTATGCTAGATATCATTATTAAGCGAGTGATTCACTCTTTCATTGTTGCGCAAGAACTTCAGAGATCCCGAGTCACTGGGTGTTCTCGTCCAGACCACCCAGGCCATTCACACAATCTGCTCTTCGGCCGGATCCTCGGACCGTGATCTGTTCGAATGAGTAATATAAAAACACTATCAAGCAGCAGTTATTACTGTCTCAGCTTCTCGTTATCTGGCAGCAAGGATTGGTCAAGGTGGAAGACGTCTTATACTACAGGGGTTCTACTCCTCCCTTTACTTGTCAACTTTGATTGGTTACTTACATATAGAGAGCATACCAGCCGGATATCGATGCAAGGGCGCCGTAAACATGTGAAGTCATTAGCAATCTGTATCATGTATAAATGTGGCAATATAAGAACGCCCGAGACAAGGTAGCGGCTTGTTTACGAGTGCTGACCTGCGTTTCACGACGTAGGGCAACCCATCTTGCAAACTATGTACGTGCGCCTTGCGTCTTCAAGAATTTATTCAAAGTATAGAGTGAGTTCAGCTGCTATGGCTCTTTCTCTCCCATGTCCTTAGGCTAAATACTAAGTAGGCCAAGAGGCTAACTAAAGACTCAGCTTATTGTCTTAGGGTGAGTAATCCTTGAATAAGTGCTGATGGGCAAACATGAGATATTGAATCCTAGATCCAGTACCATGCTGATTTGAAGCAGCATCAAACATGCGATAATATGCCTCTCCCTACAAACTAATCCTCTTTTGGGGGGCGATATGCCAGCTCCCCAAACCCTCGCTTTGCTTCTGCCACGAATGACCATTGTTTATCGGCATACTTAAAGGACTTAATACCGGTTCTATTGCTCACGTCTTGTCAAAAAGTGGTCGGCTCCGCGCAAAAGCGCTGACGCGTGCTGTTGTGCAAGGGCCATGGCTCCCTTGTTAGCCATCATTATGCCCTATCAAAAGGTGTCGCCTTCTCCATGACGCATTTTGAGCTACGATAGGTTGTGCTATCAGTAATATCCAACCAACGAGTTCTCGAGTTCTTGGGCTCGCCTAATCGAGATCTAGCAGATAAAGCTGTCAGATCATGTCTGGAACGTTTACATTGGAGGAAGGTATCTGTCCAATGATCTTAGCATGGATATTTGTTGCGCACCCAATGAGGATTTGGATTGGATATCTCTGTCCCTCAGGGAATCACCCGTTTTCAATTCGCTTTCGAGTTGATACTTGACTAAGATAATACGTCTCTCAGTCAACCTCGTGACAAGATAGGAATCGTTACGCAGCTTTCAGAGTGGAAAGGGAAGAGCGATTGTGATCCATAAGTATGGTGAGAGCCGCCCTTGAGGTTGAATTTTCTTTGATATTCATCACCATCAAACTTTTAAGCTTCTCTCATCAGCACAACTATTCCGATCAAAATTATTTCAATGAGTGTTCTTGACCATCCCTACATATTTTTAGCCTTCTCATCACCCATCATGAGCTCTAGAACGCCTAGAACTCCTTCTACCAAAGGAACGAGGTAGGTCAAGGACATACTCTACCACAGTTGTTTTGATAGTTCATGTTTAACCGAGCATACAGCCAAGGAACGTCCTCTCAACAGGCCTCTTCACCTACCACTACAACTTCTACCTCAACCAGTGGGAAGGTAATCAGTCAAGCGCCCCTTGCTCAGCCGTCAATGGAATTCCCGAAACCTGCCGTTCTCCATAACTTCACCACGGCCCCGAACAACATGACCTTTACCACGCGGGATGCCGATGGAAACAGGGTTACTGTCGTTCTAGAAGACTACGACGCGCCTACTCCTCTTGGGCAGCGGGTAAAGAGGAGTGTAAAGGAAGCTGGAGTGAAGACCGCCAATTGCTGTCTTGGTTGTGTTTGCCGCACATGTTGTGGCATTTGAGCAGACCTTTGGAGAATATAGCCATTTAATGGCCTGTGGGAATTACGGACGACGCTCGTTCCTTGAATTCTTGGTACGAGTAGAGGCAGGTTGATCTATGCAGTACTATGTCTGGGGATTGTAGTTCTCTGCTCCGTGCGTTACCAACTTATGATTCCACTCTTTTACGTTTCCAACTTGTACTCTCTCTTTGAAAATTCTGCCTTGGCAAGTACACTTGCTAGATAAGGCTTGTGAAGCCTGTCATTAGTGTATCTACAGGCAAAGAGCTGAAGGCGAAGTACCTGTGGCTTGGAGAGCTGAAGCTTAGCGCGCCAAACAATACTTAACATGTTCGATTATACTTACCCCTGGCTACATAATTAGTCACAAATATCTGATCAATGATTTTTACTTCCATTTAATATCACAATGATGATTATAGTCGCCGATGACTGTAGTTCACAGCTTATTGGTCCTTCATACATACGATAAATGGATTGTCGTTGGGAGAGAGCTAGTGACTAAGATCCCAATCAACTGCAATTGATGGTGCAAGTACACTGTTCTTGATACGTCCAGCTGCATACAGCCTGCATGAGGCTGTGTAATTCCACATCGGATCCCTCGAATGACCCCGACTTCGTATGTTCTATGCGTCATCTTCTGCCTTTTACCATCTAACGCGCAGGTCTAGCGGTTGCCACGTTATCCACGAACAGAACTATTCAGTCCATGCTTTCGAAGTGCTAGTACCGACACATATGGTCGGCCATTCTACATACTAGTATTATCCCTGTGGTTTGTTTTTATATATTCGTGTTGAGCGAGCTAACACAACTTCCAGTGCGGTTGATCAATGTCACTACGAAGACCCTCGAGAACTTCGATGATGACACGAAACCGATACCTCCCTACGCAATTTTATCCCATACATGGGGACCAGATCATGAGGAGATATCGTATCAAGAACTTCAAAATGGCGCGGTAAAAAAGGGCCTGGGGAAGTACAAGTTCGACAAGTGCTGCGCTGAGGCTACCCACGATGGTCTCTCATACGCTTGGATCGACACCTGCTGCATCGACAAGACGAACTCGGCGGAGCTCAGTGAAGCAATTAACAGCATGTTTAAATGGTACAAGGATGCCCAAGTCTGCTACGCGTACCTCTGCGACGTTGACGAATACCCCTCAAAACCCCAAACCAACTTCCGTAAGAGCCGATGGTTTCAGCGGGGCTGGACTCTGCAAGAGCTTATCGCCCCTAAAATCGTACACTTTTTCGACAGAAAGTGGAATCATTTAGGACAAAAACGTGATCTTTCACTCACATTGGTTGAGGTCACCAAGATCCCTCGGGTGTTTCTACTGGGCATCATCCCGCTGCACGAGGCCAGTGTAGCACAGCGTATGTCTTGGGCGTCCGATCGTGTCACGAAACGCAAAGAGGATCTGGCTTACTGTCTACTTGGAATATTTGGCATTACCATGCCAATGATCTATGGTGAAGGGGACCAGGCGTTTATTCGACTCCAGGAAGAGATTACAAGGCACATCAACGATGACTCTATCCTCGCCTGGAATTTCCAAAATCCCGGTTCCATTGTAAAGTCAACAGTGGAAGAAGCTTCTGGCTGTGCCTTGGCCTCGAGTCCTTCAAGCTTTGCAAACAGTAGTCATATCGTACCTTGTGGTCCCAAAGGCATTCCCTTGAGGCCGCTGCAAACACTAGGTGGCTGCTTGCTGTTACAACGTCCCCTGCACACAGACTCACATGGCCAGTGCTTCGTCGTTCTCGAATGCCAACTCGACTATCAGGCGGATCAGGCTATTGGGATACCAGTCCAGAACAGACCTGTAGGCTACGACGACTACATAAGACTGCATGAACATCCGTCTGTTTTGCTACCTAGGTACATACCTGAATACAGCCCTTATGACGACCCCGGTGACATTCGGATTCTAAATAATCGATTCGGGACTCACCATGACGAGAATTCTCACAGTTTCTATATCGAAAATGCCCTCGAAAACAATCTGAAGCTTATACGAGTAACTCCTCGTAGCAGCTGGGACCGTGAGAGAGACATACTCATTCCCAACGAAGAGACGAGGTACGGCCAATCTCATCGCCTCTGGTTGAAGTTCCAGCATCAGCAGAATGGGGCAGAAGACTTTGTTCTCATTCTCGAACTTATACTCATGCAAATATATCAGCCTGAGGTCAGGTATCATGTTATGACATGTGACAAGGGAGCAGACCTGTCTGCAATCAAGCGGGACTTTTCCCATTTTAGCTTGCTCAATCTCAATAAGCATTCGGCCAGTAACGGTATCCTGGGCTTGAAGGCAACTGTCTCACGACAGAAAGTTGGGAAGAAGGACTTATTCGTCGTGAGACTATTGCCAAGTAAGAACAACCCCGACACATACAACGTGACGCGTGTGCTTCAGAGCCTCACACACGAGCATTTAACCAGAGTCGAGGAAATTCGGCGCCTCAAATCACGCTTCGAGCCTCTAGCTCGTAGGGCAGAGACTAAAGGGGAAGGGCATAATTCTCGGAAAGCGGATTCCCTACTGCCAAAAGACAAAACTACAACTTTAAATAGAAGGCTATCAAACATAACATTGAGAGCGGGAGCAGGAGGCAGAGAGATAGGTCTCACCCAGCCGAACATATCGAAAGAATTGTGCAACGTTCTCCCTTCGAAAACAAGAGCACCACAAGTACCCTTTGATGAGCATTTTGTTGAGAGAGCCGAGAAGATGACGGATAAGATGTTAAAACGAGTTCCTTTCGACGAGCAGCATAAGTACAACTCGGAGCCAGACCCGGTGAACAAATTCTCGTTGGTAGCGGCAAGGATAGGCGAAGCAATCCCCTTTCGCCAGCTCGCCAAGAAGGCCACCAACGTCCATATCGCGGCAGCAGACAAAAGTAATCTACTCACATCTGCAGTGCTGGGTAGGAACAGGCGAAACGTACAGGTGCTTCTTTCACTGGGCGTGGGCGTCGAGGAAGTCAACGCAACAGGCTATTCCGCGCTACACTATGCATGTATGCGAGGCCCTGTCGATATTGTGCGACTCCTACTCGAACATGGTGCGAACATAGAGAAGAAGAATATGCGGGAGTGGACGCCACTGATGCTGGCAGCGTCCCACGGTGAAGCTGAAATAGTTCAAGAGTTGGTCGACAGGGGTGCAAATATTTACGCGGTGTCCAGGACGAAACAAACGGCGCTCATGAAAGCGGCAGGATGCGGGCATAACACCGTGGTTAAAAAGTTGATCAAATACAAGGCTACTATCAAAGCGAAAGACAACCTGGGTAGAACAGCGTTGTTTCACGCCGCTGAGAAAGGGCATTGTGGCATTGTAGAGACATTGATCAAGGACGGGGCTAATTTGGAGGCAATGGATTACAAGGGTACCACAGCTTTGATGCTAGCAGCGTATCTCGGACAAGATGCTGTGGTAACTGTCCTGATCGAGAACGGGGCTGAAATCGAGAAGGAGGGCGTGCTGACGGCGCGAGCCTGTGCAATGTTTGGAGGACACTCGAGCACCGTCAACCTTCTCGATAACTTGGGTTCTAACGGCAATGGCCAACGAGTACCGGTTGGGTTTAGTGATAAGGCTACATATGGTGATGAGAGCAGTTAACCATGGGAGAATCTTAGTGCAAACAAGGGGGGCGTCTGGTATCAGAATTTCGGGGTTTACCGTACATAACTTTGTGATAGCTACGAATCGTGCCTTAACTATGGTCTGGTGCTAGTAAAAGTAATCTAGTCAGGCCGCTCTTGGCAAGCTAGTCTTATTCGGTCTAACTTCCCCTTTTCGACTATATTTACCCTACACTATATCACATAACGACCGATGCGTAGTGTTAATAAAGCAATAAAAAGGGCAAACAAGCCAACCGGCTTAAAGAGTACAACATAGCTGACACAGACTAAATATTTTTAACGTAAGATCTATTATGGTACTGTGGCATGAAGGATTCTTTAAAATCATCCCGAGTAGATCTTTACCCCTTTGTAATAACTTATCATAACACAAGATAACATCTCTAGCCCCCAAATGCCACAGTGACATAGGGGAAAGGCTTAATGGAACATTAGCAGTGCCCCTTGGAGTACGAGGGATGCTATACGAAAGGGCCAGCCTAGAAGCGTGGTATTGCTAGGTCAAGTAACCACTATTCAAAGAAACTGCATGGTACTGATCTTATTGCAATTCTAGGTATGGTATGGATCTTTAATCAATCGGATAATCAAGTTAAGCGTAACGATGGAATTAAACGGATCAGCGGCCCTATCTTAATGGTTGGTGGTTAAAAATAATTGTGAAAAAAGAACGTATAGACACAGCTAGTGATTTAGAGCGGAAAGTGTATCCCTTGTTGCTTCTCTACAATGCTGCCTGTGGTGGCGATGGCGAGGCACATTCAAGTAAACCTGTGTTTTGGTGGTCATAGCTCCCTGGCCCCCACCGTTACAGCTTACAGAGTTGGAGTGATTTGTTACAAATCTGTCGATCTTGAATATAATTATGCAAGTAATATATTTCGTACGGCCTTCAGCCAGAAGAGGCCCCACGATGTAAGCTGCTAAGATGAAAAGGGTCTATGTTTGTGTGCTACACAGCCTATAAATGCTACCTGCATGCCGTAAAAGTTATTTCCTCGAAGGTTGACTCCTCTCTGTTCATCGCGCTTATTTTGGGAAATGAGAAGGAGTTAGGTGAAACGCTCTTGTCCCTAATGGCACGTCAAACAGCAACATAAATAAAGAACGATCAGCTCCAAATTTGTTCCTCCAATTCTAAGTTTCGTGTATCGACCCGGCAGCAGCGACGTCCTGTATGCCACACTACACTCAAGGCTATCATTAAGACATCAAACTTTCTTTGTCATTATGGACACTGACTCAAACTCAGCTGACGTGTACCCCGTCTACATTGGAGTCTGGATAAACTGGTCTCGTGGGCAAGTCCTAGGAGCTACCCTCACGCTACCACGGCGTGAAGCCGACCTCTTTATTGCATTCACAGCATTCTTCATCGCTTTTGTAGCAACACGTGTCTGGAGACTTATGTGCTTTGCTATTCACCGATCCTGTTCTCAAGAGAGCGCACAAAATGCCTTATACCACCAACATCAGGTAAGAATCGATGAGTCCCAGTATCCTACCTTGTTTTTGTTTCGTTATTCAAATCCAATCACTAATCTGCGAACTGATTCCAGGCCATCTTACGCAATTCTTCAAACCCTGAGGACGGCCTTCGGTTGATCACATATGTCCTTCGGGCTAATAAAAAGTCGTCGGGACGCGTTTTCCCAATCTTTACGGCCGTGATAGCAACAATCTGTGTTCTCTCGTTCACGGTCGCTGGCGGCTTTTCTTCTTATATTTCTACGGCCGTGGGTACCGAGGTTCTCGTCAAAAGCATCAGCTGTGGAATATATCCTGCCATTCATCTTTTCGATGCTGAAAACCCTTCTATCGGCGCTTATCATGCAGATCACATTAGTAACGCAGCAAATTATGCCCAGCAATGCTATTCAAACGACAGCGGAGGTGTGTTAGATTGCGGGCGTTTTGTCACGAAACAGATTGCTGGCAAAATAGATAAGAAGGCGGCATGCCCCTTTCGCGATGATATATGTCGGAATGCTTCGTCGAATATACGTATAGATTCTGACTACCTAAGCAGTCATGATCATTTTGGACTCAATACACCGCCTAACAACAGGTTATTATGGAGATACGTCTATCACTGCGCGCCTTTAGTTACAGAAGGGTACACTAGCCACATTAACACCTCCATCGGACAAGCAACTGTGTATCATTACGGGAATATTACCGGTGTTGACGGAGATCTAGACTATATCCAAGTAGTCAAATCTCTAGAGGCACAAAATCTAGCTAACGAATTTATAGTGGGTTATTCGAACTTTGATTTACAGTACGTTGAATCTACACTGAGGTCAAATTAATACTCATTGTCACAAGACCATAAATCAACAGATAAAGTTCATCTGTATATAGCCACAGTGAAATTAGCCCGTAAAGGGGTTCAGATATCTTGCACTATGACAAGTGTCATTAACTGTCTACAAGCATCCCGGCCCCGATAATTGTTGAGCTTTTGCTGAAATAGGACTTGCAGAGCTTGTGGGGCGGCTACTCAAGATGGGAAGATCATTCCAAGTTCTGACTTCCTACCAATCGATGCCATTTTTCGAGGAGATGCAGATGTTGATATCTATTTTCTGTCAGGAAACGGAGTCACATTCTCTAAGAAGTCTAATGATCCGTGGTACCGGGTTGCATCTACATCAACAAACTTCAGTTTGCTTGGTGTGGATAACTTCCCATCCCTCCCTGCATATTACTCCTCGGAACCAGCGTCCCCGCTAGGCTGCACGAGTCAACATCAATTCTGCCACTCCGTATCTGGGAATCGAACATGTGGCCCTCTAGCTGGTGTATTTGATGCTGCAGCTGGTATGGCGGATTTGTTGGATACGACCTTCACCGACTTACAAGTCGGCAATGTGACAACAAAAGCAACAGCCCTCGCGACCTATTTTATACATGCTACGGCAGATTCACCTCTGTTATACTTGGTTGGACAGCTTGGGCCGACGAGCTTAGCCTCCCAGAGATATCTATCTAACGGGTTTCAATATTTCATGGAAACTGATCAATGGCAAAGTGATGTGGCACACTGGTGGAATATAGCGATGGCAGAACGCCAACAAGCAGTTCTGGCTCAAGCTTACTATACTTCCACCGACCCTGCCACGCTACCTCAATTTATAAACTTTACCGCGACAGAGCTGAAGAAGGTGTGCAATAGTCAGGTATGTGAATGTTTTTTTATCCTTCATACTTCAACTGCCATCACAGACAATTCTAAGAATCAATAGAAAATTCGAAGCACTGAATATGGTTCATTTAATCTTTTTGGTCTTATCTTCGTCTTTTCAGTAGGAGGATCTTTAATCGCCACGTCTTATTTACTAGAGCCTGTAGCTGCATTTCTATATGAAAAATGGGGATACAAAAAGTATGAGCAGCTTGAATGGACCAGTAATGCGACTCTACAGCTTCAACGTTTAGCACACGAAGAAGCCGGCTTCGCTACATGGTCCAACTGTACTGGGACAGCCCCCAAAACGGAGACAGGCGAGTTGCTGGGATCGTTGAACCTTACAGACCCTGACCACCCTGTTCTCAAACCAGCACCTCCTGAGACAAAGACCTCCCACAACGCCGATGTAGCTAGCGAGAGACCAGTTAATATGGGGAGACCGGATATGCCACAAACAGACAATGCAACAAGCCCAACTGTCACGTCAAGCAGCCTACCACTACCGTTCGCCCAGCCAACTCCCGTCGCATAGGTGAACAGCCAGCTATGCCAGAGTCACCATGCGGCGCCTAATATAACCAAAAAGCAACTTCGGAAAGATCTGAAACTAGCGAACACTTTCGTCGCAACAAATCTCTGATAAGATCGAGTATCAAAAATCTTGCTGGGGTTCAATCATGGAGCTCTGCATCAGCATCGTAACGGTTATACCTACCCCAATATGCAAAGAATCTGAACTCTCACGCTTTTAAACCCCCTTATACACATTTATCTTGGTTTATATTAGCTGAAATCGACTGTATCAAACCCCTAACTTTATTTTCTCACTGTTTATTTTTCCTTAAATGCAATAGAAGCACTTTTCTATTTAATATATATCCATTTCTTGTGCTCTGTTACACGTGCAACCTCTGTGCCAGCTGAATATGCAGTTCGCCTTACACTTCGGCCGTACGGGGGACCATTGCAGGCTGTTCATGACCTTCCAAGACATGCAGGCAATATTGGGCAATATTGGAAAGTGAGGTTATACAGACTTCGCTTCTTGAAACAGACCCCAGAGACCTAGGCGATCCGGGCTGGCAGACCAGTTGTATATAGAATCAAGTCAAGCCACCAACAGCCAAGAAGGAGTTGGTTGGTCAAGGGTTCATACAGCCCTAGTTGATCATTATACGATTGTGAATAGCATCAAGTTCCAAGCCCAGATCTCTGCCCTTAATATACCCACCATACAACTTACCATATGAGTTCCTTCTATATGGTATATTAATTAACAGTTGATATATATTCATCGTTTTACTTTCTGGGTTAAGGTTATTGCTATATTTCTATGTTTAGTTTAGAGAAAACTATAATATAATCGGTTTTCAGCTGCTATGGCCAGCGTATACGCGCTACTTACCGCTAATTCCCTTATCACAAGATGATAGAGCGGAGAGAAATAGAGTAGAGGTATTGACGGTCGCCTAAAAAACCACTACTCACCTTTTTTTTTAAACCTCTTTTTTCTTAATAAAACCTAGTTGTTTAATCTTTAGTAGTTTTATCTAAACTTTAATCTTCTTTACATTTATAAGTAACACATCCCATTCGCATTCTCCGACTAGTACTCCAAGGTTAGAACCACAGCTAAGATAATTATCACGATATAAACCCCCTAGCTCTAGGCTATGAAACTCTCTCCGATCACAAGACTTAGCCCGGAGCCGCCACATTTGGTTGCTGGGATTGACCCACATTCAGATGTAATAAGCAGTTATCTAGGAGCCTTACAATTCACATTTTTCTACTATACAAAACTGTTGTAGGTAAGTAAACGAAACCGTAAGCTAATATATAGAAAGTAAACGGGTTTAGATATTGATGTTTGGCTATACTAAAAGGTATGATTCCATATTAAAAGTAATATGCTTAACAATAAGTAGGTGGTAAAGATTGTCAAAGGGGATCGAAAGGATTGGTTCAACTTCGAATTCTCCCAAAGCCCTAAGAAAGCTTCATGAGAACATCCCAGACCGACTGGCCCTTCTGCGTCTTGATCTTCGGAAAACCCGCCTCCAGCTTGGCTACCTTGTCTGCCAGGGCTTGATCGTCACCGTCACCGCCAATTCTGCCGCCTTGTGACGAGTCCGCGCCGACGTACCAAGTAACGCACCCGTAGTCCTCGCTGTCCTCGACAACGCCGCCGCCGAACGCCTGGATGGTCCCGCCATCTCTTTCAAAATCGCATTGGACCAGGATCGCCTCAATTGTCGAATAGCACCAGTCGTCCTCGCCGATGGGGACATCCGCCTTGGGTCTACATCCGCCTTGATCCTGGGCCCAGGTCACAGACTGGATCATGTAACCGGGGCCTCGGAACACGAGCCCGCGAGTGTCATCAGGCTCTAGCACATCTCTGGAATAGCACATTGTCTTCGCGACCTTCTCGGCCTCGGGATTGGTGAAGCTCTCCCACCGACCGCTGTCGTTATGGTCACGGAAACAGTATGGCGTGTGGTCTGGATCGATAGGTTGGGTTGGTAGTGGCGGATCAGCGGTGTCGGTGGGACGAGACACAGTCATGGTTGTCGTGCTCGTAGGGCGAGGCGTGGTCGTGGGCTGGCTGCCCGAGCCCTGACACGGGTAAATGGATCCGTCGTCGTCGTCGATGCAGCCTGTGCCGGACCCGTTGATGCCCCCCTTGCCCACGTTGCCTCCCGAGTTGCTGTCGGCTCCAGTGTAGCCTGAGACGCCCATGCCTTCTTCATCGGCGGTGTCGACGTTGGGAATCAGATCTTCGTCGAGCGCGCAAAACTCGTCCTCGTCATCCTCGTCGTCGTCGTCGTCATCGTCATCATCATCGCCTTCACCGGGATCACAGTCTTCTCCTTCGCACCCGCCGGTATCGCAGTTCGGCCCTGTGCATCCGCCGGTATTACAGCCCGTTCCGGTACATGGATCAGTGCCGCACGCGGGTCCCACGCAATCTCCGGGACCGCAAATAGGCCCCTCACAACCTCCGGGGCGGTGGCAGAATAAGCCGAGACAGCCACCACCGTGCCTGCAAAGGAGGCCTGCGCAATCACCACCGTGGTCACAGTGGTCACCTTCGCAGTCGCCACCGTGATCGCATTTATCACCTTGACACCCTCCACCCCTTTTACATTTGGGTCCTTTGCATGAGCCACCCCCGGTACAATACAGCCCAATACAGTCGCCACCACGCACGCAATCGTCGTCGTCGCAGTCTTCACCTTTGGTGCAGTCTGGTCCATGGCAGGGTAAAGGGCATATATTTTGCGTGCAATCGTCGTCGTCATCGTCGTCGCCGCCGCCTGATCCCTCGTCGTCATCGTCGTTCTCCGGAGGTGGCGGGGGTCCGGGGGCTGGTCCTGGGCCGATCACAACAGGAGGATGCTTCGGATCAATGCCGTCACAGAATACCCAGCAGGGGGCATCGGTCGGCCTGGGCACCGGGAACGTGATAGCTGGGAATGTTATGACTGTGCCACCACATATGTCGCCACACGACCACGGAGGCACCGGGATCTCTGTCATGTTCGAACTAGGTGTGACAGTCGTGATAGCCTCGTCTTCTGGGTCGTATGTCACGGGGTTCCAGTCAAATGTAGCGTTGATCAAGGCTGGCGGGGTGACCGTTACGACGCCCAGGCCTGGTACGTTGGTGACGAGAGGCGGTGGCTGTAGCGGCGGGAACGTGATGGCTGGGAAGTCGAAGACGCAAGGCGGCGTGCATGCTACGGTCATAGGGCCCTTACCATCTGGCTGGGCCTCTGGCCATAGCCAGATAGTCTGGGACAGAGTAATAGTCGCGCCCGGCTCGTTGCCCTCATCCAGGCTCCCGTCGGCGTCGCCCAGCCAGCCGTTAATCGAAGACACGTTGCTACGCGGGCTATTATGCACCATTGCGTCTACCCTAGCGCCCGGACTAGTAACCATGTCTTCGGTGCCCACAGTCGCCAGATTGTATATATAGATATTCCTATCCCCGGAAAGATATAAGATCTTCTCTTGACAGTCTATCTGGCTCAAACAGTGTTGGGCGTACTTCTGAAACCAGCTATACAAGCCGGCCCCATAGATGAGGACGTTGGACGACTGCTCAATCATGACGCCCCAGGCCATGCAAGAACCGGGTGTCCCGCTTCGGCAGTCAGAAAACCGCGGATCTCCTGTAAAGAGTCCGACAGACTTTTCAAACGGTTTGGGCGCGGGAGGGCTGCTCTGAAAGTAGGGAGACTCCGTTTGTATCATTCCTAAGAAAAGATTATTGGCGCCTCGGATCTTGTATTGGTATAGGACGTTGTGTTCCGAGGCGGACGCGTAGAGCCACGTCGGATGCGTCGACTCGATTAGAATGCCTCGAGCAGAGTAGACATCGATCTGGACACCAGAATTCGTCTCCAAGTCATGATCTGCGACCCAACTGCGGTTCGTCTCGGGTTAGCTGTGCGGCCCCATGTTTTCAAAGGTGGTGAGGATATACATACGCCCAGATGTTCTCGAAATACCCACTGGCAAATGGGGTGATATGAAACAGCATGCTAGAGGCAATGCAATCGGTATTGACCGCCCCGGTCAACCTTGGACAGTCATCCGATATGAGGTTCGAGCCGAGATTGCCTCCCACCCGAAAGTGCGTATCCCACATACCTGCACTGCCGGCCGCGTCCGCTCTCAAGTTCCATTCTACCAAGATGGCGCCGGCCATGGGGCCCTCCACCTGGAAGAGTATGTCGGAGATCTCGACGTTTCCGGACTCGCCCTTCTCCCCAACCTGAACCAAGACGAGCGGCTTGGTCATGTCGCTAAACTTGTCGCCGGCGGCGGTGATGGCACTCCAAGCTTCACCGACAATCTTGACACCTGATACGACCTTGATTGTGTCAGTGACGCGGTATACGCCTGCGGGCACAAACACATAGCCAGGCGACCCGAACAGAGTCTGGAGACATTTTGTGTCGTCGCTTACGCCGTCACCTTGAAATTTGAAAAATTATTAGCTATGTTTCGCTGTTAGGTGTCAACATGTATTGAAACTTACCTTTGCAGCCACTTGACAGGGCATTCCTAAACGACGCCGCGGGCACATCTTCGTATTGTGGCTTCTGCTTGCTAAAATATTTGCCGTCTGGCCCGAGCAGGCCAGCTGGTTTTCTGCGCACGGGCTTCGCAGCTTCGCCCCGAACCTGTCGGCCGGTAGGGCTGTCCTTACTGGCGACGATGCCCCAGATCCACGAGTCCACCTTGGTGCCGCCGGCGAGGATCGTCTCGCCAGTGGTCTGCCTCACGGCCACGGCGGAGCCGCTGAAGTCAACGTTATCCAGAGTCATCTGGGCGTAGCCGTCGCTTGCTATAAAGGGATTAGTCCGGATCCCGGTGGTGGCGCTGATGGTGCTGTCGAGCAGCAGGTAGGCAAACGTCTGTTGCGGAGCCGCGGTGTTCTTGAGGTCCTGATTGATAAGGTCGATGCCCGTCGTCGCGCCCGTGATTTGAATGTTCTGCCATAGGAAAGTCCAGTCCCAGATGGCCTGGATCGCAGTGCGAGAGTTTTCAAAGGTGAGGTCCTTGATGGTGAACTGCTGATTTCCTGCGCGCAGGCCGACGTAGCCGCCGTGGAAGTTCAGGCCCGTGATCAAGCCGCCGCTGCCGTTCTCCATAAAGACTCCCACATGGCCGCGCGAGCTCGGCTTCATGTACAGGTCAATGTTCTGCAACGAGGTTGCCTGCGCCACCTGCCAGTGCAGACAGGCCGGGCCCGGTGCCGGGACTCCGATCGGGTTATCAGGCGTGTTACGGATATCGATGATGAAGTTGCGGACTTGCCGCATAAAATTGTTCTGGTTCACGTACCAACTCGCTCCACCCGCCCCCGGAATATAGTGATCCGAGCTTAAAACACCTAAGCCTTGGAACGAAGGGGCAGCAATGATGACGGGTCGCTCGATCGGATCACCAACCAGAAGCGTCTGGAAGTACATTTCGATAGTGGAGCTGACGAGGTAGTTTCCGGGGGGGAAGTAGATGACCAGAGGCATCACAGACGTCGATGCGCACTTCAGATCATCTCCTCCGCACCGATCTTGATCTGCGATACAGTCCTGGATGGCCTTGGTATCATCAGTCACGCCGTCGCCCTTGGCATGGCAGTCATCAATCGCATGCTTGTAAACTTGATATGACAGGCCGGCAGGATTGAAAGGGCTGCGCCCCTTAGGGCTTATAGCCGCATACCAGTATGACGTTGCTGCTCTTTTATGGTTGTTGCCCGTCCCGTTTGACTTCGGTAGAGGCCATGTGTATTCAAGATTACCGTTCTGAGCATCGAATTCGGCTAGAAGGGCGGCTGCCTCTTTGACCTCATTGCTAATGGGATTGTAATCCCCCGCCGTGGGCTTTGGTACTGTGTCGTTCAGGGATACGACTCGCGCCGCACTCGGTCCTTCTTTATGATTTATTCTGGGATGAGCTAGTTTGCGCGAGTTAGACGCCAATATTTCGGGAGAGACTTTGTCGATCAAGGTCCGAGCATTGTTTATCTCGGCTGCCGATACTTGTCGCCCGCGGAGCTGGTAAACACTGCGAGGGATGAGTCTGCTTCCCTCCAGTTGGTTCACCGGATTGTATATCCAAAGAGGCTCGGGTACTGCCGTTGCTGCTGCTGTTGCTGTTGGGGCACCGAACGCAGATCGCCCCGGCGTCGGCCGTGAAGAGATTGCCGCAGGGTGAATGGTGTCATCCGGAATCGGCTCTGACGTATTTCCGATAATACTTTCAATCATCTCCAACGCAGGGGCTTTTGGCCGGCGAGGAACCAGGTCACGCTTCTGAGGGATCGAAGTGGGCTTTGTTCTCTGGAAAATCCGGGTCTTTCCCTTCTCGTCTACAACCCATGCCCTGGATGTCGTTGGCGCAGCCTGTGTGGTTGTGGATAAGAAAAACACACCAACGAAAGGGTCCTTAGAGTCTTGGTTCGAACCTGCTGGCGCACTCTTGATCTTGTGGGCTCGTATAACTGCTGCTCGGAGGCTGGAAAGGGCTCTAGCTTGCCAATCCTGTTCGCTGGGGTTTTTCCCAAGGTTGACGTTTTGTCCAAAGGCTGCCTGGATCGCTGCCGCTCCTGCACCACACGCTGCAGACTGTGGAGTACAGATAACCTCTGCCTCGACACCTCCATTGTTGAAGCCACGTCCTCCTTCGATCCAACTGTGTCATGAATTAGCTTCAGTAGGCAATCACCTATGCCAACACGCAACATACCTGGCCGATGGGAACTCGTCGCATGTGTAAACCAGACCGCTGAACAAGTTCTTTGTCGGGTCAGTTGGGTCTGGTGGTCCCAGGATGATTTGGGGTTGCTTGTCGACACTTGAGACTGGAAGAGTAAAATATTTGCTGTACAGGGTGCGGATACCCGTGGTTGACCCTATGTCCTTGCAGTCGTTCGGATACCCGTTCTTGTTGTACAGGGACGGGTTTTTCTTAGATTTGTTCTCACACGTCCCGGATCGACGAGCTTCATTATTTGCCTGGCCCGTAATGTCGACATGCAGTTTCATGAGACCGTTATTGTCAAATTTCCAGTCGCCTTGGTTCTGAATGTGGTTGGCTATATTCTTACAAATAAAGGGCATAAACGCGCAGTTGTAGACGAGGGTAGGGATAGACCTCCCATCAATGACTGTTGTCGTGGTAGCAGTTCCAGAGGTGGTGACCGTGACCGTTCCCGAGGGCGGGTCAGAGCGAACAGTATAGGAAACCCCATTTCCATTGCCCTCTGGATACCACAATGTTGTTCCAGGGGCCACAGATGTCGTGAACTGGTTATACTGACTGGCGGCCGGAGTGAAAAGAATACAATACAGAAGAGTACTAATTATACGTGACATTGAACCTCGATGTGAAGCCATGTTACAGGGCTAGAGGCAGATCAAGGCAGTCTCCCTTGATTATCCCAGTTTGACTCTTATCCATGATCACGCTCGTCAGACTTATATATAAATTTTCTTCAGTCTACAAATGGCATGTCATGTTCGCATCTTCCGACCCAACTCTCCGAGGTCAACGCCACGGTTGAGATATCATAACACTACTTGCCTAGCTGTAAGCTACAACCCTGCAATCAGAGATCAAGTTTGAAGTTGCAACATAAGGTTGCCGGGATTTGCTTGCAGCTTTGCCTAGAGTCGATGTAATTATCCCCTTAAGAGTCTGCCCCATACCAATTACATGCTGTCAGGCGGCGCAGAAGAAATATTGGCCGAGACCGCTCTGTATTAGCTGGTTCTACGCAATCAGGGGTTGACGTGTTGATGCTCGGAATACCGGGACGTTGAGCCCTCTGATAAGGTGGTAGGCAGCAGTCTAGACCGCCCTTATCCGCCCAATCCTAAGGTTACGCCTGCACCGGCATTACATGATCATAAATCCAGATGTTCACCTCTGAAAACTGTGCCAAGAATTATCTTCCCCTCACCGTCGTCTCGACCTCAACAACCCACAGTCTCAGAACCGCTCACATACGATGTCATCAGGTCATCTAGGATCGGAGATGAGTGACTTGCCAGTTACTTTGAAGATTCTGGGTAGGCAGGTGAGTTCACGCCGCATCAACGGCCCAATCTTCTCGCCCCTTGGCCTCTCCCGTCTTAGGAAGCCGAGCCTGTCTGACATGGAGTCGTGGGCGTGGACGACAATAGAGAAGAGATCCGAAGCTCCTGTACAATCTGTACCCAAGCGAGGCGCATTCTCAATCGACCGAGGTACTTCTCGTGGGTGACCTTGATGAGATACCTGCTGTCCAGGCAAGTGGGGCCTTACACCGAGTCACGAACCTCATCATCTCACGCGATGCCCTCGCGGGAACATGGCCGGAACGTGTCAATGATTCGGTTTGCCAGATCTTGGCAGAGGCGCAAAACCTCCAAAAGTTCATGTAAGCTAGTTTCTATCTATGTCCAGCTGCTTGGAGGGCCGGAGAATCAGGTCATGCTGACTTGCTATAGATGGATAGGCATCCCGTTGGCGGCCGCGACTCTGGACACGCTCCGGGGATGCTGCCGTGGAATTAAGTCAATCCATGTAGAGTTTCCGGATAACATGGAAGAAATGGTACTGGGTTTATCTATCGCAGATGATGAGCTCGAGGATGAGGAGCCCGACGAAGATGTGCTTGCAGCTCGCGCGCTCTACCGGGCTCCTAATTTCCGTGGCTTTCCTGACATCGAGTCGCTACATGTCTACAATATCTTTGACGACTTGCGTCACTCTAGGGAAAATCTTGTCCAGGTTCTCCGGGAAGCCCCAAACCTTCGCAGCCTGGGCCTATCACTGGCCATCGAATCTATAGCTCGCTGTTACAACGCTAGGCAGGCCAGGCAGTACAAAGGGTGGTTTGACAGACTCTGTGGCGAATATACCGGAGCTGCTGCGCCCCGTCTGCAGCTCGAATCCCTGATTTGCGGCACAGCTATATACCCTACAAAGGCCGATGTTCTGGCAAGCTTCACCGACTTAGCCTGCCTTGAACAAGTACATGTCGAAAACAGAGGCATCTCACGTGAAGGGAAGTACATTTTTATGTATGATGACACCGAGCACAGCGGTATTGCCTTCAGATCCATCTTGTCAAAACAGTCCCGTAAATTGCGCCGCTTCAGCGCATACCAGTTCCGGGACGACGTGATGGAGGCGCTAGGTGGTATCGACGACCCGAACGTGACACGCCAGCTAGCCTTATCTTTTGAAAATCAAGAATACGTCGAGATCAGCGACTTACTCCAGCAGAATGAGAGTTATCCCCACTTTCCACTACAGCTGAGAATGGTAGAGATGGATCTCCAGCGCCAGGAATGGGAAGAGTTTACAGCCGAAAGTATTCTGAACAGCTTAGTGGCTAGCGAGCAAGACACACTCGAGGGCCTCATGGTGCACCTGCCCGAAGAACCAGCTGCCGATGGAGGCCTGGCTTTCTTGGATATTCTAGGACTTGCACTCGAAAGTCTGCCTAGTTTGAGCCAGCTCGCCATTGGCATGGACCGGTTCGAGACAGCAAGAAGGAATTTCACTGATGCGCAGCTGCGGCAGAGTGCAGAACGATTGGTTGTGACTGCACCACAGATACGGTTCATCAATATTTACTGGATGTTCTGGAGGGTCTCCCAAGGGTCGGATGCCTCCGGACCAGAAGATGTTATTCTCGAGGAGCTGGGGTTTGCGGAGAGAGAGCTGGTGGAACTTTGGGTGCATACCATATTCCGTCCCTAACAAGGGCGTAATTCCGGTTGCTAGGAATAGATTTTTAAATTTCAGCACTGTCCCTCAAGACACCAATGGCTTCCGTTGGGAAGCCAGGGAAATGGCATGAACTTACCAGGAGCTACAATACGACGTTGAAGTATAGAGCGCAACAATCTGACCATAAGGTATAAGTCATCCTAGCTCATCAGCCTTCTTGTGGCACAGTAGGACCTCTCCGTCGTAGCCTGCATTTCAAGAATAAGCCGAGAATGATCACCTGGCACGCTCTCACTGTTTTATTGAATCCTATCCAAGATCTTCACGATTCTAGACTTACAAAACTCGGATCTCATTGCTACTTACGCCATGTCTTATTCTGCGAGTGGAGTTCCTATTGGGGCCGGAATGTAACTTGTGTTGGCGCATTGCATGCATTCATGTCGATGTCATGCTATCAACACCACAATTGCTCTAAGCGATGTCTCTTGGCGTAAACGTACGATGTCCAACTGGGCAAAAAACTCGCGGGACGCGGCCAACGTTCCGAGATACCTGGTCAAACAGGGCTCTGTCTCTGAATCACACGCAGATGAAGCTATTGGAAGATTCGACTATTGAGAGTCGAAACAGCACAGGTAGTAGCAGTATGCAAAGATGAGATTGAGTCTATTAGGTATATAAAGTAGAAAATCCCTACGGAAATATCTCGATATGAGAGCAACACACGCGCCTTCGTCCCTATATTCGACTGTCTGGTCAAGCCTTAATCTGAGCTTCTTTTATCATCCCTCCAAAGCCACCATGAAGGTTGCCGTTCTGTCCGCTCTATTCACCGCATCCTTTGCGGCTGCCGTCCCATTCCTCGAGCCCAGGCTCGTGCAAAAACGCGCCTGTGGCGAGACGGCGGACCTCGTCTGTTACGGTAAAAACGGCGGGACACCTCAAAATATCAACCCAGATGATATTGCTTGGGCGGCGCAGTACCTGCGCAATATCGCCCAGGTAAACAACGGCACAGCCGGCGCGTTCTGGACCAGTTGAGTGAACCCCTTTGACCAATTGTGGGGGAAAAGACAAACCAGACTGACTGTTCTTCAGTGCCCCCCTCGAATGACTGCGAGGAGTGGCAACTCCCGCTGGCCTTCGGCGAGACGGTCCTGTCGCTGGCCAAACACATCAGCCCACGCATCAACTCGTCTGTGCTCTTCGAGGACATGGCCAATACAATCGACGGTGGCGCCAATCCAACGCCAACATCGTTTGCCAACTCGCTCCTAGGAGCGTGTGGAGGCGACGGAGGAATGGTCGGTGTTTATGTCAACGCGTCCAACCCGGCGTATTTGACTCCGCAGTATATCTCCAGCGGAGCCATGCCGGGCGGCATTGTCATTAAGATTGTGCACTCTCCGCAATAAATCGACCCAGGCTACTTCTTCTCTACGAAGTCGGTGGAGAGTAGTCGGCAAAGGAGGTGTTAGTTGTTCGAGGCGATATAAGTGGCCAGTATTAGTAAAAGCGTTCAAAATATTAGGCTCCCCAAGAGAAGACCGATGGGAGATAGCAGGATAATTACGAGGCACTGCCAAGAATTGTTCATTTCTAGACCAAGAAGATAGTTTCAAATTCAAATTCAAATTTAACCTCAGGATTGAGTAAACTCGGGAAACCAAAGCCGTTCTTCTCAAACACGTAGGCAGGTAGACTTGAACATAGGCATCAAGGGGAACTCACCAAGCTAGATGGTGGCTACCGCAGCGAGATTCATTGAGCAATAGGTTTTAGGCAAGTAACCCCCATACAACCAGAGCTTAAATCTAATGGTTTCGATGTCTGTTCACATGGCTTAATTAGAAGATACTAAGTACACATAGATAGAGCCATTCACCAAAGGCTACGACAATTCCAGCAGCCATAGATATATCCAAGCTTTACCTAATGAGAAGAGAAACAAACATAACTAGAGAGGGGATAGATCCCTTTCTGTATGATTTCCTAATCTGAGATAACTGAAAGGAGGCACTAGGCTAGTCTAACGCTACCTAGGTAGTCACGATTTCACTTCGAAACACAAGGCACCTCTTAGACCCTCTGCCTAGACTCAACACCATAACCACCAGCTCGTCCCAACTCTCAAATTCGACTTCCCAGAAATACAATCATATCACCTACTGTGGTGAGGGCTCTAGAAGAGAGCTTGGAATTTAGTCATATTTAATGGCGCTAGGGATTCCTAGTGGGGGATACCCTAGGCTATTCAAACTCATTGGACTTATTTTGCCTAATTGTTGGTTTTAACTGTATCTATATCCAATTGCTTAGACCTTCATTTCTGCCAAGTGCATAGTTAACTGTAGATGGCCTAAAGGTTCTTGGTGGTCTTGGCCGTATAACACCCATTAACAACTCCACCACCAACACAATTAACACCACAACCCAAATTTTCATGATCACATATCAATATTCGAACACCATCTTAAAGAAACAAGATAATTGGTTGCCCTGCCATTCACTCATGCACACTGGGCATCCATGGGTATACATATACCATCAAAATAGACATAACAAGAAGCATCATGACTTCTTCCCAGTACAAAAAATAAAATAAAAAAAGAACACGCTCCGTTCCCTCCCAATATCCGACAACCACCCATTCGTTCTTTCATCATCAGTCATAAGAAATAGGTACCACCATTCATTCATTCAACCATCCCATTCCTATCCTCCCCAAATCCCCATCCGTAGTCTACCTCATAACAGTCGTCGTAACCCCTCCACCGGCAACACCCCCAGGCCTGGAAACCACGTTCCTCGCAATAAAATCTTTATTCTCGATCGTCACGCTCTTCGTCATATGATTGACTTTATACACGCCTACCAGTCTCGCCGCAAGTTCGAACATGTTATTTCTGAGAGAAATAACGATGAACTGTGCGTTCTTGGTGCGTTCTTTGATGTAATTGGCTACGATGGAGACCTATATAAACACAAACAGACACGATTTGATTAGTAAGGTGTTTCATAAAGTCAAAGTAAAAGGTAAAAGTAAAGATTTAAAAACGATGAAAAGGTAGATAGGAGGAAAGCAGAGGAACATTGAAAATAGGGAGTAGGGAATAAGCAATAAATAGGGGTAGAAACAAGAAATAGAAGCTGTAAAAAGGAAACATTACTCACATTCCGGAAATCCAGCGCAGCATCAATCTCATCCATAACATACAGCGGCGTAGGTTTATAATGATGCAGCGCAAAGACCAGCGCAAGACTACTCAGCGTCTTCTCTCCACCCGACAAATTACTAATGTTCTTCCAGGACTTCTTGGGCGGCATAACCGAGAACAATATCCCCTCGCTGAACGGATCGAGAGAATCAACAAGTTCGAGCTCCGCGTTTCCGCCCATAGTAATCATCTGATACATCTCTTTCAGCCGTAGCGAGATCGTGCTAAATCCCTCCATGAAGCCCTCGAGCCGCAGCCGACGTAAGTCATCACATCGCTTCTTGGCTGCATCGCGTTGGGAGACGGCGCTCGCGAGATCCGAGGAGCGCGCGCTGTGCTCTTCTACGCGCCGACGGTATTCGGCTAGAACACTGACGTCGACGTTGACGTTTTGCGTCTTCTCTTCTAGAGCCGCGATTTCAGCTTTGAGCGCCTCTTTGCTCATATCCTTTAATTCATCCTCAGTGAATTGCGGGAATTCTTCAGGCTGGCCGGTGGGTGTCGATTCTGGTTTCTCGCGGTCCTGGTCTTCGTCCTGTTGTGCAGCGTTTTCTTGCTCCTCGCCGTCCGTCTCGGCAGGCTTGAGAGTTTCATCCCCATCTCCTGTGGGCTTAGTTGCCGGCGCATTGCCCATGAGATCACTGACCTTCTGCAAGACTAACTTGCCCAGCTTCTCGTTCCAGTAACGCAAGCGCTTTTGGTTTTCGACAAGAGCCTTTTGATTCTCTTCGAGTTGGTTGCGCATTTCAATCTCAGCTGCACGCGTCTCGTTGAGTTCAGATGTCTTTTCGTCGAGTTCGGCCTTCATAGAGGCGAGCTCCCGCTTCTTCTCTGCTAGCGTTTCCTCTGCAGCCTCGACTTGTGCGTTCAGTGACTCTGATTTAGTTCCCTGGTTTTCGATCTCCTCCTCAAGTTGCTCGAGGTCCTTGGCGGCGGCCTCTAATTCTTTAGTGGCCTTTGCGTGATCCTTTTGGAGTTTTGTCTTTGACTTCTCGGCCTTCACTTTTCTTACTTCGGCATTGGAAGTCTCTTCGTTGTGAGAGGAAATCTCTTCCTTGAGGGTGTCTACCATTGCCCTCTGAGCTCGGAGTTTCTCACCACCAATCTCCATGATCTTGTCTTGCAACTCTTTGATCTCAGCCTCCACGTCCTCGGTCTCAGCATGAAGTTTGGATATTTCTTTGTTTAGCTTTGCAATCTCTTTCTCCAGGGCAGCTTTGCGGTTGTCATCAGACTCGGAAGGTTGGTGCTCTTTGCTCAGCTCTTTGAATCGACGTTGAGTATCGGCCATATTCTTCTCAGAACTCTGTATCTCAAGTCTAATCTTCTGCATTCTTGTGTCAAGGCGTGGAATTTGATCTTGTAATTCCCTTAGACGTGTCTCCTGTACTCGTTGCTCTTCAAGGAACTCCTGGAAACGCTTGTCAAGGTTATCACGGTCACTCTCAAGCTTAGCTACTTCTTCCTGGGTGGTTTCGGCCACAAGCTTGCTGGACATTAGTCCTCTTTTGACAGTCTTGCCACCACCTGACATGGTACCGCTCTTGTCGATGAGTTCGCCATCAAGGGTGACTACACGCCACCTCTTGGCGCCGTATGCAATCCTGTTGGCCTGTGCTAGGTCCTTTGCAACTAAGGTATCCTGGAGAGCATGATAGAATGCAGGCCTGAATCTGTCCTCCTTGGCCTTGACCAAGTCAAACAGCCGGGGTGCATCCTCAGGTGTTTGAATTGGCTGGATATCACGGACTCGCAACTTGTCCAGACACATAAAATTGCCTCGACCAAGGTTTGTCTTGCGTAGATACTCAATGCACTGCTGCCCGGCTTCAACCGTGTCTGTCACGAAATTGTCTAAAGCACCACATGCTGTCGAGATAGCAACGTCATACTTTTCATCAATTGTGCCAAGATTGCCGAGTCGACCATGAAATCCATCGATTCTTCCAGACTCTTTCATCCGCATCAAAGCGGTGAGCACGTTGCCGCGGTTCTGTGTCTGAGAAAGACTTGATCTCGCCTCGTCTGCTCTCTGTCTCGCGCGTGATACCTTTTCGCGGACACGGGGTTCCATCTTAGCCAAGTTATCAATCTCAGCCTCAACTTGTTTCGCCTCCTCCTCGAGCTTTGCTTTTTCAGCTTGACACTCCTCAAGCTCGTCAAGCTTGGCCGACCGTCCTTCTTCGATCAATTTCATTTTTCCTTTCAGTTCCTCTTGAGCAACAGCCCCGGCATTAGCCTTCTCGACCAAAATAGCCATTTCAGACTCGGCGACGGCGATTGCTGACTGCTTCTGATTGATCTTTTCTTTCCAGGGCTCAAGAGACTTCTGTTTAGCAGCGATCTGGTCGGAAAACACTTGTGTCTTGCCTTTGAGGCTCTCGCGGATAGTGGCAAGTTCTGCTTCCTCTTCTTGTACACGTTGTTCCAGGTTGGTGAGTTCCTCAGCACGTGAAGCGATCTCCTCTGTGCATTGTTCGATGGTCTGATCAGCTTCCTCGGCAGACTTTTCAGCATTCGCGATGGTCTTCTCGAGTTTCTTCTGCTTATCGGTCAAAAACTTGCGCTTCTCATCAAATTTGACCCTCTCCTGTTCGAACTTTGAGGCGTCTTTGACAAGGGCCTGCACAGTCTTCTCCTGTGTCTCGAACTCCTTGCTTCCCTTGGAGTACTCTTTCTGAAGCTGCTTGATGACGTGTTCACTGCCTTGGTGCTTTTCTAGCTCTGCATCTAACTGTGCCTGCATCTGACTGATGGCCTCTTCCGTAACGGCGACGTTGTCGTTACATTCGCTAATGTATAGCTGGTATAAGGCTGACTGCTTGAGAGCAAGATCGTTCTCATCCCTGATGTAGGCCAATGCCTTGTTTTTCTTGTCCTCGAGGCTGTTCTTTTCCTTCTCCACGTGTTGCACACGGCCACTCTTTTCCATGCATATTTCGTTGAGAGCCTCGACTTCAGTAGCAGCTTCCTCAATTGGCGACTTATATTTGGACGTTCCAATGATATCCTCAAGATATTCGAGTAGACCATCTTCATGTTCATTGCCAGCTTTTGGCTTCATCTGCGCAATCGACTCAACTTCACCTTGTAGAATTAGGAATCGCTTGTGGTCAAGATCGACTCCACGGTCACGCAGTAGTGTTGTGACTGTAGTGAAATTGGACTCTTTCCCGTTGATGTAGTATTTGCTGGAGTTGTTCTTGAATGCTTTTCTCGAGATGACGAGTTGTGAATCAGGAACTATCTCGGAACCACCACCGGGCTGTCATTGAAGTCAGTATTCCAGACTTGAAAATGGAATGATTTATACTCACCAGATCCATTACTTCCTGGAAGTGCACAGCGACTTCACAGTGATCCAGGTCAGGATAGGCAGCTGAATTGTGAATAAGAGCCGAAATCTTGCCTTGCCGCATCTTGCTTGCCCTGAAGCCAAAGACAAAGAGCAGCGAGTCGATAACGTTGGACTTTCCAGAGCCGTTTGGCCCAACTACCGAGGAGAATGACGCATGGAAGGGTCCAACTTCTTGTCGACCAGCGTAACTCTTGAAGTTGTTGAGGATCAAGTAAGTGATGACAATGCGCGGCTTGGGTCCAGTCTCCTCGGCGACGACAGGCATAGCCATCTGACGCGATTTCAACACGATGTCCATGGGCTTCTCTAGTATGGTGTCCATCGGCCGGATAGGCTTCACCTGGGTTACAGTCTCATCGATACTACTGGGTGTAGGTGGCTCGTTTACACTATGGCTTGTAATATCAGCCAGTGGCGTCGCATGCCGCTCAGATGGTTCTTCGGACTGCCGAGGTGTTGGGATAGTAGAAGGTTGGGTATCTGGTGTTGGCTCGACGCTCGCGTTAGTTCTCCGAGGCGCAACACTCTTGCGCTTACGAGGAGACGGCTTCTTGGTTGGTGATTCGGGGGGTATGATGGTGGCCGACGATTCCCCAGCATCAGGAGCCTCGGTAGACTCTAGGATGGAGGACTCGGGGGCGACACTCTTCCTCGGGCGGCCGGCGCGGGGTGTGGGAGGTGCTGCAGATTTCCTCCGGCTCTGGGTTGTGCGACGGGAGCTACGACTGGCAGCCTCGGGATCAAATTCGTCTTCACTCTCCTCCTTGATTTTTCTCGCAGTGGTGTTGGCGATAATATCGTCTTCATCGTCGGATTCGATAATGGTACGCCTCGTTGCAGCAGCGCGACGGGAGCTTCGTGTAGCCATGGTTGGTCTGTCTGTCTGTCTGTCTGTCTGTATTGGGTTGCACAATTCCCCACGATGCAAGGGAGTATATGGTGCTGTTCTCGGCTGACAGCTTGCGTGTATTATAAATACCTGTGAGCTAGATAGCAGGTATTGGATGCTGTTCGCGCTGCTTGGTTGCAATGAATTGCACTTTGTCGCACGGCCGAGTCGAGTCGGTCAGCAAGCATACCTATGGTAGGTAGTCAAGTAAATATAAACAAACCCCACCAAATTGTGCCTGACTCGCCTGAACCAACCCCTGCTCGTGCCTGCTTTAGTCTAAGCCCAATTGGGTAAGATGCTGATCGCTACCAGATCCCTGGCTGCCACTTTAGCGCGTTGTGATTTACCTGTCCGAGATAGCTTCAAAGCTCGCAAAAAGTTCAACCACCTCACTTTCGTCATTCTCTTTCTCGGTTCGATTTCTACCATTGGTGTCTCGCGCGTCGCAGTAACATAGTCATCATGGATGACTACTTAGAATTCAACCGGCTATTCGGCGGCTTAGACCCCTTTCCTTACAGCCGCACAGTCACCTTGAGCATCGAATCCGCCCGTCGGAGTCTCGATGGCGCCCTTTTCATAGATCGCGTGTTGACGGCATTAAACCTCGGACAAGGTATAATTATATCCAAGCACCAGGTCGACTACTTCAACAGTTCACCAGCTAATCATATCCATCCATCCATCCAGCCGTGAATCACTATCCCCCAAAGAACAAAGATGCTCTCCGCCAGTGGCACCAGCTCATCTGCTCCGACAACAACAACAACATCACTCTGCACCACAAGCTCTCGATAGTATACTACATTCTCCTCGACATCGGTGGACGCTGCGGCGGTGCCGATCGCGCCGAGCGCTTCGCCAAGTACGCGAGCATTCCCGACCGCTACCAGATCTTTATGAAAGGTCTGTGGCTCATGGACACGCGCAACTTCGAGCTCGCGCTCGAACACCTCACGCACCCCTCGCTGATCTCCGACTTCGCCGACGACATCATAACCGTGCTCGTGCACCACGCCAAGGACGGCGACTACAGCCTCCCGCTCGCATACTACCACACCGTGCAGCCCAGCATCCAGTCTTCGGGTGCGCTCGAGGCGCTGTTCGATGCCGTGGCCCAGTCTAACGTCATGGCGGCCTTCGACTTCTCCCGCTCCCACGCTGATTACATGCGCCGTCAGCTCTTCCAGCGGCTGGTGTTGAGCGTGTTGGGCTCTGGTCGTGGTGAGGAAGCTGCCGAGAAAGCCTTTGAGCTCACAAGCCTGCCGCTTGATGCTGATGAGGAGCAGTGGTTCAGGGAATGTCTAGAGAGTGGCGAAGCGAAGAGGTTTAAAACAGCCAAGGACACTCTGGTCATGCGCCGGATTGTAACTGGACAGAGCGTTGGAGTAAATGAGAAGGGTAGCTGGGCCACAGTATTGGAGGGCTTTAAAACAGGTAGTGGTGGCCGCGTCGGAGTTTGATGCCGCTTCTCCTACGTATTTCTATGGTTTCAAATTGCATAGCGTTGGCGTTTCGAGACTAAAAATTTTATTTCTTCACGAATGTCAGAATGCGATACTCAAATTTCTTGAGATTCGAGGACAGAGCCATGCTGCCCTTCAAGAACTGTAAGAGCGCTCGGAAAGACTTCACAAGGCTGTATTTTAGACATTGTTCGGGTATACCCATCCTTACTGTACAAGCAGTCATGAATGATTATCGCCAGCCTTAGCAGCCGGGTACATATGCTGAGACTTGACACTTGAGTAATCTCATCAGACGGCGGTAGTGGGAACTTACCTAAAGAGAGCGTCTTCAAACCACCATCGTCATCCAGTAGCGGTCCATAACCAGCACAGTCAATGTAAATCAAGAATGAAATCGTTATAGTTCTTCTAACAAATCGCAGCTACAAGGGAAGGGCGATACTTCGGAACCGAACGAGATTCAGGCCCGAATGCAAGATAATTCTGAGCGAGTTTCTTAAGTGAACTTAGTTACCTTGCAAGAGAACTTTATCTCTTGGCCATAGAAATAAGAGACACAGACCCAATGTCCACTTCAGAGATACCCAGCTAAGGCTCGATATCAGAACCAGAGCATAAAACTTAGAGGCAGAGTACAAGACTTAGCCAGCTTCCATACCGAGTGTTCAATCATAGAGGACCAATTCCAGCGCGACATCACTCCTGATCTCACAACGATAGGATATCAATCCCCAATAAAACACCCAGCCATGCCATCCGACCAAAGCCTCTATCTCACTCCAGATCCGTCCGCTCTCCCACGGATAGAGAAATAAACAGATAGATAAATTAAATCGAATTAGTTCCCAGTATAGTTAGTAACAACCAATACATACTTATATCTTTACTGTGTCGCTGCTTTTTCTCTCTATTGTCATTGAGTCGCATAGCTACTTTTGACTTTCAACTCTTTCTTACAATCAAACTCATAATTTTTTGGGGGGAATTTATATATATATATATATATATAAACGTAATCATCACGTTACTTTGAAGGAAGTTAGATAGCATTAGAAGCAGCTCATGCGAGTCCCTGTCCCTATCAAAACTCGTGATGAACGCACTGAACATAACGCATGATGTTGCTTATACTTCCTGTTTTATACCTCGCTTACTTAAACATCATATTCCCGTCCTCATGATGGAGAGGTTTGATACGGAGTTATGAGCCAAGGACGCGACTCGTTAACCACTAAATCAAATTCGCCTCAGGTGATGGTAGTTCTGTTCGAAATTTGTGTCACTCTACTGACTTACGAAAGATTGGTTCGATTTTAGAGCCAGCAAGCTACGAGTATTACTTTTGGGCATATGTGCCATGATCGCCGTTGGATGTAACTAAGCAAGGCATAGAGCAGAGATCTCATAAATCAATCAATTCTTCGTTACGATTCGAATACATCATGGAGGGGTTGTATCTCTCTAGAGCAGGTCCTTCAGGGCGGCTCGCGCTCCTTCACGGAGGGACGAGGCGAATTCTCGCTGTGTTTCTAAGTTCAGCATTTACACGATCCACTTTAGTTTGTCGTACACTCAAGATGGCCACATAAACTTTGAGCTCATGCAATATGAAATACTCCATGGGAATTTTACGTTCAATGAATTATAACAGGAGACACGGCGAACCAGCACGTCGCAGGGAAACCATTTCAAGAAGCACAATCACACATAAAGTACTTGACAGAAAGACAGTTGAAATGCTTGTCATGGCAGAATGACTCGATTCATGTATGTCATTACTAATGATATCATGCCGTAAAACCGTCGTCATGTAAGTAAACCCATTCCCGAGGACCAGATGTTCGCTTTTCCGAAAGAACACAAATACACCACAGACGGCGTTTAAGCCACCTTGGCGGCCTGGGTGGTAGGGAGAACCTTCTTGCCATCCTTGTTGTACCTCACACGCGGAGGAGGGGCACGGTTGCGACGACCCTCTCTTGATCGGACACTGTGGTCTTCTGTTAGTACTACTTATTCGCAAATAGATTCGACGAATCGAGGAGTGGGATCGGGGAAAGACGGTGGCTCGAGTGTCGAAGACCAAGGTTCTTCTCAAGCGCATACGCAGCCCGGACGAGCCGGTGGCGCAGTCTTTCCCTGACGGGACGACGTACCGAACGATCTTGCCGTGAATGGCACAAGAGACGCAGTACTGCAGCTTGAGGTACATCTTGGGAACAGTGTACTCCTGGAAGACGGAGGCATCCGAGATATCACCTGTGCGCGCGTTTCATTAGTTTTGTGGCGGGGTAGATAGACAGAGCGCAAATCGCTGGGTAGGAGGGAGGGACGAACGGATGGCAGCAGACTCGACCATGTTGCGGATGGTGAATCTCTTGATAGCCTTATCCTTGGGGGTGCATCGCGAGCAGTTGGAGCATCGGATGGGCTTGGTGTGGCCGCGGCCCTTCTTCTGTAATTCGCAGGCAGGTCAGTGACGGTCCAGCTAGATCAAGATCTAAGCATTGAGAGCATGGAGGGCATGTGGAGGGCATGGAGAGAGGAGTGCGTCGATGTGTGAAGTGGGTGCTGGCGTGTTGGACGTACGTTGCGGCCGTTGTTCTTTCTCTTCTTAACCATCTTGGCGGTGATGTGAACTTCCTGTCGATTGAGTTGTCGGGAAGAAAGCTGAGGATTGGAAGTCTTCAGATAAGTCTCAAAGTTTACCTAGACAGGCAAAAAATGTTCAACGACTTGCAGACCCCACGCGTGCCGCGAAACGAGCCAATGACAGGGAGGGGCAGCCACAACTGCAGATGTGCGAGGGCAAGACTGGGTGAAAACCCTAGCAGCGCTGTGGCCCGGACTCGATGCGCCACAGAGCTAACAGCATTAGCCCGAGGTTTCGCCAGTTACAGCGCAATTAGCGATTGAATCCCACAACTGTCCGCCAGCTGCCCCACTACAGTCACTGCTGTACCTAGCTACAAGTCCAGACCCGTGGACCCGCTTCATCCCACCATTTTTGTTCGCTGCGGCGCCTCATAACCTCCAACCTTTTTTTCTCTTCTCCTACCAAACCTCATCTACATAGGTTGCTTAGGACGGCAGTTTCATAATTGTCTAGGTAAGTCGATACAGCCTCTCGATATCCCGACTACTCGCATCATGCATCCTATCATCAATCAAGTGTTCCCTCTCTCGCATTGCCCACGAGAGAGGGACAGCGGCGCAAAACCTTGAGCCTTGTCGCCACTGCCCTGATCTCACGAGACCTCGGGTTTCGCGACCTCGAGCGCAGTTCACGTGCCTCGAGCCCATCGCCATCCATACAACAATCACAGTAATCACTCCTCCCACAAATAGCTAACTGGAATCCCCAGGCAATCATGCAGATCTTCGTCAAGACCCTCACGGGTAAGACTATCACCCTTGAGGTGGAGTCTAGCGACACCATCGACAATGTCAAGTCCAAGATCCAGGACAAGGAGGGTATCCCTCCCGATCAGCAGCGTCTGATCTTCGCCGGCAAGCAGCTCGAGGATGGCCGCACCCTCTCCGACTACAACATCCAGAAGGAGAGCACCCTCCACCTCGTGCTCCGTCTGCGTGGTGGTGGTAAGAAGCGCAAGAAGAAGGTCTACACCACCCCCAAGAAGATCAAGCACAAGCGCAAGAAGACCAAGTTGGCCGTCCTCAAGTACTACAAGGTCGACGGTGATGGAAAGATTGAGCGTCTCCGCCGCGAGTGCCCTGCCGACACCGTAAGTTTCACTATCACCAATCATGGGGCTCGTAGCCAACCATATACTTTGCATGTGCTAACACAATCTCTACAGTGCGGTGCTGGTGTCTTCATGGCTGCCATGCAGGACCGACAGTACTGCGGCCGTTGCCACCTGACCTACGTCTTCGACAAGCAGTAAACGGATCAACACCTCGCGACTGGGATACATCGAGATATAAAACAAAAAGGGTTACGAAAATCGGGCATAGACTCATGGGAGTTTCAACGTCATATAGCATAGTTGTCTCCTGCTTCCTTGATAGTTTCTCAATATACCTTGTCAACTGGTGCACATTGTTCTCTCATTCTCCACCTTGGTGATATGTGCCTTTCGTCTCTCAATTCAATATCAGTGATGTGTCAGTTCATTAGTCGTCATCGCAACAGCGTAATCGCAATTGTTGAAAATGTGCTCAAGAAAGCCAACTATTAAGCTTGAAAGGCAATGTTACAAGTGGGATGCTAAGTCCAAACCATGATTCAGACAGTGAGGGCAAGGATCACTTGAGAGTATGAATGGAATCTTATAACAATCATAGGAAATCTTATATAGTAAATGAATTCCTCAGTTGTTATCTCATCTTACACATAAGATACATGATTGAGCGTTAAATCAGCAGGCCGATCAGCCTTGTGTCCCATGGGTTGAGGGCAAACATAGCCGGTGGTGAAATTCGAGGATAATGGGTCGCAAACTCAAGCCTACTGCACGGAGAGTAACTCGGTAATACTAAAGGCGTACTCGTTCTCAAGAAACTCATATAATATACAGGCATATATCCATCTTGACAGATGCAGAGTAACGCAAGTAGCCAATATACGTTTGTCTGAGTCTCATTCCAAAATTATATACAAAAATAATATATAGATACGCAATGAGACCGAGACCATCGCTCCATGACCAAAGCAACGCATCTAGCAGTAAACAATCCAATTATCAAGGGTATAATGCTTAATAATACTCGAAAAGCCCTTCTGTCCATCCGCCGCGCACGCCTTCTTCTTCTTCGCAGCACTAACGCTCGTCGCATCGTCGTCCTCGACATACTCAACATGGAACACGGGCTTTCCGGCATCAATAAACGGGGCCCAGTCCGCGCACTCCTCGTACTCGGCGCATTCCTCATTGATCGCCCACTCGGCGACGTCAACGACCTGCTCGACTATGGCCCCCGCATTCTTCAGTCCGTACGCGAGACCCGCATCGTGCGCCGCGTCCGCGAGAAACCGGACGTAGTCAACGGTATCCGCCTCGGTGTAGTCGAAGCCGGAATCGTTCGCGTAGCCGTCGATGTTATCGGGATCAACACCACTGCACCCCTTGTCCGCCGCGCTCGCGATCCGTGCCGCCATTATGGAGCGCACCTTGGCGTTGCGATGGTCGACCCATTTCTCGTCCGGCCAGCCGTCGAGCGTATTCCCTATTGCCGAGGCCGGGAATTCATCCGCGTCGTCACGGTAGGATTCCACGCTTCCCGCGCTGAAGTAGCACACGATCGTGTGTCCTGCGCGCTTGAGCGCCGCGATCGTGTCCGATGAGGTGTTCTCTAGATCGACGGGGTAAAAAATGGTGCTCTTGTTCGCGTTGGAGGGCGTGAGCGAGAAGCCGAGGGGATAGTCCCAGGTCGTGCCCACGGAGGGCTGGATCACGTCGGCGGCGGCAGTGGTAGTTGCCGACGGGGAGGCGGAAGCAGAAGCGGCGGCGTTTTCGCCGGTCGGACAGCCCCGTGTAAGACCGATGCCGAGGCCTAGACCGAGTGCGAGAGACGTGACGCCGACCATGATGAACAGTATGATCTTCCTCTTTCGTGTGAGGAACTTCGTAGATGCAGGAGTTGCTGTGCCGCTGATCTCGGAGGTCTCTTCAACGATGTGTCCGTCCGCCTCCTTTTGAGCTCCCGCGTTCATCGCGCCCGTCGTAAGATCTCCGCCAGCCTCGGCGATTATGGTGCGGCTGTTTGATTAGAAGGCTTACGAGAGGGATCACCAATCCCACCCATTGTGTTTCATTTTAGTACCGAAACAAGAAGCTCGAAGACGGCCTTTGCTTGAGGGGCCTGTCGTTCGGCCAAATTTTAGCGCCATTCTATTCCTTCGTCGCTTTTCTCTCTATTGGCGTTAGCTAATCTGATTATACCTACTAACTGGAATGGAGGATAGTCGAGATTTGCATTGCTTACCTAGTTTAATTAAGGCGTCTAGAACATTTGATTGCGCCACTGCTAGCAGTACACGCCGTATTTACCGTATTGATGAATACCGGTACGTGATGAGGACTTGTTTCTTCATCGCGGAGGTTTTGTATACATGCATCTTGAATCTTGATCCTGTCAGCCTAAGTAATTATACTTATGTGTAGGATACCATACTGCTACCTCAGCAGGTAGTATTTGGGTGTAGATCAATTCGCACACTAGCGCACGAATGCCGTAGTCTGATCGGATGGGGACGATCAGACGATCCAGATCTTTCTGAATCCCATCAACCAGACTTATAGTTGCTTATGTAATATCGATGAATATACTCAATGGGTTGAGCATGAGATTCATGTCTCCAATCTAAGATGTAATGCAAGATTTACTGTCAACCTCAACCTCGACTGCAGAACCTTAACACAGAAGCACACTGGTGCAGGATACCAACCATCAATTTAGGTAAAGACTTGACCTCCTAATGGCCCTAATGTCTTCGCCTCACTGGGATGTCGCCTGCTTAATTGAGGTGCTTTTCCTCTATTGATTTTCTCATGAGTCATACCATACTCTTCCCACTGTCTCGGCCAATTTGGCCTCGGAACGCCGAGTACCTATCCTAAACAAGACTTCAAAGCCAAGAAGTGAATAGAAGAGTACCTATCCAATGCATTTATAAGGAAATCTGCCTATAACGATATCTTGGCATTCTTGCCAATGAAACCCGATCCTTAATTGGGGTAGGAATAGGTCATCTAATTCGAGCTACGGGTCAGTTCACGTTTAAAGGCCAACAAGTGCGTGTCGAAATGATCCAATGGGCCAAGAATTGGTGGATGAACAGTAGGAAAATTAGAGGAGACGACTAGTCTAGCTCATATGACTGCGCCTTTAGGCTTTCTGCCCAGCTTCGTGTTGGTGGATGAATGAGGAACATTTCGACAACGCAGTTCGATCGGCTTTCCGAACAATACATGCGGGAGGGCCGGCACTGACACAGCCGCTACAAGTGATGTCCACGATTCAAATATAGGAGCCTGGGTCTCGATAGGTCGGGTGTTAATTACACCCAGTCCGTCGATATTATTATGTGTCCACGGAGTATCAGTGTTATGACTTAATCAGATGAAATGGTAGTAATGATCAATTATGATCAGTTTTCATAGGTGGTAAAAACATGTATATGAATGTTGATCGTTGGATGTTAAAAAATGTCGATTCAATGTATATAGAACTGCTAATTGTAAGAACTTAATGTTCGAATAATTCTGGGTTGATGTCGTCAGAATTTAAATCTTAAAGTGATCAGATCAGCTCACCATCTCAAAGAGCTTAGGCTTGTGTGCAATTGTGTAGGTTTTCTTTATAATATTATCAATATTAAGCGCGGGTAGCTGAACGGTCTTGTCCCTATACTATTGAAGCTTGGTGCTGCCTGCTGCCATGTTGTTCTTTGATACTTCCATTTCCAAGCTAAACGCCGAGTTATTACTAGTTGCTATGTTCTCATCAAAGGGAAAGTCATAATTTATTACTGGAACTTTTACCTGTGTAATTGTGTCATAATTAAGGAGAGGTTTGAAGCGTATCGTGTAATCGTATCTATGTGGTTGAATATGACTCATAATAGGCAGTTCTAGATGTTAAGATATAGTTTCTTTTCTCATTAGATCCATGATCACATCAAAAACTGCTTGCTGCTGAGGTTTTATGCGACTTTGTTCGGGAGCCTCGGGAGCCTTGCGACCTTTGGCTTTAGTAAATTGAAAGATCACTAGGGGGAATACCTTGTTGTCGAGAGAACTATGTCTATGTAGGTTATGGATAAAACATCGGTTAGACCATGATAGTTGGGATGGGTAGTATTCCCAACATAAAAGAAATGAACAGCTCTAGATATTCGGACTATGACTCGACAGTTTTCTCATCTTGTTTTCGACATGACGATGTGAAGTTGTAGCTCTGTTTAGCGAGGAGCACTTGCTAAAACCAAACAACTTATGTTGGTACCTTCCAGTCTGGGGACCATGTAAAGTTTTGGTCATCACAAGTCATAGTGCTATCGACGAGATATGATGATGAGATATCCAACAAATCTTGCAACACCAAGGCCTCTAATGTTTACTCATTTCCCAAGTGACCAATGACGCGCATAGCCCTATTTCACTCATGTATCTATAACCTCACATTGGTTACTGAACACCGAGTCACTTCAAAATGCATGCTATAGGTCTACCTCTCCTCATGACGGCCTATGTCGTCGCAGACACGCTCATATCCAACGAGACATACAATCCCCCAAATATCCCCCCTCATTGGCCTCCCAACAAGCCTCCTCCACCACCGTCGCAAGAACACGTCGCGATAGCAGTAGAGACGCTCCATCATCGACGAGGACATACAACTTCTCTCACCAATCAAACCATCGAAGTGCCCGTCGGGCCAGTCTACAGAAACGGTTCAGCGCTGGGCAGAGTATCCACGTTATACCTCCTCGACAACACGGCAGTCACGTGTATCCCCTACCTATCGGAGAAGCCGACCGGACCCCACGGCAATCCATTCACAGTCGGCCACCCGGCAGTGTTGTCCGAGGACACGCCTGTCACGGTTGGTAATATTTTATGCACGCATGCGGGTCAGTAGGTACCTAGGGCGAACACGATGAATCACCAAAGGACCGAACACCGAGGGGAGAGAGAGAGAAGAGGGAGAAGGAGGGGAGGAGGGTCCCTGGGGTTGGGGCAAGCAGCATGATGATGGTTCTGATTACGGGTTCGGGGATAGGAACCGTATCGAGGCGTTGAGGTCATGCACTCTTTATTCCGGCTTATTTCATGCATCAATGAGTTCCTCGGGGCCGCGGTCAGCTCGCTAGCTTGAACGACAGCTGCCGCCGCCGCTGCTGCTGCTGCTGCTCGTCGTCATGGATTGCATTAGGTAGGTATCGCGTGGGAACACGCGGTGTGGAGGAGGGCGTTGTTGCAGGGGTCGTGTCCTTGGATACGGCATGTAGATCTATAACACGCGCTCACCAATAAACGGTTTGTTGACTTGCCTTTACTCCAACTTTCTCTCGCGACAAGTTGACAAGATGGAGGCTCGGGAGGGCAGGGAGGGGATGGGGGATGGGGATGATGAGCAAGTTGCTGCGGTGATCGAGGATGATCAATGCCGGTCCATCTGATTTGGGCATAGCAGAGACAAAGGACAAGATGACAAGACGTAAGCAAGCAAAACGAAACATGGACTACATAGTAAATATCGGAAATCACGATCAATATCACTCGTCTTATTATGCCTGACTGACTCACTTATAGTAGTGTACTCACTATATCTACTACACAGGGTCTGACAAGAGACATGTGAAAAGGAAGAAAGGAAGCAATTCCCGGTCGACTCGAGGTAGGGGTCCTACTGTATTCACGATAGTGTCCGGTGGTTAGGGCGCGGCAGGAGGCGGTAGGAGGTGGTAGGGGGTGGTAGTGGGTGTTTAGCGTGCGGGGTGACAGGGGGATTAGGGGCCCTGTCTGCCCTGGCCCAGCTGGAAGGTCGCCCTAAGCCCGCCTTAAGCCTTCTGTCAGTCCTCCCTGCACCGCCTTGCGCAACTCTGATCCAATCCAATCCACCCATCCATCGATCAATGCAGCGTTATGCATCGTCACGGGGTTACTATTTAGAGGTGAGCATGTAAGTAAGCATGTAGCTAGCGTAACTAGCTCGCTGGGGCCCAAAGTTCGAACAGACGGGTTCGGTTTTGGACAGTTTTGGGGTCGACGTCCGTGGACTCGATCCAGGGACATCCACGTAAGTATGCTGGGACAGGCAGAGACAGGCAGAGGCAGACTAGTAGAGACGGATATTTGAAAAGCTCATTACTTGATCATTGGAAATCGTCATCATTTGTTCCAGAAGGCGACTAGTGCTGGATACACAAATCACAAATCACATAACACGTACTAGTGTTACCCGGTCTACACGTCTACGCTACACTAAACCTCTCACACATTTGGGATCGAGGACTGGACTTGTCTGCACGAGGCCATTTCGAGATAGGATACGTATCGAGAGTCATACCTAGTGAAAGTGAGTAGGTACACCAAAGATAACGTCTCGAGAGAAACCTGTCTCACGTCTCACGTCTGCCGTCTCGCATCCGGTATCATAGGACAGTCTCATCGAAGTGTCTCTATCGGTATCAGGCTTTGCCCAGGCAGCCATTTAAGGGTAGCAGGTTGTGTCCGTGTAGATAACTTACCTGGTGTAGGTACATATTGACGTAGTGTGTCCAGGATATGCCCACGACAAAAAGAAGAGTCCAATAAAAAAAAGAATTGAAACATGCTCTCCCTCTCTTCTCTCTCTGTATGTCTCTCGTATATCATCTGGATACCTACCTATAGGCTATAGATAGCTGAAACCTGCTCTCCCCCGATTTTCAAATAACCGTAATAAAGGGTCTATTAGTATAACACGCTATAATGGATACTATTCCTGAAATATTGAATTCATTACCGCGTTCGGTCGCCATGGCAGCTTTTGGGGAACTCGTCCGCACGGCGACCTTCCCGAATGGCGTCCCCCTCCTTGGGCAGACTTGGGTACGACCTGGATCAACCCGGATGCTCGCTGGGCCTATTGATCCATGGCATCTGGACGACTGCCTGCTGCCAGCATGCTCTCTCGGCTCTCTTGTGCTGCGGTTGGTAGTGGATGATGTCACATAACCCCAATATCCGGATCTGCGCCTGTCATTGGATTGCCATTGGACTGGCAGGGCTTGGTCAGACTGGCGAATACAGGACCTATACAGGCCTTGGTATTATATCTTATCTCTGCCTTTGATTGCACGCGTTTCGCCCATGCAACGCTGCATCAGCTGGAGTCGGACAAGGTTAGGTATTATCGTCAACCAGCCCACCCGACCGTCGTCGATGGTGGTGCCGCTATTGGAAGCAGAGAAGCCCGCCAGAGCGCAACCAAGCATGACCCTGCCGAGACACCGCTGGTCTCTTGACCTCTTGACATAACTGGTCACCCTCCAGAGTCCCGATGGGCATTCTGTGTGAGGCAGGCCCCGTACCTGCAGGTATGGAGGAGCCATGATACGCCATAATTTCAAGTTGCCTTCCAGTGCATTCGCTAGTAGCATGCTCCTCTCTGCCACTCCTCTGCCACTCTCTCCGCCCTCTTTTGCTGTCCCATCATTCCGCTTAGTACATGTGCCCTCCTTCTCCGTGAGAGGCGGTCAGCGAAGCGATATTCGAACCCTGTCCGCCTTGATTGGCTTTGGAGGGGGGGTTGGCGGGATTTGCTTCTACCTACCCTCTTCCTGCCTCCAAGCCACTGGTGAGGCGTGTCACGACCATGACCGCCCACGCGTGGACGCGGGACAACAACCGCGGGTACATGTAATACATGGAATAGGTACATGTTAGTAGTAGGTAAGAGGTAAGCTTGTAGAAAGTATAGTCCCCCAACGACCAAACAATCTCCTCCTCCTCCTCAGGTGGGAATTGTGGGATAAATAAAGTAAACAAGTTCTTCGATCTGCTTCCTTTGACTACTTTTCTCCTTCTCTCGTGTTCTTTTGTCGTGCTACTACTATCAATACCATCACTTACAAGTATTCTACTTCTACACATAACTACCTACTACCAAAGAAGAAGAGAAGTGTTACTCGGCGCAAAACTGCCTGGCCTTGATCAATCGTCGACGCCATAACGTCATTGCCTCCCCGTCCACATAAACAGACCCTTTAAACACACATACCACACAAACAAAATGGGCATGGAACTTCAACCCCCGACTTGTGTAGACCACTATGCAGATCTGGGAGTATCCCCAGACGCAAGCACGCAAGAAATCCGGCGCGCATTCTACAAATTGGCCAAAGAAACACATCCAGACAAGAACAACAACGAGAGCACGCACACCCCTAGATTCCGCAAGGTAAATAACTCCTTTTCCGCTTTGGTGACCCATTTGCCCTCCTCCAATCTCTCCTATTCAATTTATACCCACGACGCAGTTCGTCGAATGATTAAACCAATCAACTCACCTGACCATGACTCGCAGGCGCAAGAAGCATACGAATGTCTAAGCGACGCAACGCGCCGGCAGGTCTACGACCTCTCGTACCCCAGCATCCGCGCAGAATGGGCGCACTACCACCGCCACACCTCTGCCCATGACATTCACAACACCAACGCGAATGAACCCTGGACGACAAATTGGTCGCACCTGTCAGAAGAAGAGCGGCGGTACGAGGCGCAGAGGCAGCGGATCGAGGACTTCCGGCGCAGAATGGAGGACTCGTTGAAGAGGATGCAGGAGAGCCGGCGCATGATGGAGGACAACAGGCGCAAGATGGCGGGCTGCAATCGCACCATTGATGATTTCTTCACGAGGTGGCAGAGCTTGCAGTTCCCGTTTATGGGGGCCATGAGGTTATAGTCTTGCCTGCTCTCTCTCTCTCTCTCTCTCTCTCTCTCTCTCTCACACACACACACACACACATTCTTTCCATTTTTCTTCTTGGGCACTTAATTTGGGTTGGTTTGGGACTATGGGATGGGTTTAGCGTTACTGGGCTAGGCGGGCGCTATTTGCATGCATGCAGCATATGGGATTTTGGATTCTTGTAAGATTGATTGATTGATTGATTGAGCGCGATTGCGATTGGGTTGGCGATTGTACTACCACCACCTGTTTTTCTGTTTTCTTCACTTACAGGTACTGCTTACCTACCACCTACTACCACATTTTACTCTTTGCGCGACGGCGCATTCCTGTATATACTTTACCTCCTTACGGCTCGGTTTCTTATGTTCGGCCACCAATTTTTTTTTTTTTTTTTACCTGCCCTGACTACCTAGGGTTAGGTAGTTACTCAGGTATTTACCTACTTACTTAGTACTCATGCATTCAGCATTCAAGGAGCGCAGAGCGCGGAGATATGGACCGCGAAATATACTTCTAGTCACTTTGGACTCACTCTACAAGACAACACAATCCAAGTATTTACTGCAAAGCTGAATGTTTATTTTTTCGCGTTGGTGTCGCGTTTGTGCGACGGTAATTTACTGCTACATACCACCAAGTTGCGTAATAGTATGTATGGTGGGATGGTGGGGTTGCATTAAGCCCTCGCTCGAAGGAACCGGTCAGCTGCGCTAGTCAGCCTGTCCTATCTACATAGTCCGTAGTATGTGCTAGGGGGTAAAGAGAAGTACCTAGAGTAAGTATGTATGCGGATAAAAAGGGAGCTCACGTCAGAAAAGTGCGGAATTTGCCTTACATATGTTGTACTATTCGCTATTTGGGGACGAAAGGAGTTAGAAGTTACTACCTACGTCGCGGAACTGAGCCACATAGGTACGTTTATAACATGCCGTTAGACTAAGACGGCTTAGATGGATGGCTTGGACGCGTATACACGTCCTATCAGTGTGTGAGAATGTGAAGGCATCCTACCTATTACTACAGTTACGAGAGGGGACAGACGGACACAGAGAGAGAAGGGGGGAGAGGGGTGAGTATTCGGGTTCCCTCCTGTATTGTTACCCCGCTCAACCAGACACAATCGTGACTCTGGGCAAGTGCGTAAACACCCACTCCAAGGAGCAACGAGTATACTATTACTAGGGTGACTAGGTAGGTAGTCCACTACGATGAATCCCTGTGACGATATTTGCAAGTGAGAAACCCATTTACTTGACCATGACAAAGAGCCCTACATATGTCTACTCTACAGTAAAATCACGTAAAGGTATAGTGCACTATGCTATTGTACTAGGCAGATACTTTGGAATTCTAGAATCTGGGATGTGGGCTAAATCCTAAGAATAACAACAGGCCGAAACAAGCGGCCGAAGATCCGTGATAATGCTATGCTATGCCAATGCCACATGCCCTCCCTAGACTTCCATATTGAGGCACTACTTACGTACTATGTATGTACCTACTATGTATGTAAGTAAGTATGTAAGTCCCCTACCCAGATCCCCATCCGGGCCGTCTCGAGGCGGTGTATTGTCTGTTACCCCTCTTGCATTGCAATGCTAAGGGATGGAAAAGTGTCGGTAAAGAGGGAACCGGGTCGGTACCTGGCCCGAATTCGGATAGGTTATGCTGGATTGGATTGGATTGGACTGAATATATCGTGGCACTCGTACCTACAGCATGCACACACAGACGGTGCATGGTAGTACGGCACGGTACGGTAATTCACCATCCTACGCATATACTTATGTTACTACCGTTCTTGCATGAGCATCACACCTGGGCGCACAGACACTGATGGCCGGGACCTCTTTTCAGGGTTTTCCTGTGAGTCATAGCCTTCAATATGTTGCTGGTGATATATCCCGTCCCTGGCGATATAGTCCGTCTACGGGATAAGTCGATACCGCTCTAGTACTCGGTGTTAAGTCGAGTCGTAACGAGTTAAACGGTATTTGGCCACATCAGCCACATCAGCCACAGTAGAGGCCAGACCACCTGTGCCACAGGGCAGGGCAGAGCAGGGTAGGTAGGAGGGGCAGTGGATTCCTGCCGTGTTAGCCGCTTGGTCAGGTCCCTGGATTCCCATCTGAGGGAGCCGGCCAGCCGACGTCATCCCGCGACAGCTCCGATGATTGGCTACAGCTTGGGAACCTAAGACGACGACAAGACGGCTGAACTGTCCGCAGCATCGAACTATTGATTTCGTTAGGCATCTAAATAGATGTAATTTATATGTAATAGTTATAAGAAAGAATCAAGCGAACTACTTTGCGAATGCTATCTCTCAGACTCATCGTATTTACTGCCATCTCGACATTCATACTTCTCGCCGCGCTCCTCTTTGGCACATACCCTTCCTCGAGCTGGCTTCAGTCTCTGAAACCTAACTTCCCAGAATCCTTTGACAAAGGATCATCTTCATCCCACCACAACACGACGACATCCATCATCATGGGTGGCCAATACCGCTCCGTAGCATACTTCGTGAACTGGGCCATCTACGGCCGGAAACACCTCCCGCAGCACCTGCCCGCGGAGAAACTGACGCACGTGCTATACGCCTTCGCCAACGTGCGCCCGGAGTCCGGCGAGGTCTATCTCACAGACACCTGGGCCGACACGGACATCCACTGGGAAGGCGACTCGTGGAACGACGTCGGGACGAATCTCTACGGATGTCTGAAACAACTCAACCTCCTGAAGCGCCGCAACAGGAGCCTCAAGATCCTCCTCTCGATAGGCGGGTGGACATACAGTTCTAATTTCCGCCAACCCGCGTCCACGCCCGCCGGCAGAGAGACGTTCGCGCGATCATGCGTGGATCTCGTCAAGAACCTCGGGTTCGACGGCATCGACATCGACTGGGAGTATCCGCAGAACAGCGAGGAAGCAGAGCACTACGTCGCGCTATTACAAGCCGTGCGCGCCGCGCTCGACGAATACGCCGCGCAGTCCGCGGGCGGTTATCACTTCGAGCTGACGGTGGCGTGTCCCGCCGGCGCGCAGAACTACGAGAAGCTGGACATGCCCGCCATGGACGCGTATCTCGACTTCTGGAACCTGATGGCGTACGATTACGCGGGGTCCTGGGACTCCACGGCGGGACACCAGGCGAATCTCCACGCTAGCGCGTCGAACCCGTCTTCCACGCCTTTCGACACCGAGGGCGCCGTGGCGGCGTATATGGCCCGCGGCGTCGCGCCTGATAAAATCGTTCTCGGAATGCCGTTGTACGGCCGCGCGTTTCAGAACACGGATGGTCCGGGGGCGGCGTACTCTGGTATCGGCGAGGGGACGTGGGAGAATGGTGTGCATGATTATAAGAAGTTGCCGTTGGATGGTGCTGAGGAGAGGATGGACGAGGACGCTGGCGCGACGTATTGTTATCATCCTGGGACGAGGACCATGGTCAGTTATGATACTGTGCCTATGGCGCGGAGGAAGGCGGAGTATATTGTTGAGAAAGGACTTGGTGGCGCCATGTGGTGGGAGTCCTCAGGGGATAAAGAGGGGGAGGAGAGTTTGATCGGGAATGTGGTTGATGTGCTTGGTGGAAGCGATGGGCTCGAGAAGAGCGAGAATTGCATCGAGTTCCCCGAGACGAGGTATGATAATTTGCGGGAGGGGTTTCCTAATAATTAGGGTTGATATCTGGGGAAGGCGAGAAGTGTTCTTGTCTTGAGGAGTGAGTAAGGGATAGGTGGATGGAGATACGCGGGTTCGGGTTGAAAATTATTTGCATGGTTTGGAATGGGAAAATTACGTATGTATGGGGTTGATAGAATAGCAATCCTGTGTTATGAGATATGAAATCATGAATGATGGTGTCTTTTATTTTTTACGCCTGTGCTGTAGGATACTTCATTCATATTTTCTAGATGAGCGCTACTGTTCCTGCTAGACCTGTCTAAAGCTTAGGATACCACGAGGAGACCTCGAGCTTCAGAAGCAATCTGCTCTGCCTCCCTATAGGGAAACGGAATGGGGAGGAATTGATATAACAAGGGCAGATTACTGGGGTTGGAACATGAGCACTTCAGCTTATAACTTGACTGAACTCTATATACAAATGGTCTGCCACCCCAGACCGCCTAGGTCTCTGGGGTTTGTTTCAAGAAGCGAAGTCTGTATAACCTCACTTTCCAATATTCCCTGCAGCATGTATTTGAATGATCATGAACAGCCTGCACTGGCTTTTCGTACGGCCGAAGAGCAAGGCGAACTGCGTGTTCAGCTTGCACGCGTGTAACATTTTGCCAGTGATTTGTATGAGACCATAAAAGGTTTTGATAACTTTGAGACTTTCACGCCGTGGTGCGTATTGTTGTTTTGCCCAATCTGCGGGCTTATGAGTATGAGACCTTCGAACACGAAAAGTCACCATGTCCATAAAAATTGCAGCTTCTCACAAGGATGGGAGATGAATCCTATATATTTGGACGAATCTACCCAAATCATATCGTGTCTATCAGAGATTACTCCAAAACCACTCGAATAATCAATCTACAGGACGCATCTATTCCACTTGTTCATGATTCCATGGTAGGTACCAAGGTACATGATTATATGAGCGCCGAGAGCAGTAGTGCCGGGCTTTTGCCGAGCGCAGGTGGACCCAAGCTAAGCTTAGATAACAGAGGCTGCGAGGTGCTGTACCGGGCTCTTATCGGCAGTGGGGCCCCCAGAGCTTTAGAGCTCGGATCCAAAATTTTCGTTGAGACGTGAAGAAAGAAAGGCGTCAAATCTCAACCTCGACAATAGCTTGGATAAAGCATCCTGCAACAGCCACCCACCAACCACGCCGTGTCCTGGGCGCATTGTTGAGCTGCTGCAGCTGACGAGCCACTCACAAACGCGAGAGGTTTCAATTGCGCTTGTGTCGAACATCTCGATCCCTTCGACCTCTTCGATCTTCGAATCGCGACCTTACCGGGCCAACAAACTAGTTCATTGAGTCGAGTCGAGTCGCGGTCGCCCGCTCCAACCGTCACCATGCCGCATATCGACTATCTTTTGCACGAGGTTAGCACCCTTGAGCTTGCGACTGTGTAATCTCGCTAATCACTGCTCTTGAACTAGTCTGCCACTGGCTATGCTCTCTTCAAAGTCGTACACCAAAGCGATGAAATCGGCTTGAAGTTGGACGAGGTCAAGAAGGCCGCCGAAGACCTTGCCAAGATTGGTAAAATGATCCAGTTGACGTCGTATGCTGTGTGGAGATCAGCCGCCGAGGCCCTCGAGAACATCCACTCCGTTAGCGAGGGTTTGATGACCGACTACCTCAAATCTACCATCGCCCTCAACATCCCCTCATCCAAGAAGTCCAAGATTGTACTTGGTGTCGCCGACCGAGCGCTTGCTGGAAACATCAAGGCAGCATTCCCTGGCATCGAGGCCGAGACCCCCGATACGTCCGAGGCTGTCGCCTACCTGCTCCGTGGTATTCGCCTCCATTCGACTGCGCTTTTCAAGGAACTGAGAGAAGGTGATGAGGAAAAGGCTCAATTGGGTCTTGGTCATGCTTGTAGGCGTCTTCATGTCTCGAGTCCGCTGACCACAATTTATTAACACTCTCCCCAGACTCGCGTAGTAAAGTCAAGTTCAACGTCCACAGAAACGACAACCACAGTAAGTTTTAATCATGCATCTCCTAGCAAGATTCGAAGCTCGAATTATGTTGGCGACTTCATTCTACATCAACAGCGACTAACTCTGCGTATAGTTATCCGAGCTATTGCTACGTGAGTCGAACCTCCGGGTCACTCTAACTAGACTGTTGTTAACATTAGACTCGTTAGCTTGGATAACATCGACAAGGGTATCAATCTTTTCTCCCAGAAGCTGTAGGTGCTATAGACAGCCAATTTCAATACCCAATACATTCAAGCCGATATTGTGCTTGAAAATCGGTTCTTGGGGATTTCGTTAAACCAGACCATTGCTGACCTTCTTCTAGACGCGAATGGTACAGCTGGCATTTCCCAGAACTGTACCCTATCTGCTCCGACAATCTCACATTCGCCAAGGTTGCGCGCTATGTCGGGGATAAGAGCACCTTAAATGATGAGAAGCTTCACGAACTCGCTGGACTCGTAGGCGATGATGAGGAAAAGGCCAGTGAAATCATTCTAAAGGCGAAAATGTCTATGGGAAGGGAACTTTCTGAGGTCGATCTTGCCAACGTCATCACTTTCGCCGAAAAGGTCCAGAGCTTGGCAGGTAAGGCTTGAATTCTGGACAAACCTTGATGCAGTGAACTAACATGGCTTCCTCAATCTAGAATACCGTCGCGGGCTCTACTCCTATCTGACTGACAAGATGAGCGAAGTTGCTCCTAATCTATCCACTTTGAGTAAGTAACATCCAACGCTTTCTATAATGTTTAGAGATTGGCATATGTATCAGGACTATACTGTTCTGGCATCTCCCGAGCATTGGATCATTATAACTAACAGCAAGGCTTACAGTCGGTGACGTGGTTGCGGCGAGATTGATTCAAAAGAGTGGTTCAATGACAAACCTGGCTAAATACCCTGCATCGACCCTACAAATTCTGGGTGCAGAAAAAGCGTTGTTCAGGGCTCTTAAGACCAAGAGGTTAGTGTTCCTTCGATTCATAGCTGTCTTTTGGAGCTGGAGCAATCCACCTCCTATCTCATTTTACTATTCTCTCGCAATCTCTCACCTTGAACAATTTGTACTGATTCTCTTTTCAATAGCAACACCCCTAAATATGGTCTCATCTACTCGTCCAGTTTTATTGGAAGAGCTGCACAAAAGGATAAGGGAAGAATAAGCAGATACTTGGCCAACAAGGCCTCAATTGCGTGAGTATTCCGCCTTTCACTTCAATATTAACCCCCTCGCGAAACATTAATGGCTGACTTCGACAGTGCCCGTATTGATACCTTCTCTGAGCAACCTTCAAAGAAGTTCGGTGAGGCTCTGCGTCGCCAGGTTGAAGATAGACTAGAATTCTATGCTTCGGGCAAGAAGCCTACCAAGAACTCTGATGCTATGGTAAGTTGCTGTGCCCCCCCCCTACTCATCGTATCTACCCACTGACACTCCGAAAGGATCAAGCTGTTGCCGATCTATTAGCTGAGGGCGAGAGTATGGCTATTGATACTGAGATGATCGATGCCCCACTCCCTTCCAATACTGAAGGATCATCAAAGAAGGAAAAGAAGTCCAAGGACAAGAAGGAGAAGAAGGATAAGGAGGAAAAGAAGGAAAAGGAAGAGAAGAAAGAAAAGAAGGAGAAGAAACGCAGACACAGCGAAGTCAAGGAAACAGTAGATGCGGATGCCGAGGTCGATGGCGAAAAGAAGAAGAAAAAGAAGAAGAGGCACTCTGAGGCGTAAAATGGAATCCCTCCACCATCTTTGGACCACAACGGCGGGAACTGCCAGGTCTTGAGGACGAATGGAATGGTCTCACGCATGGTTATGGGCGTTTTGGATCTGGGGGTGTTTTTCTGTTCTGTTCTGTGCCTTTTCTGTACTTCCTGGTTTTGTCTGTCTGTCTGTCTATGCTTGTTGATTGAACTCTCGTGTGTACATAATTGGGATGTATACCCATTTGTTTTATTTCGTCTTACTTTACCTCCTCCGCTATTGCTTGCGTATCTTGATTTGATATGACTCATTATGATTCTTGCGTATCGGAATGAAGTGAAATTGTTTGATTGTTTCGACTACCTATTTCTAAGGCGTACTTTGCTCCTAACCTACCTAGGCATGCTTACCTAATCTTAGCAGTCTAGTATAAACAACAATAGTCTACATGCGTCTCTAATCTCATCCCTCCACAGAGAGCTAAATGAAACAAACTTAAATTTATGTGAGTAGGGAGGCATATAATAAATTCGATTGATTGAGCGATTCTCATCAAAGACGCCTGATTGCTTGCCTGCAGATAAATAGGCAGATGACCTACAAAAGAAGTACTTGATGCAGGTACATTGATTGCACTCGGAAGAAAGCCTAGCCCGCCGCGCCCTATCTTGTGCTGTGCTCTGTCAACGACGCCTCAAACGCCTATGTAATGCCAGTGTCTGTCTTGTTCATCTGCAGCCTCTCCCTTCCTCCATCCGCTTGACTTCTTCTCCGCTTTCCGGCCCTTCTCCTCTCCTCGCCTCTTCTCATTTTTCTCATGTTCTTCATCTCATGCTCAACATCCGTACGTACATTTGTAAGACCAAAGCGATGTAATGTGCTGTGATCTTCGCGCGATAGAATCATGAATAAAACGGTGTAAATGCGTTTGGCGTGTGCTCGCAGTAATGGTGACAGCAGTGGGGATGTTTACTGCCTAGTAGTGGTAATGTAGTAGTAATAAGTCGAGTGCATCGGCGTCCGGGCTGGTTTAGTCTTAATTTCCCTCGCTGCCGAATTCCTTGGTCCATTCGGAATTCCGCTTCAGATCTTCCTCTGCGACGGTGGGTCGTGAGCCCTTGATGGCCTTTACAAAGTCCTTGAAGTCGACGAGGGGCTCGAGGAGCTTTTCCCCCTCCACGTCGTCCCACGTCATTTCCTTCGCTCCCGGGTCCCCGGGGGAGCACGGCGTTACTTTTGTTATGCCGTCTACCTGTACCTGTTGGAATAATTGGCGTTAGCTCATATGTCAATATAGTTGAGGGGTGAACGAGTAGGGAGTCTTACCTCTTTGAAATGTGTCGCCTGTTGAATTTTCCGGACGGGCTGCATTAAGGCGTCTTGCACGGCAATGGTAATATCACTCCCAGAGTAGCCTTCGGCGAGCTTGGCTAGTTCGCGATAATCTTCGCTTTTTAATGTGGTAGGCGTTTCGCCAATTGCGATTTTAAACATAGTGGTCCTTGCGGCGACGTCAGGTAAGCTGATGTGGACACGGCGTTGGAAACGTCTCCTGATGGCGGCATCTAGTTGCCATGGGATATTGGTTGCGCCAAGCACTAGCACTCCTGTTGAGTCCTTGCCTACACCATCCATCTGCACCAGCATTTCCGTTTTGATACGACGGGACGCCTCCGACTCTCCTTCGCCTCGAGGACCGCAGAGAGCATCAACTTCGTCGATGAAGATGATCGAGGGCTTGTTTTCGCGAGCCATGGCAAATAGTTGCTTGACCAACCTATTATTATCCATCGTGAGTTTATGCCCCCTCAATAAGGATTGCGAACTTGACTTACCGTTCACTTTCACCCATCCATTTGCTCACCAAATCACTACTGCTCACACTGAAGAACGTACTCTTGGCCTCGGTAGCAACAGCCTTGGCCAAGTAACTCTTACCCGTACCCGGCGGTCCGTACAGCAAGATTCCCTTCCACGGCTTCCGCTTTCCAACGAAGAGGTGCGGGAACTTGATCGGCAATAGCACAGCTTCCTTTAATGCCTCTTTGGCGCCGTCCAGACCAGCGACATCATCCCACTTCACATTCGGACGATCCTGCAAGATGGCGCCGGCCAGGGCGTTCCGCAGTTTCTTAGAGTCCTCATCTACGGCGCCTTCCTCGCCGTCCTGCTTGCCTTTGCCGGTGCCGCCAGTGGTCGAGCCATTAGCACCGACCATGCCTGGTTTTTTCCGCTTCGCATCGGCGTCGGAGAGGTGGGCCTTGAGCTTCTCGGCGCGGTCCATGTACTCGCCCGTCTTCTGGCGGATCATCTCCTTGGACTTGGGGTTCTTCTCCCATTTCAGGGCGAGCATGAACAGTTCGAGGGATTGGTAATAGAGTTGGTAGGCCTTCTCGTATTGATTGCCGTTGTCGGCGTCGATGGCGCGGCGGACCGTGTCAATGGCCCGCCCGAGGAAGTCGGTGTTGGACATGGCGCTTTCGTTTGCTTGTACGTTTGTGGATTCGTCTGAGGCGCGTGCAATGGTGGCGTTATGAAGTAGATATGAGACTTGTTTTGTTCAGATACCTACCTCGTCAGTTGACTGTTTGGTTCGGGTCCAGGTAACACCTTTAACACCCTTAACACCCTTAACCCTCTGAGAGTGCCTCTATCTGACAGATGTCGGACCCTTTCTCTCTCTTTCTCTCTCTCTCCTTCTTGCTTCCTTGGCTGTTTATGAAGAGAGAGCTTCACCAATGGGACTGGCAGTTCGAGGGAGGACGATGGGAGGAGGGGAGGATTGGGCGGGTTGATGTTGTGACGTTGAAGTGTGCCGCGGCCAGGATAGGATAACGGTGTAGCTGCTGTCGCCTGGGGAGATCCATATGGATCTAGCCTGATTGAGATGCGTCAGGGATGCGTCGTGGAGGGGTCAGACTGGCCGGGACACGGTGCAAATATTGTTATACACACTGTATCTGGGACAGACCTCTCTGCCACGTTCTGGTCACTCTATCCATTGATGGATCTTATACAATACCTGGGCAATCCACCTACCAAGATCTATATTTCCTAGATTGTGGACACGTAATTCACAAAATCAAGGCTTCCAAGACGACCACGTGATTCGTCTCTCAAGCGAGGTTGGAAAGAAAACTCATTATTTGACCGTCTATCCCATCTGCGAAAACTACAACAGAGACTAGCCCACCATGGCTGAAGTCCAAGCCAAGCTCCAGGCACTGTCTGAAGAGTATCAAAAATTGCAGCAGGAGCTACAGACTGCTGTCGACGCCCGCCAAAAGATTGAAGCCCAGAGACAAGAAAATGTTGGCGTGCAAAATGTGAGTCTGATTGTCCTCGTCTATGCAATATGTGTCTTGCTTCACTGGCTTCTTCGTTTGCTAAGGCTGGGGTCTCCTCACTAACCACTTGAATACAGGAGTTTGACAGATTAAAAGACGGCGAGAGCATATACAAGCTCGCCGGGCCCATCTTGTTAAAGCAGGACAAGGTAGAGGCAGAAAGTACTGTCAAGGGACGACTTGAATTCATTGGAAAGGAGCTGTGAGTAGCTGCGCTATAAGAAGAGTCTCTCGAAGGGAGGGCACTTTGCTAACGTTGTGTCACGGATAGTGAGAGATCGGAGAGTCATATCAAGGAGATAGAGGAGAAGCTGGATAAGAAGAAAGGAGAGATCATACAGACTCAAGCCGGCCTTCAAGCTGCCAGCCCTGCTCCTGGAAAGGCCACAGCGAAAGCTTAGGTATGGGACGATGGATTTGGGGAACTACGCCGCCCGTACAGTGACGAGGCTGCCCCCCGTCAGGTATGATAGCTTGAGCTAGTAAATGAAGCTTCCTCTACCAAACAAATACCTGTTTACCCCTGGAAGCTCATCGAGGTTTACTAAGACACATTGTTGTTGCAGATATCAAAACTCGGAGCGTATTATCGTGTCATAGCCATCCTTTCCACCTTTGTGTGAGATACCAACCCAATGAAAAATAGTTTGACTCTTTTTGACTTCTCTTCCCCCTGTATATCAGACACTGGGACTACCATCGACTCATTTTACAATGCCTAGGTAGGCAGGCAGACAGGCAGGCATTGCAAGATTTCCGCTCTTGGTCAGCTACTCATTTCAGACCCATGAGTTCCCTATCTCTGATGTTCCCTACAATAAGGAGGTATTTGGCTTAGCAGATAGGCTTGTGGTAGGTCCTTATGTTAGTGCCTATGTGTTCCCGAGACAGACAGGCTTTTCTGCGCCACATCTATGCAAGGAATGACGTAAGTCAGATCCAAAACCTGCCCCGCCATGTGGCTTTCACGCTAGAGGAGGGGCGGGCAGGGGCGGACAACCTTGATGGGCTCCCGCTGGAGCCTGCATCTGAGATCTAAGCTGGAAGTAGAACCAGCGCGGCCGGCCGAAAGCTCTCTGCATGGGCTGTCTTGCTTCATGATCCAACACATCTACCACGTAGTTCTCTTATCCTGGCGGCCTGGCGATCCCCCGTGTTCACAGTCGCCCATCCTCATTCTCATCCTCCTCGCATCCTAGTTGTCTTCTCACATCATCGTCTCTAATTGGTATTGACACATCACCCATCTCTGTTCCATGGCCACGTGGAGTGTATCTTTTTAGGCTGCCTCGCGTCCTCGCCAACCAACCGCGACCGCGAGCCGATCCGTCGCCATGACTTCACTCACTGGCGATGATGGCCCCGGCCGTCCGTTGAGCGTGAAGGAGATATCGGAACGAGCGCAGGCCTTTGAGTGGAATGTTAATATCCCTTTCAAGCATTGGCTGCGCACAACGCAAACACTACAACAGCAGGTGAGGCACCATAACAAGGCCACAACTTGGCTGCTTAACCGGGGTTGTTATCGCGCACTCGGCTCCGACACGATTCTGACACGATTCTGACATGATGGGAACAGGCAGACATGTATCTTAATGATCGCAACTTTCCCCAGGCCTATCTTCTCTATCTCCGATATTCAACCCTCGTCGTCGACTTGCTCCAAAAACACCCAGAATACAAGACATCTCCAGAAGCACGGCAGGCCCTCAAGAAAAAGTTTCTTACAATAGATGTTGTTTTCAGACACTTGGAAAACATTAAGCCCATATTGGAGCGACAATACAATGCCTGGAAGGCAGCTCAGGCCAGACTGAAGGCAAAGTCTGACCACCGCCGACAGGGTTCTGCAGGGGCGCCGAAAGATTCCCCCACGTATAACAAGCATGCCTCGAAAGACCCTGCCTTGTCGTCTACTAGCCACCTGTTGGATGCTGGTGAGCATCAGGACCTGGCTGTTGAACTAGCACAGAAGGAAATTCACCGACGAGATGCGAGTCGAAGAGCAACAAGGAACAATGGCGAAGTTCTCCGGGATCAACAAGAACGACGTGCTGCTGGTTTTTGGGAGAGTTGGACCCAGGAACTGGCCGACCAGCAAGTAGAGGATGAAAAGGAGTTCCGCAACCAGATGGAGTTGACGAGAATGACTTTGGATGGAGACACGGACTTGGCCCCTTCTGAGTCAAGCCGGCAAACACCTCGGCCACCCAAGTCACCATCCGTTCCCAGCTATTCTTACCCGAAGATAAGTAGATCCGAGCCAGTTGAATATAGTCCTCAGTATCTCAGAAATCCCGAAGCTCCATTGCCCCAACCACCTCGGCCCCCTAAACAGGAGCTCATGGACCACTCCCCCCTAGTTCCTGAGCGTCCAGCAAAGACACCATATCCTCACCAACCACTTCCTCGTACATACCCCGACACTGAGGAATTGCAAGAGCTTCCAAGCCGGCCTCCGAAACTACTTGATGCTCAGAAAGAGCCACAGCCACCAAAGAAACAATCAACTGTTGCATTCAAACCCGCCGCATACCTTGAGAATGGTGACCCCATCAGACCCATCTTTCTTCCGAGACAACTTCGCCGCCGATTTCTTGAAATCGCTTCGGACAATACCAAGCGTGGCCTTGAGATGTGTGGCATTCTGTGCGGGACCGCTGTTAATAACGCGCTATTCGTGCGGTGCTTGCTTATTCCCGAGCAGATATGTACCACAGATACTTGTGAGACGGAGAACGAGGCTTCCATGTTTGATTATTGCATGGAAGAAGATTTACTGATGCTGGGTTGGATCCATACACACCCGACGCAGACCTGTTTTATGAGCTCTCGAGATTTGCATACCCAGTCTGGATACCAGGTTATGTTACCTGAAAGTATCGCGATTGTGTGTGCACCAACGTCTCAACCTTCGTGAGTGATGATAAATCTCAACTTTAGAGTCGTTTCTCAGCTGCTAACATTATATTAACCAGCTACGGCATATTCCGATTGACGAACCCGCCGGGATTGTCACACATCCTCAACTGCACGCAGTCATCTACATTCCACCCCCACTCCATAGACAACCTGTACACTGCAGCGGAGCATCCTCCAGGCCACGTCTATGAACATGACAGTCTCGACTTTTATGTGCAGGATATCCGACCCGGCGCTCGCAATGGCGCCGTTCCGAACTAGAAATTCTAGGGCATCAAGTTGGAATCAGTCGGACACCACAATACGGAGTCATGTGGGCTATTTGGGTGCTTTCCTCTTCCGGCCCGCCGCTGGCCAAGCCAGAGAGCAGCAAATTGCTTGCATTTTCGACCACCTTTGTCGACGCCACAGAAGTTGCGCAAAATAAAGAAAATGAATTAATTGATACCAGGAGTGTCTCTTGGTTTTGGGTTTGGTTTGGTGTTTTTTTTTTGTTTTTTTTTCCCCCGCAAACTCGACTTGGCATGCGCTTGATACCATACCAGTTCGCAAGATAACAAATTATCATCGGTTTTATTACCACATTAGCACGGAGTTTGTGATGGGGTTCGATTTACCTCGCAGAGAATGGGGTTATTACCTAGACCTATCGCGCATTAGCTGGCGTTCTTTTGTTGTTGGCTTTGTAAAACTGGCTTGTGAGTGAGGGATGTCATTGAGCCTGATATGAGCCTGAACTGAGCATGATTGATTGATTGAAACTGGACTGGACTGAATAAATGAATTCGAGTGCACTGCACTGGAATGCACTTGATTGCGAGTGCCTGATGTACTTAGTTTAGTGTATGAAGGGAGGAAAAGGGAAAGAGATGAAGCTGTGAGGAATAGGAAGGGAATTGAACACTGTGAATACTGGACTTGTCTATTGTTTAATACTTATTGTGATATGAGTCTCATGTCGTAGGCATTCTATCTTGTATGTAGGCAGAGAAGTAGCTAAGGTCTCTCTGACATGGATGATATGAGGAGATAGGGGTGATGTGACATTGCTATTGACCTACGTAGATTCTTTTTAGATGAATTAATGATCCATAGTGCTGTATCCCTGGCTGAGGAGTCGGGAAGACAGGATTATAAAGAGTAATATTGGCTTTTCAGGCTTCTCTGTCTGTCTGTGCCTGTCTTTTCAAAGTAAGGCATAGAATCTACCTAGGAAGGGCTAATGTAATTAACTTATTCAGAAGGACTTATTGGACTCTATCGATGTATTTTTTAGTGTCATATTGTTATAATTATCATTATATCTGGGATCTCCGGATATGTGCGGTTTGAGATGGGAAGGAGTTATATATACCTCTTCTCGCACTTTAGCGGGCCGTGAGGTGTGCCAGAGTGTTTGAAAGATCACTTCAAGTACGTACGTACCTAGGTAGCTTTTTTACACTTAGACAACTCAGCCCACAATGTATAAATAGGCAACCGAGCTGTGTGTTCCTGAAACCTGGGAAGCTGAGCGCGAGTATGCATACAATCTGACTATTTAGGTAGTGCACTGCAATTTTAGTCCCGAAGAAGAGGAGGAGAAGGGGAAACAGCGTGGCATTCAATACCTCCCTGGCTGTCTGCCTAAACGCATGCTTAGTTAGGACATGGGGAAAAGAAGCCTTCCTTGGGGCTAAAAATGCAGTGCAGTGTTTACTTTTACCACGGCGCATCTGCATGCTTACCTGCATGTACCTAAGGATCTGGGGTACCCGGTAAAGAAGCCCCTCTGGGCGCTAAGAATGCAGTGCATATCGACCATGATGCATTTGGACTCAACCATCATATATCTTATCCACTCTCTTTTTTAGATCAGCATTGATTAGAGCTCGGCGTGATGAGATTAACTTGAATAGCTTAGAAATATGAAAAAATAGGCGTGATTGCCTTGTGGATAGAGATATATGGTGCAGTGGATGAGGGCCCCAGCCTTGAGTGTTCCGGGGTTATGCCGGAGGTTAAGATCCTGAGGTTTATTGGTTGGGTTGTGTCCGTTCAGCCTTCCTGGGAGAGTGAGGTGTTTGAGGCTGTTCTTGATGACCTCTTTGTACGGGCTAAAAATGCAGTGCATTTGGAGTGATTGGTCTTAAAAACGACATTGGATGTTGAGCTGAATCACCTGACGTAGTGACTAGTCCTTGTTGAGTAGATTTTTTCAGCTGCAGTTAAGGTCTGGGCGTGAACCAGACGGGCGGTATCCATTGCTACACGCACATACAGCTGAACCTACAGATCCTCTCCGGCTATGGGCGCATGCCCAGTAGACCAAGCAAAGTGTTGAAGCCTGTATAGAATACGTAGAGACCTGAACTGACTATGATCTGATTGAGTGAAGTTGTTACTATCTAGAAGGGAGCAGGTTTCCCACACTGCCTGCCAATTAAGCTAGATAAAGGGCTTTTGACACGACGCATATGACCAGACGAAAACGGCTCTGATCTAAAAGTGATGTGTCTACGGCAAAAGAGAGCAAAGGCATAGCAGAACAGCGACGCGTTGCAGATGAGATATGCTACTACGGGACCTAGTTGCGGCGAGGCCGGACAGTGGTGTGGACAGATAAAGAGATCCTCTGTTAAGTGATCCTGAGGATCGGGAGAAATAGGTTGTAGCGCGGTCTCACAGGCCTGGCAAGTCTACTGTTAGGGTTTCCAGGCGAAACGCGGTAGGTGTTTAGAAGTATGATGAATTCATCGAAAATATCTGGGGTCTGTAATACCTGACTGAAGTATAGTCGAGGATACCCAGGGATATGCACCACTGTGGTTCCCCGAACATGCACGAGGGAGGGCGCCGTGGTACGAGTCAGCATCGGGCACAACAAGGCACGCGCTGTAGCAGGTGCGGCGTAACAAGTCAACAAGCCATAATTCGTGCAATTCTACAGCTGGTAGAGACGCTCCTGTTACGTTTCCTGGTGAAGTAGCTGATTAGTTCCTCTGTAAATGCTATCCTATCTGCTTTGGAAAGCCTGTTGTCACGCTACGGGGGCTACTTCGCTTGTAAATTACGGTACATGACTGAACTTCGTCTTTTGGATTATATGGGAGCTTGAGCATAGTATTATAGCACACAAAGCTTACAGATAGACGCGATGCGCTCGAATATTGGTGATTTGTGGCTTGATAAGTGTACTACCAGATGATCGTCTCAATACCACTCTGTAACCTCGAGCTGTTAGCCTCTTATGTCAATTGCAATGTGTGCTGTGTCGCTAGCATACCAATCTCAGTCTTTGGCCCTAACAATGCTGTAGGTTTCGGACTTCCTAAAATCAAGTGTCCTAGTTGCCTTAGCCCCCTTTTGGCAATGTTCGTTAAGATTTATCTAGCATGAGAATTACCATTTAATAGGACCAAGGCATTGCTTCCACAAAATCCCATCAATTCAAACTTAAACCGAATGTTGTCCACTTGCAACTTGAGGCCAATAAAGTGGGTGAAGGTAGGTTCAATCCATTCCACGTATATTTTTCGGCTTCGGCTTTGGTTTTGGTGACGGCGGTCGCGGAGGAGGGGACGGAGGTGGCGAGGGCGGCTGCGGCGGTGGTTTCGGTGGCCGCGGCTTTGGTCTCGGCAATTGCACTTCCCAAGTAAGCGAATCATCTGGCTCGGTGAGAGCTCGTTCTCTATTTCCCATTTCGAGCCGGCGAGGAGTAGAAGCGAAATCCTTGCCCAAGGTGAGGTTTTGTTGTTCACACGTTTCAACCTAGCTGGAGGATATTTCCATTATCAAGGCCGAATGGATAGAAAATAGAAAAAGGCAGACTTAGCTCGGACAGAGTGATCGTGCTGGGCCTCGAGTCTGGAGACCTATTTAACCGAAGAATGGGTGTAGTCACGTTACAGCAAACTGCAATGGTTTCATGGATAAACGCTGGGACCAGCATCTCTTACACATTTGATAGGTTAGACAGGTGTCATTTGATAAGTAGAACATGGTGATTACAGTGGATTGCTTTTGTAAAAACGTGGGGTGGAGTTAGATCCTATTGGCTCGTCTGATTTCATATAAAGTATTGTAGTAGTGCAGTGCAGGTAAGGTCGCTTGTGGACACGGATTTGCATTGAAGCGACGTTTTCTTTCATTTTCAGCTGCTATTATTTCGCACATATTCGCGTTGATTTCATTATCCGCACATACACAGAACCTCAGGGGCAATGCAATTCCACTCATTACTATCACCACTTCTAGACCTTCGTTTTCAATCATCTATTTTTGCTATTCTGGGGTCGTTATGCCTTATTCGATACAAATTCACTCTGTCTGAGTTCGCAGTTCGGCCTATTTTGATATTGCAGACCCCTCTCACCTTCACCTAAGGTCATATTCCCTGAATAACTACAAATCTTTTTTGGACGTTACCACTGAGGTATTTGATCTAAGGAGCGTTGAAAGTTTCCACATCAAAGTCCATAGTAGCAGAAATGGATATAGAAGTCGCTGCATTCTGTAAAGCAACCGGAATGTAGGCATGTTTTTTTTGAGCACTTGGCGGGTAGTTGCAAGTTTCGCGACGATATCCAGCGTATCAGGATGCTCCTCGCCTAGGGTTTCCTGCCGGAAATTGAGGACACCAAGCTGGATCTCAAACGCTTCGGAATATCTCCCTTGGGCGCAATACGTCTCCGCCAGTTCTTCCATCGTTTCTATCGTGTCAATGTGTTTCTCACCCAAATGCTCCTTGCGAAAGTCCAACACTTCCAACTGGATCAATTCTGCTTCATTATGATCCCCTTCCGCGTAGTGAATCGAACCGAGTTCCGCCATGCGGGCAATTGTATCGACATCCCTCTCGCTCCCCTCTTCCTTGAGCATTTGGAGCATGTCAATGTATAACCTCTTGGCCGAGTTAAACTGCTCGCCAGCATAATAGGTAGCTGCAAGGCCCATCATGCAGCCAACGGTATCTTGGTGCTGCCTACCAAGCACCTCTTGTTGTAGTTGCAATACCTTAAGATATGTTTTCTCAGCATCTTCGAGTCTCCCTTGGGCAAGGTATGTTGTTGCAAGATCTGTCATGCTTCTAAGAGTACCGGGATGCCGCTCGCCTAACTGCTCTAGGTAAAACTGCAATACTTCAACCTCGAGCTCCTCTGCTTCGGTATATCTCTCTTCTGCGTAATAAATTGCACCTAGTGTTGCCAAAGCCAAGATTCGAGTAGGATGACGAAAACCTAGTACTTTCTGTTGGAACTTTAGTGCGGTGACCATAGTGTCCTCAGCCTCTTGATACTTTTTCTGTGCGAAATTCGTGGTTGCAAGCGCTACCATGGCTGAAAGTGTATGTGGATGCTGTCTACCAAGTACATCTTGTCGAATTCGTAGAACGTCAATCTCAAGCCTCTCTGCCTCGTCGTATTTCCGTTCTTCACGGTAGATTGAAGCAAGTAACGCTTTGGCTGTGCAAGTAAAGGGATGCGTTTCGCCCAGTACCTCACGCCTAAACTGTACTACATCGAGTGCAAAGTCTTCGGCTCTATCATGCTTGCCCTGCATTTGAAATGTTTCAGCAAGTGATGCCATGACCATCATCGTATCAATATGTCGCTCCCCAAGCGACTTCTGCAGGAGCTGCAATGCATCGGTTTCGATACGTTCAGATTCATCATATTTCTCCTGTGCGCGATAGATAGCTGCGAGCAAGACCCTGCTCTCTATTCTCTCAGGGTTGGTGATAGCAAAACTTTGTCGTTGTTCTAACACATCTACTATAAGCTTTTCAGCTTCATCATATTTCCCTTGCTCGTACAATGTCACTGCAAGCGAGGCCTTAGCCCAAATAGTGTCGGGATGGTGGGCTCCTAGCAGCTCTTTTCGAAGCTGTATTATAGTAAATTGGGTATTCTCAGCTTCTGAAAATTTGCCTTGCGCACAGTATGTTGTTGCAAGTGACGCCATAGCACCAACGATGTCAGGATGATGCTTGTCTAGAATATTTCGTCGTAGTTGTAAAACCTTGACCTGGATTTCCTCTGCCTCGTTATATCTGCCTTGTGCGTAATATGTTGCTGCAAGTGATGCCATAGCCGATACCGAGTTAGGGTTACGCTCACCAAAGCATACCTGTCGTAGCTGTAAGACGTGTAATTCATCTCTCTCTGCTTCATTATATTTTCCCTGAGCGCGGTTCAATGTTGCGAGCTCTGCTAAACTTTCGATTGTATCAGGGTGGTTTTCTCCAAGGACTTCTTTCCGCAAATGTAATACGTCGGATGCGATTTTCTCTGCATCATGGTATCTTCGCTGGTACCGATAAATTTCTATAAGCAATGCCATAGCTGAGATTGTCTCAGTATGTAGCTTGCCGAGTACCGTTTGTCGGAGTCGTAAGACGTCCATTCCCATCTCTTCTGCTTGGGCATACCTCCCCTGAGCACAATATGTCGCAACAAGTGATGCTATACTATCAATAGTATCAAGGTGTCGTGGGCCTAAGACATCCCGTCGTAATTGTAAGACGGCGGAAGACAATTTCTCTGCTACTTGATATCTTCCCTGTACGTGGTATGTTGCTGCAAGCGATGCCATAGCCGATATCGTGTCGGGATGCTGTGTACCGAGAAGCTCCCGTCGGAGTTCCAAAATATTGGACTCCATGTTTTCAGCCTCGTTATACCTGCCAAGTTCACGGTATGTCGCTGCAAGCAATGCCTTGCTTCGGATGGTATCTTGGTTCCGTTCGCCAAAAGTCTCCTTTCGGAGCTGATATGCCTTCTCGTCGATCGTCTTCTTCTCCCTCCACCTGCCACGGTCGAACAGATACATCGATAGACGTGTCAGTAAAGAAGATACCCTCTCTTCCCTTCCATGCGGTTCCACGGAGACAACCACTTGCAGGGCATGGGTGATGTATTTCTCACATTCATCCCATGTTCTCGGTGAGCTTTCTGGAAACAAGCTTTCGATAACCCCAAAGGCCAACTCAACATAATCGATCTTCCTATCTTCTTCGTACGCTGTTATTCCATAGAGAGTTGCTTCCTGGACAAGTTTATGCATCTCGTAGGTCGAGTTGCTGCTATCATCTGCCTTTTTGCTGAGAAAGGAAAACTCCTGAAGTCGGGTAACAGCATCGATGATGTCGTAAGGATCAGAACTGCGTTTACTGCTATCTATTTGACCCTGGTCCGGTTTGCCGTGGATGATGTGATGGGCGGCCTCGCGTATGACCTCGAAGGGAATATTCCGATTGTCCATGAAAGCAAGCACGTACAAGATATTGTATGCTAACGGTTCCTCTTCTCGGAAATGTTCTACTGAAATGTTCCATGTTTTGAGGATGCTATTTGGCACCTGAGATCGCCGATGTCGATCAGGTTGAGATCGTTCTAGGATTTTCCAACGCTTCCTCCTGTTCTGATACTCTGCAAGATAGGTTGCCATCGGTATAGAAGTCCGGCGTAGGTATGCCGCGGCTTGGGATACAGCAAGCGGGTGCCAGCTCAGCTTGTAGAGTAACGTTTCGATATCACTTAACTCATAGTCGGCAGCCTCTTGATTTCTAATGGTGGTAAAAAGCTTTTTGGCTTCATTATTTGTCATATTGGCAACGTTGATACCTCGAGCAGAGCTGACGAGGGTTCCAACGATGTTTCCATCACGGCTTGTCCAAAGAACTGTGCCATTGGTGCCACTTGGTATGAACTGCTCTAGGTTCTGCGCATGCGTTGACGCCGAATGATTACATACGCCGAAAAGTTCCAAGTTGTCTGCATTGTCGAGGATCAGAACCCATTTTGGAGTCGATTCAATATGCTCGCGAACAGAATGCAGCATGTCCTCGCTTTTCAGGTTTGCAACACCAAGCTTCCTTGCAATCTTTTTGTAGTCATGGATGAAAGAGGTCTCGGTGTCGGCATGGACCCAAAATATGGAGCAGACGGGATCATTACAGCGTCTATAGGCATAGTTGAGTGCTATTTGGGATTTTCTATGTTCAATCAGTATAGTTTGTAGCGCAAGAGTACACCCTTCTTACCCTGAGCCGCCCAGGCCCCACAACGCGGCAGATCTGTATTGAATCGACTCTGGAAGTAGCCTTTCCAGTTCAGCGGAGACGTCGCGGTGGACAAAGTCTTCGTTAGGACTAAAAGGGATGGATCGAACTACGGACGGAATGCTGGCATGAAGCGCGTCTATACGTCGTAAGTCTCATTTGTGGCCCCGTCAGTGCCCCGTTGCGTAAGTCTCTAACCTTTAGATCCATGAAACGTGACGTTCATCGTCCCCGCCGATAGATCGTTCCCAGCGAGAATATTGCGCCCGTCGATCGAGTCGAAGGCGCGAGTGGGAGCCATTCTACGGGGATGCGGTCGTCCACTTCTGTACGTTGGGTCTTGTATCTCGATGAAGTAGAATCAGCAGCATAGCAACTCTGCATAACTAATTGTGGGTATCGTGGCATCAATTGCGGCATCAATCGCATGTGTCAGGCTGCAATCAGGCTCTGGACACAGTCTGGAGATTGTGCACGGGCCACAAGGGACATGCATCTCGTTCCCCCAGGATCCCGTTTACATCCCCAGCTGCGCAAAGTCACAGCTGGGGTTCAATACAGGCATGATATTAAGCCATCAAACTATTAGGGGGATCGAGGAAAGCAAATCTAGCCCCTCCAGCGTCTGTGTCCCTTTCAAACTCCCGCTCGAATGGCGGCTCACTACCTAGGTACATTTCCTTCCGTAGAACTTCATGGTGCTGTTCCAAGCATAATTCGCGTAGCAGCCCTATTATGAACAACTACAAGAAACCGTATAATCACTTGTAGACTACTGGCGGTCAGATCAGACGCTTTTCGCCCACCCCCACTCTAGGCAGGTGTCAAGCCGTTGATCATTTCCCCGCAATCAGTGATATAAGTAAGTGGCCATTTTCAGACGTCAGCTCTGTTCCATTAATACCTACTTACTGTACTTAGTACCGTACTGGCTCGCTTTGGTATTTGGTACGGGTTGGGTAGCTGAAACCCTACCTGAGAGTTAGTCTTTCGACATTAGCATTCGACGATAAACCGCTATATACAGCCCTCTTTTATATATATACGATCTTGGGACCTTAATTTAGCCGGTCCTTGACTCCACCCAAGTGTGATAACAGGCGTTAGAGTAGCTGACTCCATTTAACGACAACATAGCTATCCCACACGCTATAGAGTAATAGCGATCATTGTTGATAATCCATAGTAAAGCTGGATTTTGAATCCGTATTGTTCAATTTAAAATATTTCAAATCATTTTCCGTGCCACTAGATCTACCGTATTTACTGAGATTATATTCGCAACGCGCTGTTGAGATGATCAACGTGGCGCTTCCTCTATCAGGAAACTCAGCCCTAGGACCAAATACAAGATCATTTCCCAGCAAATTCTACCTTGTTTAGGGAAAGACTACGTTACACAATCACGGCGCGTTGTGAATGTAATCTCAGTAAATACGGTATGGGGTATCTAGTGCATGAGGGTCTTGCTTACCTACTCCCCTGCTTTGCAGGTGGTCAAAAGATAGCAACTATTTGCGTGCAGGGGATTATTGTGCTGTTCGAAAGTGGCCTAACAGGGAATAAGACGCAGTTACATCGGGGGCTGTGAAATTGTCACCATACAGTACGCGTGTAGGCGGCCAAGTTGCTGACTTGACAAAGTTCTACTTTGGTATTGTTGTGGTTTGATCCTTCTCTCCTTTTCTGTGAAAGAAATGCGTTCTGGTTGGACATGAGAGGTAATGGCCTGTTCATGATTTTTGATTCGCGGCGTCATGGTGTAGTACAAGAGGAAAATTCAAGACTGGATGCCTTTGTGGACCTTCCCTGTGACATTATCAAAGTGTATAGTACGTAAGCCGGCCCTGCATGTATTCATATGAAGATTTGTAGGGTTGTCTGCTTCGATCTCTCCAGTTACGTCACATGACGCTTGCAAGAGAGGCGTGGGTGATGAAGCTCTAATTAAGCCAAAACTTAGTGTAGGCAGTGCAAATAACATGCCAGAACTAGATGTTATCAAAATAGAAAGGGAAACCCATTCTAATAATACAATTCACAGTTAAGGAAACTATTGTGCTTAGCCCGCGCATCGTAACCTCCATTTAAGAGATAACCAAGCATTTCCGGACAAATAACCTCATAATTCGATTGGAAGAAATCATGCAAAGTCTTGCTTGTGTCCCATAGCCTACCCTTTCCATCGTCGAGATACTGGCTTTCAAACAAACGAGACCTACATTATCTCAACTTCCCATCTCAAACCGGTGTGCCCCCATTGCTGATGATCTCACTGATTCCGAACCATCGGCGGTGAGCTCGGTCAGAGTGGGTACCGGTTCACTTCCGGGGAGAATACCGGGCTCTGTTTTGAAAGGATCCTGACCACTTGGAGTATAGTAAGAATAGTGGTAAGGATAAGGGCTCTCTGCGACACCCTGTGAACCAATTTGGGGTGTAGCCTGACTAATTGCATTTGTCTTGTTGTGACGGCGTCGCCAGAGCAGTGACCAGGTAATAATAGCCAAGGCCGCTACTGCACCCACAACAATCCCAGCAATGGCGCCTGAGGATAGCTTTGTTCATCCGGGCTTTGTTCATCCGGGATTTGCTCATCCGGTCTTTGCTCATCCGGGCTTTGTTGCAGGAGGTGTTGGGGTTAAAGTTGTTGAAGTTGCTGAGTTCGTTGAGTCTGTACAAAAGTTGGTGATATAGTTCCCTATTCTATCGACACCGACGAGAGATTCACTTTTGGTAGGGTTTGCTGCCCATACAGTAAACTCCCCCTTGTCCTGATTTAGCATCACGTACGCCGAGGAAAGAAAGATTCGTCCCAACTGACTCATATCGTTCTCATTAACTTGTTGAAGAGAATTAACGACGAGATTCGAACGAGAATAATTTGCTATGATTGCTCCTGTATCGTTCAGGCCTCACGAGCTCGCTGCTCGGTATATGAATGGAGGGCCCCCCTTGAATCTTGATGGACGGCTCTCTGCGAAACGGCTCACTGTCATCACTGTACAGCATTGTGTAATATTCTAGACCAAAGGTGCGATAGCTGATAGTTGTCTCTGTTATCTGTTCGAACTCTTGAAAATAGGGGTCGTAGTGTAGACTCATTAACCCTGGGTTTCCTGGTGTAATGTAGGAAGAGAAGCCACCACCTGATGGAGTGACCATACTCGCAATTGTGCCATTTGGGAAGTGAAGAATAATATCATCTATTGCCAAGAGCATCCCCGTCGGGCAGTCTGGTCGTATCTCAAGGTCCTGTGTGTAAGGCTGGCCTGCCACCTTGGCCTCATCATATCCACCAAATACAAGAATACCGTCTAGCTGCGCATTGTCATCGGCTCCAGTCAAACCATAGAACACAATCCAAACCCGGGAATTGCTATGCTTTCCATCTTTGAGAGCGGGGAGAACCGTGGAATTACTTCCCAGTCCAAGGCCCATCATGGGTTGGTAACCTTGTTCTAGCCAGTCTGATAAGGGTGAGTTTATGGCGAAGTCGTCGACTGATACATTGTCGTTGAGTTTGAAAACATTAGTGTATAAAGTAGAGGGGGGATAAGGGGCGCCATCAATAGGATTGGGATTGTCTAGTGGTTGCTGTTTCGTGTCTGAACTGATAGGAGAATACTGACCACCATGCCATGTAGTACACCCAGTGGTGGACTTGGGTGCTGGATCTTTGGGAGCGGAACAATATCAGTTAACCCCATATACCAGCGTGTTGTTTAGTGGCCTACAAAGATAACTTGGTTATTAGAACTAATCCGACATATGTGAATGAGCTACGAGACGTTGAACCTACCATTGGGGTAGAAAAGCAAGATTCTGTGGAGGATGCCCAACAGCTAGCTCAACTCCTCTCGCTGTGGTGTCGTTGGATAGAGTACTATTACTAATGGGTATAGCGATTGGATAGGGAATACATTGTGCAGAAGCGAAGACACTGGTACTGGCGACAAGACATGTCAATAGTAGGCCGGACACTACCGCTTGACGAGCCCGTTGTTGGTTGAGGAACCGCATGAGTTTGGTGAACTAGAGTTCACGAACTACCTACTCCGTTAAGTTGGGATTGAAGAAAGGGCGGTGTTGAGTTGTGGTGCCTCGAGGCTGGCTATGTCTCCTCAACTTATTATGAATGACAGACAGATTCACGTCCTACTAGATAGAGACTACCCAGACGACAACATCGTTACATACTTCCTACCGCATACGTGTATTATTACTCCTAATTCCTTCTCGCACACATACATGACACGCATACTGTTTAAGGTGCTCCAAAGATCCTTACGAGAATGAGGGCAACCTTCGAATGCAAGTGCAATTATTCTCAAACCGGCAGTTACTTGTGATTGCTGCCAAGCGGCCAAGAACGTCAAATCAAAGAATTTCATGTCAGCCATTCACACTATCAGACCGCCGCAGCGCCCTTGTTCGTCATCTTTTAACATTACCACCAACCAACTGGGATAGCCCCTTTTCCCTCATCCTGTAGCATTACCACCCACCACACCTTACAACGAGGCGAGGCGATGAGCAAAAAGCCTGGCACTTCCCTCCCCCCAAAACACCACCTATTCAATCATCTAGAGGGGGGAGGTAGTAGTTTTTTTTCGCTCACCGCCTCGCGAGACTGGCAGACTGGGCACGAAGGGCCCAGTTTGGCCCCCGCCCCCCCAAATGTCCTGGCACTCCCTACACGAGATGACCCTTTTCCAGGTCTCTCATTTCTCTTTCGTTTGGGTCAAATGATTGCTGTACATTAGTTTCGGCTTCTTGCAGTCGTGATGCTGAGTATGAAGAGGCTGGTTGTTTCCACCCTCGTTTTCCTGATTTTTAGCCTAACCCTGGCCACGCTCAAACTGTATCTACCCGCTCATTCAGACAGTTTCTCGAGCTCGCAGTCCAGGTCAACAGAGCAAACCGCAACCACTACCGCTACCTCATCACTCGACGTTTCTAAGCCCGTGAAATCATCACCACTACCTCTAGAGTATTACATAGAGCCTGGTGGTGACGGAACCTGCTCTCGTTTTTCACCTTCCTATCTCGAAGATTTCCACGCGCATACCGCTTCGTACTGCAGTCCGGAATCGCCCGCACAACTAATATGTTTCCATCGATTCTCGGGTTTCGACGGCAAGACGGATTCTCTCTGTTATGCGCAAGGGGCCGTCCTAGACGCTAAAAAGGGAAAGTTTTACTTGAACTGCGATTTAAGACAGTTGTCGGATGAGGAAAAAGACAATGGTATCCTGCCGTTTGGTAGACTGCCCTCGTATTGGTACGAGACTGGCCCCGGCAATATTTTCTCAGCGGCTATCGGTGTAAGAGCGTCGAAAGATGGTTTAGACATCAAGGGGGAAAAGAGTGGCAATAAGGAAAAGAAAAGCGATCCGCAGAGCACGCCCCAGGCGGTTGCAACTAAATCGGCACCCTCTATAACACCTCCCAGGACAATACTTCTTCTGAAGCGTGAGGGTGATGGAAACACGTGGCACTGTCTCATGGAAATCTTCTCGACTTTTATGACATTCGATATCTTGCGCATTCTTGGTGGTGTATCCGGCGACCAACCGCCTCTTTTCAGAGACCCAGGCGACTCCCAGGACTCCCAGGCCATCGTCCTTGATCATCACTCTGACGGCCCCTACTTTGACCTGTGGACGTTATTCGCGAAAAGGAAACCTTTGCGACTCTCCGAGTTACTCTCCGATCAAACCACCGTCGACAACCTTGGTTTAGTTAATCTGATCATTCCTCTTGCTGGAAGCAGCAATCCATTCTGGAAAGATGATACAGAGGCAAGTCAGTGCACCAACTCCCCGAATCTGAACGTATTTAGCCATCGCGTGCTCGACTTTTATGGAATAAAACACCCTTCATCCCGTGGGCGGGGAGGCCCCATCATCGTCACCTGGGTGTGGCGCCAACATCGCCGTTTGAAGAACGAGAATACCCTTCTCGCCGAGCTCGGCAGGAGGAATTCACACATTACGGTTCGAATGGTCGACTTTGCTGCCAACCCATTTGGCGAGCAGATTCGCATTGCTCAGGAGACAGACGTGCTCGTCGGGGTGCACGGCGCAGGGCTGACCCATTCCATGTTCATGCGCCGGGGCGCTGGCGCCGTTGTCGAGATTCAACCAGAGGGATTTGAACACCATGGGTTCCGGAACGTTGCTGGGATGCGTAATCTCGGATACTTCCGCACCCATGCTAAGTCCATCACAGTAGAGAACTGGACCGCTGGAGAAACAGGAGAGGCAGTAGATAGCATGCAATACGGGATAAGGCGAAAGGCTGCCGGAGACGATGGCCACAGTGTCACCATGGTAGAAAGGGGGGAAAGGCTTGAAAAACGAGACTGGCATGACATGGACATTGAGATAGAAGAGGGTCGATTTTTCGAAATTGTAGAAACAGCTATCAAGTTTATGTATACTAAGGGGCCATGGTCATTGGATATGAATTAGCCTGGATATATAGGCAAGTGCTTTAGCTCAGTCACGATAATGAGATAAGTATTAGATATTTCGCTCAACTCGCCTCCTTAATGTTACGAAGCTATCTTGGACGCGCCAAGGGCCACCTAACTAAGATTATCAAGGACGTTTCCAGCCTGGGCATATAACTTCAAAACATCAAGTCCGTTTTCTCGCCACATTCAAGAGCGCATAGTAACCGTTAAGCCTAACCACCCACCTACGAACCACCCCACAATCAACCCACCTAAAAACGCGACGCGTTTCCCAACCACCTTCTTTTTTAACTTATAAATATCTCAACAACCGTACGGCTTCTTTTTCTCCAACCTATACCATTTTAATCCTTTTTTTCTCAGCTTTTTAGAATGGCTAACCATGCTACAGCATTACGCGCGATTTACGCTCTTTCCACTATCGAAAGCGGTAATAGTGTTAGAAAAGTAGCCCGGGACTATAACATTAATAGATCTTATCTATACCGCCGTTTCAAAGGCATACCAACCAAAAAAGAAGCTTATAAGGGCTAATAAACCCTTTCCAAAACCTAGGAAAAGTCAATAGCTAATTGGGCACGTACGTAAGGAAAACTAAACTTTACACTACCGATTTACCGTTTTAAAGCTTACGTTAAAGCTATTATAAAGGTTAATAACTATAAAATTTACCTTAAAAAGCATTAGTACCTATAGTTTTATAAACGTTTTCTAGCCTTAAAGGCTTTATAAAGCTATATTTATTACAGGTAGGTTAAATCTTAAAGGTTAGGTATAATGTTATAAATCTCTTTAATCTTATAATAGGTATTTAATAAAACTAAAGCTTAAAGAAAGGAAGAATTTCCTTCGAAGTATATATAGGAAGGGTATATAATATATATAAAGTATATATATTTTAAGGGCTTTAAAATATTATAATATAATAATTATTCCTTTTTCCTTAATTAAGTTATCCTTAACTTAATATATAATTAATTTATTAATTAACTAAGTATAAAATAAAAAGTTTAATTATATAAGTATATAGTATAAAGTATTATAATAAACGTATTAATATAATTTATTTATATAAAATGTTATTATAGTAAAGATATATAGGTATTAAGCTTATATTTATATTATAAATTATATATATTATATATTACCTTTATAGTAGAATTTATATATATATTCCTATTAATTATTTATTAATTCTTTCTTTTCTTTTTTTCTTTTTTCTTTAGTTACTATTAATTTTAAAAATTAGTTTTAGGTAAAAATTATTACATTACTTTTATTTTTACCTTATTTCCCTTTCTTTTTTTATTATATTTATATTATTATTATTATTATTTAAATTATATTTCTTAAGGATAAAAAGGGAAAGGATAAAGCCCTAGCTTTAAAAAGCAACTATATTATTTATAATAGTAAAGGTAAAGTATTACTATTATTACCGTTATTTAAATATAATAAAGATATGGATAAAAAGCGTGCTAATAATAAAACGCTTATATTATTACCGCTAATACTACTAATACCGCCTTTACCAAACAGCAATAATAACAACGACAATAACGACAATAATAACGATAATAATAACGGAAAGGGCGGTTTAGGCTAAGGCTACGGTAGATCTACCAACCTTCTGCCTAATAATTATTTAAACTATAGGGGTAACTTAGATATTAAAGGTAAAAACCCTTAAAAAAACGTAAATAATCCGTAAAGATTAAAAATTAATATTATAAGAAGTATATAAATCCTATAGTTATATTATTAATGTTAATATATTATAGATATATTAAATATATTAAATATATATATTAACCTAACTTTAATTTATTTTTAAAACTTAATTATTTATTTAATAAATCTAAGCTTTACTAATTATTATAGGTATATTAAAGTATATTAAATATATAAGCCTATTAATATTTTTATATTTATATTATATATAAATTGTTATTTATTTAAATTTAACTTCCGCTTATAATAGCTTTTAAAATTATTTAACTTATTAAACTTTTTAAATAGAATTAATAAGCTTTTATATTTAAAATAACTATTAATAACATTTAAGCTATAAATAATAATAAAATAAAACTTTAATTTAATTTATTTAAATTTTATATTAATATTATAATTATTTAATATTACTTTATTAAATTATATTTATACCTTTTTTTAACTTATTAAAGTTATTTTAATATAATTAATAATTAAATTAATAAAAAGGTATAAAGCTATTTTATACCTATTTTAAACTTATTATATATTATAATAATATTATATTTATATTTAAATAAAAGTATTTTCCTAATTATAATTATATTATTATTAAATAATACTTTATTATTTATAATATAATTATACCTATTTTAGCTAACGTTATAAATAACTTTACTTTATATTCTTTTTATATATATTTTTAATATAAAAAAAATATAGCTTAATATTAAAACTACTTTTATATAATTTTTTTATATATATATTTATAGAATTTTAATTTAACTATATAATATACCTTTATTTTATTATTTATAGTAAAAGTAAAAACTTTTATAATTAAATAATATAACGATACCTAATAGGGTAAAGTTTATAATTAGATAAAGCTTTATAATATTATTAATTTTAATAATTATTAAATTTAACTTTATTTTATATATAGTTTAATAGTAAAGCATAATAGTTTTTTAACTTTAAGGGTAAAGGTTTAATTCCTTTTATATTAAAATAGTTAATTTTGTTTTTTTTATAATTAATTTAAGATTTTTAAAATTCTATTAAGCTTGCTTTATATTTTATATTAATAATATTAAATATAGTTTTAATTTATATCCAATTTATTATTTTTAATTTTCTTCTTTTATTTTTAACTTTATTATTTTTTAAAATCTTTAATTGCTTTTAACGCTAAGATATTAAATTATAATACCTATTAATTATATTTAAAAGGCTAGCTTTTTTATTTAACCTTATAATATTAATCTTTATTATATACTATTTTATTTATTATATTTTTAACCTTTTATTCTTTTAAATTATCTTTAAAGTTTAATATAAATAAATTATATTTATATTTAATAGTTTAAAGCTTAATTAATTAAATTGGAAAAATAGGGTAAAAATAAATGTATTATAATAAAAAATTAATATAATATACCTATAAATTAACTTTATTTATAATTTTAAAAGGTTTTATATATTTAAATGTTAACTTTTTATAATAAAACTTTATATTTTTTATTAATAATATAATTAAATTTTTAACTTTAAAAGTTATTAGTTTATACTTATTATTATAATGTTTTATATATTATTTTAATATAATTTACTATTGCTTTACTATTTTATTTTTAATTGTTTTTAATTTATTAAGTTATCCTTATATAGTTAGAATTTCTTTTAATATAAAGTTATCCTTAATAAATAATTTAAATTTAAAGATATAGCTATATAGAGCTTTAAAAGGTAACTTTTTAATTGTTAAATTAATTATTAAATTTATAATAAAAAAAGCTTATAAAAAAAGTTAAAGCTAATTAATTTATTCTTTATTAATAAAATATTATAAATAACTTTTAATTATTTAATTTATTTACTTTATTTAACTATTAGTCCTAGGGTAAAACGTAATTAAAAGGTGTTGTTTTATTTTAAAGTAATAATAAAGGTTAGATTAAAATTAGCTTATAAAAATAGTACCTTTATTTAAGATTATATTTTATAAGCTATTATATAGGCATTTAATTTTATTATAAAAAAGGATAGTTAATTTTATTAAAGTAATAATAGTATTAATTAAAAATAAATATATAAGTTTAATAAATTTATTAATAATAATTAATATAAAGTTAATTAGTTTTCCTTTATAAAAGGTTTTAAATAAACTTATAATAAAATTTATAGAAAGTTTTTATATAGGTTAATTAAAAATTGGTAAAATATTTAGTTTATTATATTTTTAATAGTATTTTACCTTTATCTTAAAGCAGATTATATAGGATTTTATATATTTTTAAACATTATTTTATATATCTTTTTAAAAGAATTTATAATATAGGAGTTTTAAAGTATAGGTTTAATTAAAGTAATTAATAATAGGTTAATTATAATATAATTTAATAAATTAAAAATGGAAGGACTTTTTAAAGGGAATATAAACCCTTTCCTTATAGTAAATTAAGTCTTTATTTATTAACTATTAAAGGTTTATAGCCTTTTTAGCTTTAAGTTAGTATAAAATTGCTTAACATTTAAGATCTTTTTATTAAACCTTTAAAATTAAATTACTTAGGTTTTTAAATAGCTTTAGGTTTTTATTCTTTTTAATACCTATAACTATTTATATTTATTTATATATAATTGCTTATATAAGAATGGTTTATTTAATAGGTATATATATAATATATAGCTTATTAGTTAATATTTTAAGGTATAGATTAAGGACTTTAAATTATTATATTATAATAATCTTCCTTTTTAATATAGGAAGGATATTTATATTAATAGGTAAAATAGCTATAAAATTAGGGTAGTATAAGGGTAAATTAGCCCTATTTTTTTTTACTTACTTTATATTTAATAATAAAGTTAAAAGGAATTAAATATATATATTAATAGGCTTACCTTTTATTTAACTTTAAAGTTTTTATAAATGTTTAAAAATTATTATAATTAGTTAATACCTTAATTAATAGGTAGCTTTTTTAAAGGTAATATTATTAATGCTTAAAGCAATTTATTATTATAAGTATTTTTTAATTAGGAATATTATATTATATTTTTTATTTGGAAAACTTATAGGAATAAAATATAACTAGTTTAAATATGCTTTAATTATTTTATTAGAATAGGTTACCTATAAATGCTACTTTAAAAGAATTGGTTTTTAATAATATTTACTTTTTAAGGCTAAAATATATAAAAAGAATAGCCTCCCTAAATGTAATTTAAAAATCTTTAAATACTTTTACTATAATTATATTTAATAAGATTTAACCCTTTTTTATTTTAAATGTACCTTTTTTTAAATAATATATTAACGCATCTCCCACTTGACCTGGCCACCCAATTGACCTGGCCACCCCCCTAGCCCATACAAGAAACGTCGGTGCGCTAATCACGTGATAATTTAATAACTCCACGAATACTACTCGTATAAAATAATAAAATATACCATTAGATTCGTAATAAAAAGAGCTATTTAA